AAATTAGTAGCGGGTACCGTTGAATAGCCCTTCTTATTACGAATCTAATGGTATATTTTATTATTTTATAAGACTAATATTCGTAAAGTTATTTAATTATCACGTGATTAACGCACCGACGTTTTTTGTATGGGCTGGTGGGGTGGCCAGGTCAAGTGGGAGATGCGTTAATAGGTTAATTAAATATAAATAAGAATAACAATATACTTAATATATTAAATTATATATATTATTACTTATATTTAATAATATAATATACTTTAATTAATTATATTAAATTTTAATAAATTATAAAGTTAAGCTAAAAGTTTAAATTATAAATAGGTTTAAAGGAAGTTTATTAATTTATTAATAATTTATTTTAATATTAATAATTCTTAATTAATATATATAATAATATTAATCCTATTTATACTTTATAATATTATTATTTTAATAATATTAATTAAAATATTATTTAACTATATCCTTCTTTATTTATATCTATTACTTAATTAATACTATTATCCTTATTCTTTTTAACAATTATTATATTAATTATATTAAGATATAGCATTGCCTTATATAGCTTTATAATAGTTTAAAATATATAAAAATGCTTTTAAGCGTAAAGCTAGTTAATAATAATATACTTACTTAACTGCTTTATAAATAAAGCTTTAATATAATCTATTTACTTATTACTATTAAAGGTATATAATAGGAGTTTACAGATTTAATTAAAGTAAACAATTATATTAATAATTTTATATATAATAAATAGGATAGTATTATATTCCTAAAGGTTAATAAATAGGTAATCCATTAATATATTATTGCTTTACTGTGGTAAATTAATTAATTTAACGGAAGTTTAAGGCTATAGCTTTATTTATTATTAATAATACTTAAAGCTATTTTATAAGTTAACTTATATCTTTAATTTTATTTACCTATCTTTTAAATAATATTATATATAAGCTATAAAATAATTAATAATTAAAAAATATTATAATAAATAATAATTAAACTAATAATAGGCTTTTTAAATATTAATAATATAATAAATATTAAATAAATAATAATGCTAAAGATAATAAGGGGGTTTTTTATTAAGGTAAAGCATTATTTATATATTTATATATTAAGTATTATTAAGTATATAAAGATATAATAGTTTTTATTATTTAATTTAAATAAAAGTATAGTATAAAAAGCTTAAAATAATAATTTAAAGGATTATTAAGGTTATTAAAATAAGCATTATAGTTAATATAAATATTAATATATATATATATATAAGTAATTATAAATGTTTAATAGGTTTCCTATTAATATTAATTTAAGGATAATAATATATTAAGCTATATTAAGCTATTTATATATTAAAAACATTATTTATACTATATATAAATAAAAGTAAGTAATAAAGATATTAAAATATATATAAATAATTATAAATGTTTAATAGATTTTTTATTATATTAGGCTATATTAGGCCACTTATACATTAAAAACACCATTTATATTATATATAAATAAAAGTGAATAATGTAAATATAAAGATATATATAAATAATTATAAATGTTTAATAAGCTTCCTATTAATATTAATTTAAAGATAATAATATATATTTATATATATATATTTTATAAGCTATATTTTATTTATTATATATTATAAACCTATACTTAATAAAACTTTAAAATAAAGAATTTAATAATAATATAACTATAATTATATTTCCTATTATATATATTTAATTATTTAATATATAAAATAAAATAAATAAAATTAAGTATATTTTAAAATAAAGAATTTAATAATAATATTTATTATATATTATAAACCTATATTTAATAAAACCTTAAAATAAAAAATCCAATAATAATATAACTATAATTATATTTCTTATTATATATATTTAATCATTTAATATATAAAATAAGATAAATAATATAAATAAGATTAAGTATATTTTAAAATAAAGAATCTAATAGTAATATTTATTATATATTATAAACCTATACTTAATAAAACCTTAAAATAAAGAATTTAATAATAATATAGCTATAACGCATCTCCTACTTGACCTGGCCACCCAATTGAGCTGGCCACCCCCCTAACCTATACAAAAATCCAATGTTTCAATCTGTAATAACTTGACCAATATTGGTCCCACAATTTTATAATTAGTACCATTAGATCCGTTATTTAATAACGAATCCAATGGTATTTTTTACTATTTTTTATAAAATTTATTGAGCGAGATATTAAGCAATACGCTAAAAGGGCGCTAGGCAAGGGTTATTTTAGCGCTTACTTTAGCGTATTGCTTAATAACTCCACGAATATAAGTCGTATAAACTAGTGAAGGGTACCGTTAAATAGCTCTCTTTATTACGAATCTAATGGTATATTTTATTATATTATACGACTAATATTCGTAGAGTTATTCAATTATCACGTGATTAGCGCACCGACGTTTTTTGTATGGGCTAGGGGGGTGGCCAGGTTAATTGGGTGGCCAGGTTAAGTGGGAGATGCGTTATAATAATTTAAAAGCTTTAAACTTAAACTTTAATAAATCTTTTTCTATTACCTTTATTACCCCTACTATTACTACTATTAAAGAAAAGCTGGACAATATAGATAACATTATTAATACTTATATAAAAAAGAAGCTAATTTAAAAAAAGGGTAATTAGATTTAAAATAATTAAGGCTATATATAAGTAGTAAAAAGAAAGGGATTATTAAACTTATTATATATAATTTAAACGCTTAATAGTTTTATTAAAGCTTTTTTATTTATAATAATTTATAATAAGCTATTTTTAAAATATTAAAAGAACTTTAAAAAGCTTAATTTATTATTTTATATTAAAAAGGGAATATTTAATTAATATATTAAAGCAATATTAAAATATCTTTTAACCTTTTTTAATTAAATTAATAATTAAAATTAGTTAATAGCTTTTTATAATTAGATAAAGCTTAAGCTATAGCTTAACCTTAATCTTTTTACCCTTTTCCTTAAAGTAGGGTATAATTATATAAACCTTTTCCTTAATAGTAATAGTAATTATACATTAATAAATTATATAACGAATAATCTATTTTTAAGTTTTTTTTATATAAACATTATAAAATAATATATAGCTTTAATTATTCTTCCTTTATTAAAGCAATAGTTATATATATATTATAATTAATATAACTTTAAAGTTAAGGAATTTAAACTAAGGTTTCTTTTTTATACTTTAATAAATTATATAATTATTTATATTTTATTTAATATTAATATTTTTAATTATATAAAGCAACTTAATAGGTTATAATAAATTATTAATAATAAAGATAAATAATTTTAATAACTTTTTAATGTATTATAAATTAATATTTAATTAAGCTTTATTAAAAAGTATTTATTAAAATAAAAGCTATAATTATTAAATAAATTCCTTAATTAAATATTTTTAACTTTAAAATATATTATAAAGAAATATTATTAATTTAATCCTTAACCTTATAATGATTTATATAGCATTTTACTTTAAATTGCTTAAAACTATAATATTAATTAAGCTAAGTTTAATAAGTACCTAATGATCCTATTAATTAATAATTATAAAAAAAGGGTTTTTTATTTATTTTATATATAAAGTATCCCTTTTATTAAAATAAAATTTTAGGATTATAATATTACTTTTTTTTAAATAATAAATTAAATTTAAATATTATAGAAATATAATTAAAATATAATAGTATTAAATATTAATAAAGAAAATTTAATACTTTAATAGCTTTTATATAAGATTATATATTAATAATATTTTAAATAGCAATAGTTAAAGATTTAAAACTTATAATTAGGTTTAAAAAAACTTTAATTTAAAGTTAGCTTTAATATAATAAGCTTCCCTTTAATTCCTTTTTTAAATTATTTAATAATAATAATTATAATAAAATACTTTTAATATAATATTATAATGGAGATAGGATATTAAGGCGCCTTTAATAATGAAAACTTTTATTATATTTTTAATTAAAAGCTAGAGTATTTAACTATATAATTTACTATAGTAATAATTAATTATAGGTAAAGTATATATAATTTTAATATTATATTAAATATAAGTGTAGCTATTTAATTAATCCTATAAAATGGTATATTTATTGCCCCTTATAATATAATAAATAATAAAATTTAAGGTATTAAATTATTATTAAAGGAGGTAAAATACTTATTATAATAGTTTATATATAGCATTTTATTATTAATTAAGCTATAGGTTAAAGGTAAATTATATAATTTTTTATATTTAATTTACTATATACCTTATATATTAATAAGTTTATATATATATTATATATATAATAATTACCTATTAGGTATAATGTTTAACTATAGGGTATATTTAAAAAGGTTTTTTATTATTAAAACCTATTACTTTTATAAAAAGTATAAATATTTTAAAGATATTAAAGCTTATAATTATACTATTAAAAAATATTAAAATAGGTTTTTATATCCTTATAAAAATTATAATATATAAATATCCTTTTTATAAAATAAAGATCTTTAAATATATATATAAGCTATATATTTTAAAAAAAAACTATTCTTTTATAATAAATATTTAAAATCCTTTATATAAAATGGAAATTTTTAAAGGTATATATAAGCTATATATAATAAGAAAAAACTATTTATTTATAATAAATGTTTAAAATTCTTTATATAAAATAAACATTTTTAAAGGTATATATAAATTATATATAATAAAAAAAAACTATTTATTTATAATAGATATAATAAATCCTTTATATAAAAATATAATCTTTAAAGGTATATATAAGTATTATATTTTAAAAATAAACTAGTAAACCTAATTAAGCAATATAAATTAAACTTAAATATAGAGCTAAAATTATATATGGAATGGGAGCCTTAATCCTGCCCCTGCTATAAAGCTAATTCTACTAAGCCTTTAAAAGCTATTATAGGCCTACCATTTATACACTTTGGTTAATAAAGCTAAATAGCATTAATTAGTTAGGTAGTATATTGCTTTATATTAAATGAGACATATTACTCCTAAAATAGACTTCCAAAACATGTCTTTAGAGTTGAGATACTTCCGAAAATGGAAAATCATAACTCCAGCGGTTAAGGTGGACGGACAACTATGCTATACATGCGATGGATGCGCCGCTTGGGAACTTCACCCCAGACTACAACTACAGCGACGCGCACCAAGAAACTGAGATGGCTGTACCGGATGGCTCTAGCGTCGACTTGGTATTGATTGGCAAGACTGATAATCGGTATCTATACTTAGTGTTGATCAAATTGTATGCCACTCCTATCCCGGAATCTGCGGTTACTTGGGAGTTCGACAAGGAGGGGTGGACATATGTGAGGCAAAGAATCGGCTTATTGACTGTGGAGCACCACCTTAGTACCGTAGATCCCGTCGGTCAGAGTTTGGAAGTTTGCGAGGAAGAGATACTCATAGTGTGAAAATGTAATCCCATGAAGTTAGTATCATGCTGAAAAAGGATGATATAAAGATTTTGTCAACAAGAGGCAATAAGAAGCATTAATGATAGAAGTGTTTAAGCATGATTAGGTGATGGAGAGGGTAAATTTTAGGGGGTTAAACGGAGGAGAACGAAAGAGGATTACCAATACTAACTTGTAATTATCTATAAGTTAAGTGTTCTAGTAAAAGGATTCAAGCGTAAATTAAACGCAGTCACGTGTTAAAATAATTATAACTTTATGGAAAGTATTTAATAGTATTGAGCTAGATATAATGGAGATTTATGGCATGGAACTTTTTTTGATGTGTTGAATTGTATTTAATGAAATTAGTAAAATAGAAAATAAAAGAAATGGGGGTAAGAGCTAGTGAAGCTTAGTAGAGGGGATAAGGGGTATGAAAAGCAAGAAGACAAAGGGGGTTAGGAGTTAAAGAAAAGAAGGAAAAAGAAAAAGAAAAGAGAAATAGTTTTGGAGGCATGGTGAAACCAAATGGAAAGGAGCAGAGGCTGACATGTCAGATTGTCTAAGCGCGGCGGGGGCCACAGTTACCACAAAAGTTGTGATAGCAGACCTCACAGATTCCCTGCCAAAAGGTTCGGTTTTTCTCGCAAAGGCAGCACCAGTACTGATTCATCTTGCCTAGTTGTGTGTTTGAGAAGGTTGTTAATAGACTGATTTGATACGTTGTTTGGTAGTTAGTTTGTGTTGAGGTTGCTTGAGACGAGTTGATTATGATGATGTCTTTTCAATTCTCTGCTTATGAGCTTCCAAACCGGCCTATTTATGCTTCATGAGGTGGGAAACCTATTCTTTCAATACCACAATATAGGTTTTTAACTGGCATATTGTGAAAGGCATTGTTCAATAACCCTTTTATTATAAATAATAACATTTTCTTTATTTTATTATATTTCTTTATTTTACTAGTTATAGTTAAGTTAGTTATTTCTTTATTTTACTATGTTTCTTTATTTTATTTTATTAAGATCAATAGTTTAACCTCTTAGTTAAAGATTGTGAACAATACAATATGTGTAGAACTATAATAAGAAGTATAGTGTTAACACAGTTAATTAAGGGGGCAGTCATGATGACTCATCGGGAAGGTGTCCAGGAGGAGGTATACCTGTCCAGTAATATTCGCTGGAGGGGAGGAGGGGTCTTTAACCCAATCAGAACAGAACCTTTCCTAAACGGTATAGAGCCTGATTGCAACTAACCGCCTTTTCGAGGACCGTCAAGTGGAAAACTTTGAGGTGTATGCTTCGACCAAAGTGATGAAGCAGGAACATTCAGAGCAGGGCGCCAATCGACTGCAGTGATAGAGTAGTGAAGGCAGGGAGATAACAGAAAGCCTACAATCATTGGCTGCGTAGCTTTCTAGAAGCTCGGGGTTTCTGATCTTTCGCCTATATCCCCCTTCAAGCTTACCATCCTAAGATCTGCTTTTTCTGAGCTGGAGATGAACGCTGTGCAGTCGCTATGGTACAGGTAAGAACGAGAGTTCTGCTCGTCGGGTGTGGTGGTGTCGGAACTATGGCGGCGTATGCACTCGAGACAGGGGGTAGAGCCGAAGTCACGGCCGTGATGAGATCTAATTATTCGGCCGTTGAGAGGGATGGGATAGACATTGATTCGATTGAACACGGCCATGATATTAGAGCATGGCGACCGACCGCAAGTGAGTAGCGCCCGCGACCATATAACTTTACCTAGCCTTTCACTGCTCGCCAACAGGTGCGACGCGACACTGACCCAGGTTCCCTATCTAGTTCGGAAGACCATCCCCGATGTGAATGAAGAAATGCTACAGCCCTTCGACTTCATTCTGGTGACTACCAAGAATATTCCAGACGTCTCCCCTGCTGTAGCAGACATCATAGCGCCCGCCGTAACGCCAGGAAAGACAGCCATAGTGCTGTCACAGAACGGCCTTAATATCGAGAAGCCGCTGATAGAGCGCTTCCCGACAAACCCCGTCATCAGCAGCGTATCCTATATCTCGGTAACGGAAACCTCTCATGGGAAGTTTCTGCATGACGATAAAGATGTACAGAAAATAGGGCCCTTTTACAATCCCCACGTTTCACCCGGCATGGCAGAGGAGGCGGCACGGCGTTACATTGCGGCGTATAATGCTGCTGGTAAACTGGACGTTGTGTTTGACGCTGATGTAAAATTCGCGCGTTGGCGCAAGCTCGTATACAATGCATCGTACAACCCGGTCTCAGCAGTGTTGCACATGGACACAGCGCGCATGCGAATGAGCAAGCACATAATCGATGACCTGATCCAGCCCATCATGCTTGAGATCATGGCCGCGGCCCGCGCGAATGGTGTGAACCTGCCCGATGATGTGCCAGACAAGGCAATCCGCGTCGATCCGACAGATAACGCATTCAAGCCTAGTATGTGCCAGGATGTGGAGAAAGGGAACTTAATGGAGATCGAGACAATCGTAGGGGAGCCACTGCGGGAGGGCGAGGCCTGCAACGTCCAGATGCCCACCCTGCGAACTATATACGGAATTCTGAAGGGCATGCAGCTGGCGATCATGGAAAAGAAGGGGCTCTGGGAGCCTACATTTACAAGTGGTAACCCCTATCAATAGCGAGATGGCAGTCGTGTACTACTCCAGGTTAACATTTAGAGTAGTCTTTGGGAGCATTAATTAGCACCTGGTTTGCATAATCTTGTAGCAAGATAGAAGATATAATACCAATAATGTATATACTCGGCTGAATGGGTATGTTCATTATATACATGTAGTTCAAGAAGAGTTGTTCATCATCATCATCAGATCATCGCCGCCCTCACCTTGCCACAAATCTAGCAGCCGGCGTAGACAGCCTGCGCGAACAGGGCGTACGAATCGGCATTGTTCAACGCATCCTGTGTAGAAAGGGCAGTGGCGGCAGAATAGCCGTAGCCGAGATCATCGGTGCCCGCGATCTCCGATAAGTGTGTCGTCTCGTGCAAAGCAGTCGACTGCTGGTCCTGCGCATGACACTGGCTGGAAGCAGCAGGTAAGTCGCTGAAGAAAAGTGGACAGTTGACGATGAAGTCCTCAGAGGGCAGGGTGTATGCCAGAACGCCGTTGCTGCAGGCACTGTACACGTCGGTACAGTAGTATGCGGCACCACTTGAGGTGCTGCTGGTCTCGTCGGCTACCTTGTTGAAAACATCGACAACTTGGTCGCGCACAGATGTGGTGCCAAAGAACTCGACTAGCTTGTCATCGTCGCTGCTGGCAGCCGAGGCAGCGGCTTGTGCAAGCTCTGCGGCGCCGTTGATGCCGTTGACAGTCGCCTCAAGCTCGGAACCCGAGCAGTCATCCTGTACAGCCTCACGCTTCGTGTGGAAACTCTTGAAGGCCGCGGAGGCCTTCGAGCCGTCCACCTTGGTAGAGATGACGTTGCTGCTATAAGGGACGGAACCCTCGATCTTGTTGGAGTCTACAGCAGCGTATTGAAGAGCGCCCTTGGAAACAATGTCGTAAGCGCCACCGGCACTTAGGTCGTGTAGTTCTGCGGCATCAAATGTCGCCGAGACGGTCTTGCCAGCCTTGATAGTCTGGAAGCCCGCCTCAGGCAGGTTGTTGGCCATCATACGGAGACGAAGACCAGAGAATTTGACCTGGTTCTCTGTGATATTGTTAATCCTCCAATAATTAAATCATTTAAGAGCGAGTAGGAGCGTTTTCGACTTACTGCCTTGGTAGACCTTGACCTTCTCGGTGGCGACCGAGTCGAGCAGAGAACCAGTCTTGAGCACCTTCAAGTCAGAGGAACCAGTGTTGGTAATGCTGGCTTTAATGCCGGAGTTACCGACCATCTCGATCTTTACGTCGAGAGGAGACGCACGTTTGGCATTGTCGATAGAGGCAGCACTCGCTACGGAAGCGAGGAGAGCAGCACCGGCGAAGAACTTCATTTTGAAAGATTCAAGAAATTTTGACTTGAAGTATGCTAGGGCGATAGCTGTCGGAGTTGAGGTGATGAGGATGAAGATGAGGATGAAGAGAGAACTATGCTGTTAAACAATTGACCTAACCTCTCTTTTATACTTCCTCGAACTGTAGATCAGTGCCTCACTCGCTGATACTATTCCGACATCTCTATGAGAGGGCCGGGGATCATCAGATGTTGGGATCAGCGGTGCATCAGCTTGTCGATCCGCGAGGCTAAAGATGGAATGTCAATAAGATATTCAGGGTCGTTCAATGGAGCTGCAATTCAGGGCGCTTACAATCTATCTGATACTCAATTGATTCCCAGTCTCAAACAACAACAATACGTCCACCATTTGAAGTTCAAAATTCGCTACTCAAAGTCGATAATTAACAAGCCTAGGCTTCAAGTCCTTGACTTACCAGCCATGCAGCCAAGAGCTTGCACATAAAGCTTGTTTCAATGACTTGCTCTTGGCAGTATTGAAGACGTCGTAAATCTGGCTATGGGAGCCTATCCTCACCTACTCAAATCGGCGTTAGATCCAGGAGGGGATCGGCAAGTTTTATGGAGACCTCATATCCGTCAATCATCGCCTTCTCAGGAAGGACCTCATCTACTATCAACAGCTAGCTATCTTGGCAGCCGTTGGTGTTGATTGTGAGCTTTGACTGGTAGCTTGCTGGATAGGCTAAATCGGCGGTTGTTAAGCAATAAGAGCGTGAGACGGGCATACATTTGCTGTCAAATTCGGTCTTCGAAACATGCCAAGACATAACACCTACCTGATCTAGGCTCTATCGTGACGATTACTTCGGAGGATTATTCGGTAACAGAATAGTTTGGGTTTCCACAATCATCAATATATGAAGCTAAGCTCATCAACCACCTATTAGTAAGAGCTATAATACCACACCGTAATATTGCTGTTAATAAAACGTAACCAGGTCATGCACATGATCTGCCTGCGTGCATGTTATTATAAGCACTACAAATTTGATAAATTCTATACGCAAGAATTCAAGAGTTATTCTTCTCTCAATAATATAGTATAACAAGGGCAGATAGCTAGGCTTGGAACTTGATGCTATTCAGATTGTAATGATTAACTGGAGCTGCATGAGTCATTGACCAACCAACTCCTTCTCGGTTGTTGATGGCTTGACTTGACTCTATATACAACTGGTCTGCCGGCCCAGACCGCCTAGGTCTCAAGGGTCTGTTTCAAGAAGCGAGGTCTGTATAACCTCACTTTACAATATTGCCCAATATTGCCTGCATGTCTTGAGAGATCATGAACAGCCTGCAAAGGTCCTTCGTACGGCCGAAGTGCTAGGCGAACTGCATATTCAGCTAGTACAGAGTGCACGTGTAACAGGATGTTATAGACGGGATATGGAAGCAAACGCCTAGGCTATCTTGGCTCATCCTGGAACTCTGGATGATTTGAGTCTATGTCATGTTCCGTAATACGAGACATATTCTGCTTAGAATAAGTAGTCGGGCTCCGGCGATCATGTCTACGCCCAATATCATCAAATAGTACAAAGAAGGTGAGCAGGGAGAAAATGGGAGTGATGAATTAGTTCTTAGGAGTTCCCCTTTGACATTTGCCCGAAAAGCGAATCGGAAGACTATGGCATCTTTCTTTTCGTCAATAAGACCTGCGGCAGAACCTTTGAGTGCAAACTCTAGTCACTTACAGGGGCGAGCTCTTGGCTCTCCACTCCCATTTTTGAATTATGAAGGATTCTAAATAGTCGTAATCCGAAGTTCTCGAGATTTATGGTTGATTGACTATCGATGGAAGACTGGGTAATAGAAGCTAATAAAAGTGTTGAAATAATTTTGGCTGGGATTTCAGCTTTTTTAGACGGAACTTAGAATATACGGAGAGCAATACCCATTGAGTTGTTACACGCGTATAAGCTGAACATGCAAAGTACCCCTTGTACTTCGGCCGTACGAAAAGTCACTGCAGGTTGTTCATAATCTTCAAAAGCATGCAGGCAATATTGAAAATGAGATTATACAGAATAAACAAGCTAATGAGACCTAGGCGGCTAGGGCTGGCAGACTAGTTGTGTATAGAATCGAGTCAAGCCACCAAGACCAATAAGGAATTGGTTGATCAAGGACTCCTGCAGCCCTACTTGATCATTATAATCTGAATATCTTCAATTCCAAGTCCAGTCACCTGCCACTTCCTCGAGCATCGCCGAACTTCCTTCGAGTTCATCTAGCTTGATGGCGCTTACATTGAGTCGCGCGATTCGCCAGTTCAGACGGTTGAGATAGGCAGACAAACGCGCGATTTTCGACATGTTGAACATTGCTATGTCTGGCTAAGTCACACACAATACCAGAGACTTGAGAAGCTTATTGACGAATTAGCCGTGGCTAACTGGGAATTGCATAACGAACCCTATGACTCAAAAGTGCCGTATGATGAACGGCACGGGGTAGATTTAGCGATTCGAACACTGGGATGGTCGACAGCGGATCTGTGGTTCAAATCACTCTGGACCGCTCAAAGGAGATATAGCTGTGCCTAGGCTACCATCCTCTCGAGGTATTGTAAGCAGCACACAGATTGTCTTCAAAAGTGCTTCTTTGAAACACATGTTCAGTCTTTGCAACCGCATCATGAACTAGACTGAAAGAACAAGAGCCTCAAGAGACAACACCAATCTCTCTAGATTAATCCAGATGATCCATGACACTGGACTCTCGGCTCTGAGGTATAACAACTCTATGGGACTCCTGGCAGTTTCTATGAAGCGGAAACCTACGCTTGAAAGAGACCGATTCTACGGTATAATGCAAGTCATAAGACCCAATTTCAGGGTAGGTAAAGCGGCGAATCCTAACTCTGATCAGCTTTATGCACTAGACGGCCTTGATGAAGAATTTGGGGAGGCAGTTCAATGTATGTACCCAATCCTGAGTCAAATGTTTGTTCACATTACTCCACCGACAGACCAGAAAAGCTGGCGTGTTCACGAATGCTCCATTGGTCCTCAGATTGTGGAAGATGGGAGATCTATTTGGTTGGAGTAGTGGTAGGCTTAATGTCAACATCAACACTGGAGCTCAACCCCTCTGTCGCATAACCACCAAAAAGATGAGTGGCCAACTGTGGGCGCACCTGTCTGGGAAAGGCGTGTGCTTTTGATAGATTACAAAGAGGTTGGAGCAACGCCAAGAAGTCGCCATATATCGAGGAGCTTAATTAGTCACATTGGAGACTGCATATTTGCACGACGAATATCATCGAAGCGCTGTCCAAGCTCAAGATTTAGTTCTTGCAGTGACCATGCTCGCGGTGGAATTGCTCTCTGATCAGCTATCTCAAGCTGAAACTCTCAGACTTGCATGATTCCGTAGATATAGTCTTCGTTATGATTCGCCGTCCGCAGGCGCCGCGCACACCCGTAGAGTCTCGTTCGCTCCCGGCTTGCCAACACTTCCATCTTGTGCAGCAACTCAATGAATGCACTGGTCCGAAACGACGTCAACTGTCAAATTCTCGAAATCCTTGAAGCTGAAGCCAAATTACGGTTCGGGTTGAGATCAGCGCCTCAATTGACCCGGAAATTCGTCTAATAAATTGATCCCGTGATGACCAATGGCCGAGGTGTGTTCTCTGGTGTGCTATATGAGCACACAAATCAGGCTTCAAATCAGCCAGAACCCGGTCCGCCAATCAACCACAGGCGGGGCCTGAAAGACAAGGATGACTAGGTAGATGGAGATACGCGAAGTAAAACATGGCATCGTCCACAAGAGCAGGCATCGTCAGAAAACGCAATGTAAGTACCCTTTCGCTGCAATCGTGGCCCACGCCAGTGGCAATACTATGCAAGGGCATTTGAAAAGCTCAAACCAAAGATTCTAGCTTTCTCCGGTCACTGTCCAGTCCGATATTTGGTTGGCCATTCTCAAGAGTACAGTACCTCGACTACACCACCGTGGCACTGACCGTGGTATACACGGTGAACGATGACGATGGAGCGGTGGGATGAACATGAGATCGTGCGATGACCCCTGTCCCGTGGCGCATTAGCTCTCGCTGAACAATGACATCATGGCCTCGGCGTAGCCCGGAGACATTGGACGTCCCACCACAGCGTCCCCGATACGGCTGGTCCCTGGTGCCACGATTTCGAGCCGTCGAATTGCGAGCAGTTCTCGTCTGTTCGATGATGCACATTCGCACATCATCCTGTTGGATCATTGCCGGCTTTGCTTGTCTCACCCCCATGTCCGTGTCTGTCCGTGCCACAACAAGCACGATGGCATCGACGCTACACGGCGCTAAAATGATGCCAATGCCTCTCGCCTCTCTACATATACTTAAAGGGGGGGATACCCTCCCTCGCCTCCTTAATCAATGGAGGTTTGGAGGAAATGTGTTTCAGTATTCGAAAAGCTATCTTCAATGCTAAGCTAGCCAGGCTCGACGTCAAGAAGCCGTCTGGTTAACTTGGCTTCTAACAATAACACAACACTTCAACGCTGATCGCAGTATTCGCCACTGTACTATTGACAAATCTTCATCCTTCACACGAATATACTACACCCCTTCTCCTGGACCGAATTCATAGCATTCGCCTGTATCCACAATGAAATTGTCGCCACCTCCCGACCCTCGGAATCTCCTCCCGTCCCGGGCTCACCCAGAGCAACGCAAGCACCGGAAACAGCTTGAGAAACAGCATCCATTTGGATTCACAGAGATTGCCACGCTTGGCCTGATCGGACTGACGCTAGCGTGGGACATAGACAAGCAAGTACAGAAGTGTGCAGAGAAGAAGGGCAAAGAACACGACGAACGAGACCGTCACCAGCGTGACAAGGCATATCATGACAGAACACCGGAACCCCGCCGAGATCATAGGGGTTCTGAGAGCGGTCAATCAAGCAGAAGGGGCGACTGGGGTGCACCAGAGCGCTGTGCTTATGATCCAAGACGTCGTCAGTCCGCAGGTTATCGTGACGATGCAAGACGCGATGACGAATACCGTGGTTATAGGCCGCGATATGATCCTCGAGATGATTATCGATGCGAGAGGCAATACGAGGACCCGAGAGGTTCTGATTCAGCTAGTCGACGAAGAATTCGTCGCGATTCGTGGTAATAGTCGGCTGTCTATACGACTCTACACGTGAAATCACAGAACCATTTCACCACACATCATTTTTAAGACTTGTTTACAAACGGAAACGAAAAAGAGTTAGCATGGAGTATTGATGGATATATGGGAAACATGAACTTGCAACATTTGGCCATCTATGGACTTCAGGATTCAGCAAGGGTGGTACGATACACGATTATATGCATTGGAATAAAAAGGGAAACACGAAAATCATGATTTATGAGGGGAAATCATTTGCATATCTACTACACAGTGGTTAGCAGATAACATAACGAATACCATAAAAAAGCATAAGAGTAGAAAATAAAGATCTATCTAATCTATGTATAATATCCTGATCTCTCCTATTATCACTTTTAACGCCCCGTCTTAGGAAACCTTCAAGCCTCAACGAGTGCTTTCTCGGCGGCAGCAACTAGAATCTCGAAGTGCTTCTTAACATGATGTGCCTCGACGAACGGCGTCGCAGGGTTATGTCGTATGGCGAACACGCCTCCGACAACGGTGCTCGACAGGAAAATCTTTCCCTCAGCCACCACGTCATCGTACGACTTTTTCGTAAGGGCGTTAACCTCCTCAACCGTCGCCGTCCGGCTTTTGTGCTTCAGCTTGAACACAGTCAGCGCATACCGCGGGCCCGTGACGATCTCAAATAGGTCAGGCCGGGTCTGCAACATGCCGGCGAAGTCCTCGGCTAGCTTGATGTGTTTGCGAACGTGCGCCCGCAGTCCGTTGATGCCGTACATGCGAATCACGAACCATACCTTCAGGCTCCGGAAGCGGCGACCGAAAGGGATCTGCCAGTCCCGGTAGTCGGTCACGAGCCCACTATCCGTGTGGGCGTTCTTGAGGATGGCGAGGTTGACGCTTAGCGCGTCGATTAGCCAGTTGCGGTCGCGCACGTACAGGAGGCTGCAGTCGAAGTTGACCAGCAGCCACTTGTGCACGTTTACATTGTAGCTGTGGAAGCGAGCGAGCACGGGCGTCAGGTGCTGGTACTCGGGACACACGAGGGCAGAGCCCGCGTAGGCCGCATCTACATGGACCCAGATCTCGCCCTGGCCGTCCCGCTTCTGTTCGGGCGTCAGTGTTGCCGCCGGCGCGATTTCGTCGAGAAGATCAGCGATACTGTCCATGTCGTCTATGGCGCAGGTATCCGTCGTACCGAGCGTTGTTGTGATGTAGAAAACCTCAAGTCCCTTGGCATGTAGTCCCTCAATGGTCTTGCGCAGCTCTGCACCCGTCATTCTGTACCCGTCTTCGGCATGCACGGGGACAGCGCGGAACCGGACGCCCGTGATCTGTGCCGCCTTCTTCGTAGCCGAATGTGTCGCTGCGCTACCGAGTGCCACCAGCTTTGTGCGCCGTAACGCAATGGCATCTTCGCGCTCCTCTTCGTCGGTGATGTGAGCCGTCGCCTCGCGCAGGTACTTGTCCCGCGCCGCGACCATGACCGTCGCAATGGCCTCCGATGCTGTGCCGTGAATCACACCACCTCCGCGCGTGGGGCCCGTCGACAGGTAGCAGGATGGCAGCGCAAAGGCCCGTGCCAACCAGTCCAACACGATGGTCTCTAGCTCTGTTACCACGGGGGAACAAATCCAGTTGAAAGCCGCGCCGGTGAAGGCGGTGGAGTACATCTCGCCCAGCATCGCCGGGAAGCTACTTGAGGAGGGAAACCATGCCAAGAAGTTGGGAGATTGCCTGTTAGTGCATCAATGTGGTTGGCCGCCTGTGTCTATGGACAAAACGAAGCTTGCGGCTAGATCTCGTGAGAGGACATGCCAATATTGACGTACCAGTGTGTGATCCCGGGCAATATCTTCGTTTCAATGTCCCTCTGGATATCGGCCCATGTCTCACCGTTCTGCGGGGCCTCCTCCGGCAGCAGCTTTTTCAGATACCCTGGCTCAACGGTAGGCAAGACCCGCCGATCCTCAAGCGTATCATAGTATTTGACGACTTTGAAAGACGAGATAATTATGTGAGTTCTTCATGGCCGTAAAAGACACCGTTCAAGGCAGTGCATCGTTTAGAACTCACTCTGGTCAAGGGACGAGATGGCCGCTTCTCGGAACTGTTGGGAGTCCATGACTTCGCGATACCGTTCTTGCAATGATAAAATGAAACAGAAGTAAATTTACTCTTATCTTCCGGCTTCTCTCTATGGGATTAGGAACAGAATTACAATCCAGTCAGGATCTTGACACCATTATATTTGAGAAGTTCGGCCACCGAGCTATCACATTTATTCTATGCCGAAGTGTACCGGAAGCAATCGAGACTACTTGTCGAGTTTTTGACAGGGTTAACGCCCTTCTGTCATGAGCAGGGGCCCACCCGAATCGTTCCGCACCCCACCTTGACTTGACCTTGACTCCTCACCAGCACCGGCACTACACTGACGGAGATGAAGCGTGAAGTAATTATATAATGGTGAGGTATGAGGTTGCCGGGACGTCAACTAAGCAATCAAGATCAAGACAATACGCCTTTATATCTGCTTGCCCAGAAACTCGGCCCGTGATTTGTGTATGAGAGAGTGACCACAAGTAGGGACTCTACTGTTTCGCTAGTTCTGCTCCCGCTGAAAAGCTCATCTAAGATGCCTTAAAATTGTTAGAAATAACCACTGCGCCAAAAGGTAGTTGTAGGTGCCCCCTTATTAAGGGCTATATTCTAACAAAAATACTTACTCAGGAGGTTCATTCAAGACTAGGAGGGCGAACCCCTTACCTGGGATACGTCAAACTGGATCTTGATTCGAATTCACTTTACAAGAATACCCTGTCAATTTATGCCGTCGGTAAATACCAGTTTACCGGTGGTTCATTCACTCAATTCTCCCGGTAGAGCAAGCACAAAATCTCCATGTCCTGCACTAACCTCTAGCATGAATCCGTTTAGTATTATGTAATCAACGGCTGGCGGGAATATGTCATAGTATACTACCCATTCCTCTATTCAAGCATTATAGCCATGGAAGCTTTTATTCGACACCGAACTCTCTAGGTAGCTGTCCTATCTCTGGGCCACAAGCGTCAGGAAAATCAGCATACGAGTGACACCTTCAACATGAGCGCACTTTACATTATAGCATCGAGGGCTCTGCTTGTAGCCCTACCAAGACGCTGAGGATTAGGACAGTAATAAGGGAATAACAACTTTAAAGGAAGTGCTACGATGTGACACTACCTAGCACTCTCAACTCCTGCAACAGAAACTTTGGAGGGTAAGGTAGATGTTGATAGGATTTGAGAATCCCAACCATTAATGTACATATACAAAGTGAAATCTGTACCCCGAGGTGTTCAACAGCAAGCTGCAGAAGCCCTAGGCATTTGCAATGAGACTCAGTCTGATTCGCCCTAAACAGCGTCCTTCGTACGTTTCGATAGCTCGTCACATGTATTGAAGCAATGATTACCCGGAGCTGTTCCTTGGCGAGTCTTATTGTAGGTTGCACGCCCAATATAACCGGGAAGTTGAAGCTGTGCTTAGGTCACAGTAAGATGCAATGTACGAGTAGTTGAATGACCAGTCAGAAGCCACCTCGCAACGAGGCAAGAGACACGAATGCGGTGTCTCAGATCAGTGCGAGCTAGGCAGGTTAATTGATGGCCCCGAGGTTCGGCGCGTATGACCTCCGCGTACAGCTTCGGTACAACATTCGAAGGCCGGAGAGAATGTGTTGCCGAGCCACAGGCTTACTGGCTCATACAATCAGTATTATATATGTCTGTTGACGAACTAGCTTTGATGCCCTATACGCTAAGGCGTCTGAATTGATGTTCGAACACGCTTGATTGTCGAATTGTTAATATGCTAAGATGGCCTAACCCTGACCTCGCATCTCTGTGATACAGAGTGCTGACCTTTGGGATATGCCAAGCAAAAAGGTGAAGCGCCTCGTCAGAGCTCCAAGGCGCTGGTGCTCAGTAGTTTCACCGTCTCCCGCATTTGGGGAACTTTCGGGCTTACACTCTTTCAATCCCCGTGCCAATCAACGCGTAGCTATGTGTGCGTTCTATCGAAACTCGCACCGCTGCATGTGCAAAACACATGCATGAGACTAGTCAAGACAAGCCAATGACGTTGGCCCATGTGCTAGTGTATGACCCTAAAGAAGGCAGTAATCCAAGATTTGATCAAAAGATACTTCTGTTCAAACATGTCGTGCCGCTGCTCTCCGCAGCTGTGATCGTAAGATACATTGTATAAGTGACTTTCGATCACAGCCCAGGTCGAGAAGGACTTCTTCGCAAGTCGAGCTTGGTCAAGTTATTGAGCGTCATATCCTATTAGAACAGAACTCTACGAGCAGTGATTAGGCTGGGCTGGCCTTATTGGTAGAAGAAATAGGAATACACTGGGGGGTAGTCACCGGGCTAGCACTATAGATCGTAGACATTCCAATGCTCGTCCTCATCTAGTGACATACCAAAAAAAAAAAAAAGAACCTTCGTGATCGTATTGTGCTTAATCACGACATATCATATTCAAGAGGGTCTTAGAGCACGCCGAAAGCACCAATGTCGCAGAAGAAACGAGTAAGCTCACGCCATAATGACACTACGCGCCGTAGGAAGCTGTCACCTCATCTCCAAGTCTGGTTTTGTGTGAGCATGAGACCCGCATTACAAAATCCAAAAAGAAGTCACATTAACGAGAAGTATCATAGTACGAATGCCAATTTGGGCCGATGAATGATGCACTCGACGAGATCTGTGTGAATTGTGGGAAACGAAGGTGTAGTCGTTCAAAGGCTGAGTGGGTGCCAGTTGGGGGGAAGCCACTTCTTGATATACCAGTCCCGGGCTTCCAGCAGTATGAGGCTCTGCCAAAGGCCAGCCATGTAATACCCCATAATTATTATGACTGTAGCCACAGAGCCGCAACACCACTCGACCACGCCGGGAGTGCAATATCCAGTAATGAGTTGGCCTTCTCGCCCTTGCCACTGAACCAACCTTATCTCGTCGGTACCGGTACCAGCATCGGCACCAGTACCCAGTCCGAAACATCTACGCAGCAGAGTAGTGACCTTGCACTGGGGAAGTGGAATTTAGGTCTCGGTCTTGTACCAATACCTTTCCATGAGCCTTTCCATGGCTCGTTGTCTTCTGCCGAAGTCGCTTACAACGATGCGAGACCTCACCTGCCCACCAACTCCCCACAGATCCCCAGTCCCCTTTGTCAGTTGACCACAGTACAACATGCGAGTAAAGCCTCTTGTTCTGTTGTTGATACCCAATATCATTCAGTTGAGTCTAAGGGGGAACTCAAGCGCAAATATGTCGACAGTGCCACCACAGCGACTGGTTCTAGAGACCAAACTGCTGCCCAGATATATACCGTCCCGATACTGCCAGATGGAACAATTTCAGGATCATTTTCGACAGAGTGGTCAGAGATCCCGGACAATACCTCAATAAGATCCCGTGGTGGCTGCCCTGCGCTCTCGCACATCCCTAGCCCATCCACCAAATCCAAAAAGTCAATCAGCTCGTCATCTGAGCAAAGACTCACAGCAAAGGGTGTATCTCGCCATCACGAGTGTTGTAAATCGGATGGCACTCAACGTCTCGCCTGTCCCTTCTACAAGTACGACCCAAAGCGATACTTCGCTTGTGTCTTGAAAGGCTTCGATTCTGTCGGCCACTTAGGACAGCATCTTAAAAACAAACATAAGCTCGGACCGATCCATTGCAACCTCTGCTGGCTAACCTTCGACACGGCCATGTCGCTGGCCCACCACGCACAGTACTGCAAGCTACCCACCGGGGGTGTTCCCGTCAACAGATTGCCAGTGTTCCCGCGGATGCGGCTGTCCAGGGAAAAGAAATGGTACTGGGGCTGGAAAAAGCTATTTGGAGAGGGAGCAGCGCCCCCGCCTTGCCCGTTCTCTCATCCCGAGCAGGACTTCGGGTCCCAAGTTCAGGCACAGAATCCAGGGCTGCCCAATCAATTAATAAGAAGAGAATTTATGAACGAAAGGCCGAGCTACGTTAACTTCACAGAAGAGGAGGAATGCTCAAACTCCTCTAAGTCGCCTGACCGGCGCTTTGCTGAAGATGACAACTTGCTGACCATGGCAGAACATATTACTAACAGGCTCCCAAATAATTTTAGTTTGTTCAGTGATACGTCGCCGCCAGACTCTATGTGGAATTTAGGCTTCGAGAATTTCTGACTAGCGCCTAAGGGTTGAGAAGGCTTTAAGAACTCGTCATCACGGTATCAATGTTTAGTTTAATGTTGCCATAAAAAGTAATGATGAGATATGATAAAGTTAAAGCACGAATGTTTTGAGCAGTGGAGCATACCATGCACTTTCTCTATTCCCCCTTAACATGTAATATTGCAATAGTCGATCCTAAATATTAGTTCTCCTTTGGAAGCATGAAGAAGCAGATTTCTTAACACTTACCTAAAATGTGAGTGCTATTAGGTGCTTCATGTTTGCGATGGTCCCTTGTCTGCCATATTGATATCCCACCCCAAGCTTGTCTCAACCCCTTTTCTAAAACAGGGATGCATCTTTGTGATACAAAATGTCCTACTAAGTAGATCATAAGGGAGTTTCGAAACCTGAGAGAGAGAAAAATTAGCGTTACCATTCTGAGAGAGAAAGTCAATTGTTGTCTTGTCAGTATATGGCAGCGTTGGGCACCTTGTAAACAGATCCAGGCCTAGAGAAGGGATGATTGAACGGTTAGGACACGAGTGGGGCACGCGGTAGACTGTGAAGTAGGGACTAAAGCATAAGTGTAATGTGATGAAGTGTCATCTAAAAAAGATTAAAGGGCTACCATAATGCCCTCAGATAATCAACCTGTCTTCATACCAAATAGCTGGCAACTTTCCCCTGTCCCAGCCAAACCGAACCTTTTTTGACAATAACCTTGTAGAAATATGGAAACAGTCCGAGACCAAACCTTGACGCCAACTACCGCCATTACCTCCCTTCCAGGACAAGAAGCTTAAGAGCCACGTTAGCAGTTACGACGACGACAAAAGCGTGGCGCTGGAGAAAATATAAATCGTGCCGGGGAGCTCGGAAGGCAATGAGAGGGCTGTGACATTTTAGATGCGGTGTTTCTCGCTTTCTGGATGGAGGAGCGAGGATTAGCCTTGTCCTCGCGATGAAGGTAGATTAAGTCGGCATTAGTTAAGCCGCTTTTTGGTTCTTCAGCTCACCAAGTCGAGAGTATAGCATATAAAGTGCCATTCTATTACACTCTTCCGTCCCTGTGATGGTCACAAGTCGCTCGTTACTGTTGTCTTGGGGTTCGTTGATTTTGATGACGCTACCGCTGATTGTTCGTATTTCGTTGATCTTGGAACCACCCTTGCCGATAATTGCACCAACCATATCGTTCGGAATATAGATCTGTTGAGTTAGCGGTGTACCTGCCATACCACCTTGCATAGGCTGAGCTGGAGGGCCACTATGATGCTGAGGGCCAGCAACGTGACCACCTTGTTGGTGGGGAGGCATGTGCGGGGCAGCACCATATCCACTAGCCTGAGGGGGATAGTGCATGGCGACATTGGGGTTGGCATGGGGCGCGGGTGCATGCGGGTATGGCTGAGCGTATGGCGCTGGGGGGTAGTGTTGGGATCGGGGATCAGGACGTCTTCCATAGTTTTCACGGTGGCCATAGTTACCTCCTGCTTGCTGTGGACTGTATGGGATTACTTGCATTCCTCCTGGCACAGCACCAGCCGGACCACCGCTTCGGGTTGCGTAGGCTGAGGCTGCTGGACCTCCAAATCGTTCGTTGAGCTGTTCGAGAAGAGTGCTACCAACGTAGTAAGTCGCAATATGCACAGCATCTGCTACTCCCATGACAACAAGGGAGCGTTCACTTGATAGGGGAAGGCAAGAATCCGAGGCATTAAGCCGGGCACCTGAGGCATCTTGAATCTCACGAATACGTACGCCACCTTTGCCAATGATTGAACCGATTAGCACGTGTGGGATCAACAGGCGTAGCGGATATGTCTTGGACTGCGCGCTCGAAGGTTCATCCAGAGGCTCGTTGTTCAGTGTGCGAATAATCAAGCCAAAGGCCTAGGTAGTGTCAGCTGTACAGTAACTGGACGGTAAATAGGCAAAATAAAGGAGATTTGCAAACCTACCTTAGCAACAGCATCAACAACGCCGCTGACGGTCAAAATTCGTTCTACAGCACCCTTCTGGTAGTCACTGACAGTGCACTTGGCACCAGATAACTTTCGAATATTGGATACATTCTCACCACCCTTGCCAATGATAGTGGCAGCCTCCGGGCTCGAGATGACCGCTCTCACGTGAATCCATGCAGTTTCATCTGCAACATTGGCTGGAGTTGCTGTGGGTACTGATGCTGTACCCGTTACAACGGCAGGGACGGCTGTGCCAGCCTTAGAATCATTGGCATCACCCACAATAGTATCCCCTTGCTCGTCTTTGACTACGGGCTTATCATGAGTAGTTGTTTTAGATGTACCGTTGGCATCCGTTGCGTCTGGCACACTATCGCCATTACTCTCTGCAATTTTGGGTTTCTCTTCCTCATGATCGACATGAATGACCTTGTCAAGTGCTGGTCGTTTGGCTTCGGGCTGGTCATTAGAGCGAGAAGGCGAAGATGCATCCTCCAGTGGACGCTTCGCTGGGTTGGTCGGCTGAGTCGGAGAGGCAGACATTTTGTCCTAAATCTGCTGAAGAGATTGTCACACGATGATTTTCTGTGAGATACGCCTTAAATTGCCGGAATATTGATTGAAATTGATTATCGAATCTTTCTTATCTACACCTTGAGGTTTCTTCGTAGGAAAACGTGCAGGTGTAAGGGCTCGGGGCGGAATGCAAGCGATGAGGCACAATAGGCAGGTAAAGGCTTTGTACGTGATCTGAGGGTCGGGTCGAGATAGATGCGGCAAGGTCGACGTCGTCAGGCCAGGTCAAATCGGGCAATGACGACAGGATGTGGGTGACGGATGCAAATCTCGCTGGATTCAGCCGTTCGCAAAGATGGGCGATGAGGGTTGAGGAGTGGTATTGGATGCCTGGCAAGTGGCAAGACTCTAGGCGTGGCGGTGGGTTGAATGAGAGTGAGAAAGAGGCAGCAGAGCAGAGACGCGAAGCGGATAACACAAGTGAAACACGAGTGAAGTTGGTGTATGATGAAAAGGGACGCCGTCAGACACCTCGAGTCTGGCTGCGTATACGTGTTCTACGTGTTGTGGCTTGGATAATAGAGGTGGTGAGGGCGAGCAGGCAGGCAGCGTGGAAGTAAGTAGGTAGGTGAAGGATGATGGAGAGCGATGAGGTAGTAGAACTTGACGAGTGAAGTTTTCCTCAAACCTTTGCTCCGTCAGGCAGAACTCCAGAGAACAGAACAGCCGCAAGCAACTGCAAGCTGCCGATTGTCCTTTCTTTTTTCTTATTCTACGCTTCTTCCTTCCTAGCAGCCGTTGAGAGCCTTCCTCGACTTCCCCGATGACTGCGGAGATGGCAGTTGCAGCGGGCGATGCCTAGTATCGAAAGAGAGATGATGAAAGACGACTGATGTGGCCGCGTTGTCGTTGTTGAATGAGGTGAAGGTTGACAGACCAAGCAGAGTTGTGCCGAAGAGCTAGGGATACCTGGTTAGCTTGCTGAGATCTACCTACCTACTTACATACATATACTGTAGTACGTAAGTACTACAGTAATAGTAGCTCTTGGCCTTTGTGTCTCTTATACAGTTTATAGAACACTGTACGAGCCAAAATACGAACGCTAACTGTCTTCATTCACAAGTAACTAACCTTAGGTGGTTAGTCTCAGGTCCCCTAAGGTTAATAATACCAGGCAGTAACCAGGTAAGCGCTGCATGTACGTAGGTCTGGGTTGCAAGTATACATCAGGCTTGGCATGGTAGGCCAATATTAAGGGTGATGGACATATACGACCTTGACCTCCGTACTGTACATGTACTGTAATTCTGTAAGATCGACGCTACATAGTACATGATCATTTCTATACACAGTGACGCACAGTTGGGCAATAGTCACCAACAGACGAGTTCCAACAGATGGATTTCTGGGGAGTCCGAGCGCTGTAGGCAGGTGGATATGAGCGCCATACTGTATGTACTGTCTAAATGCACTATTTTAGCGCTGCATCCAGACCTCAAAGCTATGGTCAATTGCAGAGCTGGGACAGACTGGCGAGCTGGGAGAATGCAACGCTCAATGAGATGTATGCGAGTCATTCGAGTCAACCGATTTGAATGTGAAACTTTCAATATTCAGTACCGAGACAATACTTCATGCGAGCTAGGATTACTGTGATTGGAGATCTGTATTAAGTAGAACCATACAGGCGCCAAATTCGGGTTGGACCTACCGACTCCTTGCAGCTGAAGCCAACCATACAGACGAGGTGTTCTAATGTCTACATCCATTATCGCATTCTAAACACTTGATGCCTGATGACTCCAGCATGAGCACCATGACTGATCCGACAAGCGAGGCGCATCAAACCAGCAGTTACGATGAGTTCCATGCTAGGAACCTTGAACAGACCATGCTGGAACTACAAGGCGTAGTCAAAGAGCATGAAGATGCATTGCAAAAAGTAAGCTTTCGCCTCCCTTACGAATCTCATTACATCACGAACTGACAGGGATACAGCTACGCGCATCCTCTATCGTGAGTCGTGCCGGTCAGAGCCTACCATCAACGGCCCCTTACGATATCATGAAAATGGCGTATAACGAGCTAGCATCCTCAACGCCATACCTTCCATTCCCTGATTCTGTTCTACCTGCGTTGATTGCCCTGCGCAGAACCCATCGAACTGTGGAAGAGACGAAGGCATATCTATCGACTCATAGTCAGTCTGTCGAAGACGCGAAAAAGAAACTCGAGCTTGCAAAGGTAGATTTCAGTAACCAACAGGCTCTTGCCCACAGTCTTCGAGGTCGCATCCAGTCACTGCAGGATGGGCTAGAGACTCGCATGGAGATGGGGCCCGAGGATATTGCACGCGAAAGGATCGAAGATCTAAAACAAAAGAAGAAAACGTACAGCATTGAGACTTCCAAGCTACTCAGATCGCTTAGGGCATTTATTAATGACCATCTAGCCGGGATGCTCGCGGCTGAGGAACTTGGGGGTCCAGTAGTCGGTGACATGATGAATATAAACGAGCAGGATCTAGTGGCGGGGTTCAACTCCCAGGGACGGGTTAAAGCTGCAAAAGCAAAAGCCGAAGATGACAACCGGCAAAGACGCATCGACGAGATATGGCGTCCTCGCGAGGGAGAAAAAGGCCGCCATGAGAAACATGACAGAGACGAAATCACAGCGGCAGGGGAGGAAATGCGAGATCTAACAGAACAGCTGCTCAATGGCCTTGCACAGTCTCAGGGTGATAGCTCAGCTGCCTATGTCTATCTGCCTAAAGAATCTGCGGCCGCAAGATTTCTCGTGCGAGCAAAAGCTGCGCAATTCCATCCCAAGGACTCGAGCAGGCTACGACTGCTAGATTTTGGCAGAGAGTTAGATGACTAAGAACGCTTTGGCAGATGCTTTGCTCTCGTTGGAGAGAGTCTACTGGGATTTATTCTGTTCCACCACCATCTCGCTTACGATTAAGTACTGTGCTGTGATGCATTCCATAATCCCATTTAATATCGGCTCATTTTGAGGCAAAATGATGTCAAGAATCTGCGAACGCGATCTGCACGGTTTCATTAGGTAACACGTGGTAGCCTGGCTAGATGACAAGCCGCCGTGGCCACGAGCTTGGTAAATCTAGGCGAGGTTATATAATTCCGTGTGCAACAATTTGTCAAGGAGAAGAGCGGCCGTAAAGTTGATCTGTTCATTAACCTGCCTAGGTAAGGTACCATCTACCAGTGCTTTATTCGCCAATTCCTTTTCGGGAGACCCCACCTATCTTAAGAACTCATCAACGCGTCTCGCGCGTCTCGAGCGCGCATTCACTACCTACTATAGGTACCTCCCCTCTTTCCGACACCGCAATTCGTACCCTCTGCATATTTCATATCCCATTGAGCCTCCAAACGAACTTAATCGTGTATACCTACTTGAGACTTCAGTCTGCCAGAATTGTACACGCAGACCTAGTTTTCATAACATGACTACTGACTCTGTCGTCTCTCCTCCGAACTCGCCACCAGCCAAAAGAGTCAAGACAGATAACACCATCACAAGCACAATGGCCGACAACAGCACCAACGCCAGCGTTCCCGTCCCCCGGCTCGAGCAGTCTCCGCCGCTGTTAATCAAGAAGCTGTCTGACAAGGCTCGTCTACCCACTCGCGGCAGCGCCTTTGCCGCAGGCTACGACATGTACTCTTCGCAGGCGACCACAGTGCCCGCCCGAGGCAAGGTGCTCGTGGACACTGACATTGCCATTGCTGTACCAGCTGGAACCTGTACGTCGCGTCTCGCACCTCAGTCCTGCCTCCCACCCACTCATGCCTCATAAACAACAAAAGTACGCTCAAAATATGCACACCCACTAACGAGACCATTGAAATCCAACAGACGGCCGCGTCGCACCCCGCTCCGGTCTCGCCTCTAAGCACTCGATCCAGACCGGCGCGGGCGTCATCGACGCCGACTACAGGGGCCAGGTGAAAATCCTGCTGTTCAACCACAGCGACGTTGACTATAGCATCGCCGAGGGCGACCGCATAGCGCAGCTCGTGATCGAGCGCATATATACGCCCGAGGTAGTCGAGGTAGCCGAGCTTGAGGAGAGCGTGCGTGGCGCCGGCGGCTTCGGCAGCACGGGCACGAACTAAGAGTCTTCTCCTTTCTCTCTGCCGTACCTCCATAACGCGTCCAATCCCCGCCATCGCCACTCGCTTCCTCGCCTAACGCCAGAACACTCTGCTACCTGCCCTAAGCACACGGGGCCCCTCTCACGACGATGTGTCGGGAGGAGGGTGAAGGGTGAGTGAATTGCAGAGATACGAAGACAAAAATGAAGAAAATAATAAGGAAGAATATTTTCGACGGAGCTATCCGTGTCACAAGAGGCCTCCCCAGTTCAATTACCAGGAAATATCACAGTTCAATGTCGTAAGTCATGAAGTACTTACAAACGAATCAAATTTCGCAGGATAAGAACGCAAAAGAAGTTTCTACGCAAACTGATAGCCCCTGCGATGAGTCTCTGGTGGTATACAGGACATCCAACGCAGTAAAAAAAAAAAAAAAAAATTACCGGTATCCGGATTAAACAGTTGATTCCTAAAAGCGCACACAGACTTGAGTGGTAATCGATGGACCTGAGGAGAGGAAGCCTACTGGAGATTCCAATCGGGTTGATCCAGTACATTACCGGAGTAACTTTGGGGGCTGCATTGCTAAGACAACTACAGGGAAAGCATAGATTAGAGATCAGGTCCGTGTAAAATAGACCACAAATGATACAAGTTGATGCGCAACTTCAGGACATGTCTCGCTCCCAATCTTTCGCATGCATATACACAAAGCAGTGTTTTCCTGATCCTGTTCTACATTGCTACGATCTCTCGAAACTATGTATCATCGTTTTATTGTGGTTTCTATAACACTTCTGGTAACTCTGCAAATCTGACGCTAATACGGAATGCTTGAATCCATGTTCCGTCACTACGCTCACATCTTCTCGGCGCGATACTCTATAGCGGGTTCCCTCAGACATCCCAGATTTCGGGTGAGTTTGAGTTCGGCGGCCTGAGACTTGAGAAGATGCATTGTCTCGCTATCCGCACGTATGGCGTCCTCACTTACGCCTCTACGCGTAGCGAGTCGCGAAATAGTAGCCGCGAGTTCCGAAGGCATCTGTTCACATGTCTGCGCCAACACTTCGTGCATACTGGCTAGGACTTTCTCGGCCGCACGCGCGAGGGGTAGATCTGTGGCCTCGACATTGTCCGGGCTTAGCCACGATGCCGTGTGCCGTGTGTTTTCAGCGGCATAGTAGGCGACGGCTTCACGCATACGCACCACCATCAGGGCCGCGAACATGTCGCCTGTGCCGCTGAAATAGGCATTGAAGACGGGGAATTGAATCGTGAAAAGGCGGGGCTTGCGGTCAGAGGTTCGTGTTGAACCTACAACGGACATAGTGGGTGTGGTGGGAGGTTGTGACTGCATAGGAGATGCCGGTCGTGTTGAGGATGGTGTTTGAGAGGCGCTACGAATGGGCAGCGAGACAGATGTTATTACGATGTGCGGTATATTGTATGTATCATGCAACACTTCAATGGCGCGCTCAAGAGATGCAGAGTCAGTAATCTTGACCCCTGAAAGAAGCCTGCATATATGGCGCATATATTATGTTAGCAGTTTTTGAATAGAGAGCTTAGGAATAGGGCAGAAGGAAATGAATGAAGCAGAAAGACGCACTCGGCCTCAAATTGGTTGGGCAGGATCAAGTCTGCATGGTGAATCAGGCTTCGATAAGCAGGGACTACGTCTTCTGCGACGTATATCTTCCCATTGTCGCCCATGACAGGGTCGAGTACCCAGAAGAAGCTACCTGGCTTCGAGGCAGCATCTGCTTTCAGCTCTTTGGCTATCCGGCCAACAGCCTCGACGCCTGCGGCGCCGGGCACGTAGCCTGACAGCATCATGTCAAAGCTGTCTAGATGGGATTGTTTGAGCCCATCCCAAAGATCTGTGATCTCTTGCGCCGTAAGTTTAGTGCCTCTAGTCCTTCTGTAACCTGTGTGGTTGCCTATCTGCCATGTCAGGTTCACACTATCTGGCGTACTGGTAGATAAGAGCGGAGCGCAAACATACTGAACTGCACTGTATTCAGAACAGAGGCATCACAGCCCATTGACTGCAGTACAAACACTGCAATTTTGTTGCCTACATGCCTGCTCAGAAAACCAGTCAGCATGGTAGATCACGGGCAAGAAGAAAGAGCTTGGCGGTATGGGACTCACCCCGAGACAACCTTCACAGCAGTGTTAGTTGCAGGTCGAAACGGATGTTGGAGTATAGTATTCCTACATGGCTGGCAACCGCCAGGACGCTCGTCTCTGGCACCGGCGGTTGTGAACTCATCGAAAAGAAAAGGTAGGAATCTCGCCGCTCTAGGGAATGTTGGTTTTGCAGGATGCGGAGGTCCAGAGGCTTAGAACAAGACCAAGGTAGAAATGTAGAAATAAGAGTGAAAGCCTAGGTAGTTATGTCTGTTGGCTGTCCTATAACCTATAACCAATAACCATATAAAGACAAAAGAACATAGTCCGACGACAGATAACAACCCAGCTGCTTCAACTCACCGTCCTGTAAGCCGGATACGTAGGAAAGGATGGTTATCCCTGGATCCTGAAATATTATCTTCCCGAAGCTGAGTGACTCGTGACTCGCCTTACTCTAGAAGGAGATCGCCTGGATCGGCGCTGGCGGTGTTATAGGAACATTCAGTAGGTAATAAACGCCCCGCCTTCTTGTTCTTGCCCCGCACTAAACCTTTTTAGTGACACATGTACTTTATACCTTACCTAAGTATCTAAGTATGTAGGTGCTCATATATGAGTGAGGACTTTTCGGGTAGTACTTGGTCATTGATACACACAGCAAAGGCCACAACAGGGAAGGACTATGTGTCTCGACCACGTTACATCTTAATATTAAGGCAATTTCTTCCTGTATTAGTTTCAAGTACGCTGATGTGCTCAATTGCAACCAGCGACTCATGAGATGGTCTGTCGAGCTACTGGAAACTACCTCCGTCAGGCACCTGCAGTACTAAGGAACACCAACATCCCAGTAGGCATGCTGTAATATCCTATCCTTATGTAGCTCCAACTTTCCATTCACGCCTGTGGTATAATGTCTTTCGTCAAAGTCATGATTGCATTCGCATATAAAATTCTTTAGTCGTCATCACCGATCTACAGTCTCTGGTTAGTACCTATAGAGCAATGCAGGGAGGATGATGCAATGTAACGAACCTTTGGTGCCAGGTAGAAACGCAGGTAGCTGGTACCTGTTACCAGATATTCAACCAAGAGGGGCACTTCATTCGACAGGCAGATCTTAACTCTGTCTGACAACGGTTGCGCTTTGCAAAAGTTGACCAGGTACTTTAGAGAGAAGGTCAGGGCAACTGGCTCGGTGAGTTCAATATCCACATTCAAGTGCTCCTTCTCGACATTCTGGTAGTTTCGTAGAGTGACAGCGCCATTTCCTATATCACCGGCACAAGAGAATTTGATTCCGTCCTTGGTAGCTTCAATCGTGACTGCCTATGGTTAGAACCGTGCATGCAATAGTACAACGATAAGTCAGAACTTACCAGACTCGGACATGGCCTGCAAATCCGTACAAATGCGCTTAAATTCAGCTGAAGGCATGGTCACTGTTGCGGCATACTCGGTATCGGGGATACCCAGGTGCTCCTGGTCGATATCCATAAGCTTGAGATCATATTCACTAATACGATCGGCTGTGCTGCTCTCAAGAGTGATGTTTAATGAGTCGGGCGTGTCCTCGGCCTTGAGTGTTACGAGATCATCGTTCTGGAGGGCACGTAGGACCTTGGTAAGCGAGACGAGGTTGACGCCCAAGGCAATGTTTCGGTCGCATCGGTAAGGTTCAAATGATTCAGCCTTTAGCAACATGGACACGAGAGCGACGTGGGAGTTGTCCATGGCTTGCAGGGCGATGCCCGAGTCATTGCAGTCGAAGTTACAATCTTGCACCAGATCCTTGATGGCATCCACCACCTGCAAGTAGTTAGTTCTAGTGAAGAGCTCGACAATGAGGTCTGGAGAGGGGAGCTGATGCTCACCTTTTTCAGGACCATTGACTGGCTGAGTCTAGCTTCCAACATCTTGACGACGGTGTACGATTGATGGGTGAGACTAGATGAAGAAGCAGTGTTTTCGCAAGGTTATATGTCACGACACGGACACTACTTATAGGTAGAAGAAAATGGGAGAAGCGGATGTAGATGCTGCGGTTGAGCTTGTAGTCGACAAGGTTGCAGATGGGATGCGCTGGGAATTTCAGACCAGTCAGGTATTACATATGTACAATCGACAGCTGCGCGTGGGCTAGCGCGTCGGTGCCAGGGTTTTAATGAGGAGTCGCGAAAGTCACGCGAACTTCTTGTCTCACACCTGCACGCAGCTGCTGGTCCCTTCCCAGGTGTCAGCTGATCTAGAGTGCCTAAGTCGTGACTACATATATGTAGGTATCTATGTACCTATCTACTTAAAGGCAAACACAGAAGAAGATTTATTATCGAGGTAACTCAAGCTTAAGATAGACATACTGTTGGCATATATAGCAGTATTACTAGGTATTTGAGTACCCGGTGCATCGGTTTTTACTCACACATACCTTTAAACACAAACAATGAACCTTGCTATTTTTAATGGTTATGAGGACTTATATAGAATAGGCAAATGCTTGAAATCTACTTACATACGTATTGTTGTGGTTGGTTTTGTACGGCGCTATATATACAGCCTAGTTATACTTATAAGTACAGAAGAGACATTACAATTTAAACGATCGTGTAGTCCAGCCAAATCTAAGCAGTTGTACTGGTCAGTTCCCAAACTCCCAGTACCTATGGCGCCAAAAAAAAAAAAACGAGGGGCATATTTAGCCCTAAAAAGAATGAGCCAGTCTATACCCAAATGCGCCCAACGTGGTCGAGTCGTTACATATTCATCACATGTGTTATGGCTAGAGGCCGAGTATCAGCATGTAGGTCTCATAAAGAAACTCGACCTCTAGATCCCTTTTTGCCAAGAACGCCTTCTAATTCTCGTACCATGCCCCTATACGCATCAGCCTTGGCCTTGGCAATCTCTTTATTTTGGCGCTCTTCCCTCATGCGAGCAATTCTTTCTTCTCTCGTTAGCATACTTCTTGGTCGCGGTACTGAGATCGCTTCAAAGACTTCGGGCTCGATTGGCATAACCGCCTTTGTTGGCGAAACTTCTCCAGTAAGCTTCCTCAATGCGTCTTCAACACCAGGCTCATGTTCGTCCGTGCTACTTTCATCTCCGGCGATCGTTCGACCACTCATTGTACTTGTTGGTGATGCCATAACCGAGCCGATAGATGAGAGACGCTTTTCGTTTCTATTAATACCGGATCGCAAGGCCTTCTTCCCAGACTGCCAAGCCTCCATGAGATCACGCAAGTCCTGACCTATTGAGTCATATTGAGACATGAACAAAGGGCCCATTTCAGTGATGTCGTTCGCTTCGTTCAATGCTTTGTTAGACTCCTCTTGCAGGAGATGTAATTTGGCCTGTACACTACGAATATTCATCGTCATAGAGCCAAGTCGCCGAACTTGATGTTGCCATCGATCATGGTTTGGCGACAAAGGTGATTTGGGGGCTCTGGGTAGCTGATTCATTTGGTCTAAGGCATTGGTTAGAAGCGCATTGGTGAGTCCGTGCCAGCTCACTTACAATCATTCTCGGCCAAAACATCTTTCAATCTTGTGTAAGCTTGGGTTGTTACAATATTTAGTTCTTTAAATGCCTCCAGCACAGTTGAGAAACGTAGGCGGTCAGCATCTGTGCCTGACGTGTGTAGCGCAAGCAAGCCACTGAGGAACACCTTGCGGATATCATGGAAAAGATACGCCGCGTCTTTCAATGATTGTAACTTCTCTCCATCCTGAGCATTACTGTTCGAAAAGAGGTTAAACCGCTCCACAACATCTGCAACCGTAAACTGGTATTGTGACTGCAATTGGAGCAATTCAGTTTGCTCCGCAAATCCCCAAATCGTAAATGCAATTTGGTAATATGTCGCAATCACCTCGGCGAGACTAGCTCGGACGGCATGCCTGAGCTGAAGACATTTGACGTTCTGGCCGTTCTTCTCTAGTCTACTAATGGGCGGTATAGGCGTACTCCTGTTTATGATGTTAGCTCCGCGCCCTTCTTAAGTAGGGAGTGTGCCCTTACAGTCGATACCCGCGGGCCACCAGCTCAACTTCCATGATGAAGTTCAGGGCTGCACTATTAGCACAGTCGAAATCACGGGACAAGGTAAAAAAGGATGCGGATTCGGCTAGTCCCCGTCGTTGAATGTTTCTCAAAATCTCTCGACGGATGTACGCCCTAACTATGTAAAGGAGGGCAACCGTCAAAGCAACCGAGACGAAAAATCGTTTCCATGTTGGAAGGAAGCCGCCCAGGGTATACCAGCGAGCGAGTGAGGCTAGACAAAAGCCAAAGACGGCCGCCGCCACAACACCTGACGCTGTGAGGCCATGAAAGTTTAATTCCGCAGGCGGCTGAGACACTGTAGGCTCCGCTGCCGACTGGTAGCCCAAAGTAAGCGGGTTATCTAGAAGCTGGGACTGTATAATGGCGAGGCGAAGGCGCTCGAGAAATCCGATAGAGCGGGCATGATCAATGGAGGACGTTACGGTCTCCAGAAGGAGCCGAAGCATGTCTAGGATGGGGGACGCATTATCGTTGAAAGCATCATGAGAGGGGAAGTTGGGGAGATCGAGTTGCATCGGCTTGGCTAGTCTGTCCCTGAACTTCCTTCGAACTTTGGCAAGACCTCGGGGCGCGAAATCTCGTGGAGGTGTCAACGGCGGCGAAATGTCGTGCTCCCTATTCTCCGGCTCCTGCCAATCCCAATCGTCCTCCCGCTCTCCCGCAGCTGTTCCAGCTGTTGTTAGCAGTGCTTGACCAAAGTCTGCGTCCATTTTCAAGATGCCGCGGGTGACTAAAAGTTCCGAGAAACAAAGCAGCCACAGACTGGTAGGAACATACCCTCAAGGTAGTTGCTCAAAGGCGAACCCTCATCGACGTGAGTCTCCATATAATCACGGTGTTGCACGACGGATCTCGTCCATCTGCGCAAGGTTGCCTCAGTTCCCTTAGCTTGACGTGGCTTCCAGGGAGAACGTCGATGTTGCAGCGATCGGACACCGGGTAATGAGAAAGGTCGTCGAGATTGGGCACAGTAGCCACGTACTACAGCAACGACGTGGCGCGTGATGAGGTAGGAATATTACTAGTAGTGTAGCACAGGAGAGAACGCTGCTGCACCACAATCCACTGCAATCGGAAGTAAGGGAAGACAAGACGGTGGCAAACGACGACAATCGACCACGATGGGTCGTAACTCAAAGAGACAGCCGTTAAGCGTCAAGATTGCGCTAGAGCAGGTGTGTTTTTGTCCATTCGCACACCCTAGAGATTGGCAGCAAGGATGTTAGGTGTTGGATGCATTGATGTAATGACAAGCGCCATGGGCTTTTACACAACTTACCTACCCTTACCCCTACCTCTACCCCTAATACCTAGAACCCCTACTACTTACTTCTGTCTCCTTACCTACCCTTCCTTACCTCTTTGCGCTTAACCGCTTGGTAGCTCTGGATGATGCGACTTGCCCTGCGGATATTATGACCCCGTAATTGCCCTTGTTGCATGTAGCGCACCCACGCTGCACTGACGTTGAAGAAAGACACGGACAAGCGCGCTGATGTCTTGCCCAAGATCTCATTCAAGCCTAGATCTGCCCGGGGTTATTGTCTGTCTACAGTGCTGTAGGCCAACTACCTGACCACTATATGTCCTACCTATAGCAAGCTCTAGGTACGTAAGGGGACCTAGAACGTAACAAAGTTGGCATCTAGTGCCTGGGTAGCGCCTAGCACCAGCGATTTATCATAGTACATCATCAGGAAACATCATTGAGTTGAGGCTGGGAAACGTTTCTAGCGCAGTGTACAGTAGTAGAACGTACCTAGGTAGCCTTCCAAGGTTGCTTAGAGAAGTGATTAGCTGGACCACGTTCCGGGCCTCCCTAGCCGAGAGGTAAGGGAAGAGCTCAAACAGCTAGGTACCTACCTAGGTAGGGATACATGTGAGCAGGTACCTATGGAGAAAGTACCTAGTACCGGTACATCATCGCCATCCATGCCACCTTGATCAATTCCAGCCACAACTAGTACGTACCTGGTTACATCTTCGTCCATTGGCGAGGAACTGAACTACCTACATCAATGTCAGATATCCCATTCGAACGAAGGGCTACCGGGGATTTCGCAGTCTGTATCCCACTACACACAAAGCGAGCTTAGAGCTGAAACTATTCCGTTGTGCGCACTCCCATCCGTGCGCAGCCATGCCGACCGAGAAAGAGTTCCAGATCGCACCAATTGTGCCGGAGTCGGTCATGCACAACACAAAGGTGAATCCATCTATCCGGGTATTCCAATCTTCAGCCTAGCAAGCCACAGCAAGACCTCCAAGTATACCCTTCAGACCGTAGCAACAGGGGGCGGTCAAAGAAAGCATCATACTAGAAAAGGGAGCCATAGCCAGTGGGAATTCCTGACTAGGTGGAGGGTTCTCTTGAGCCGAGGCGAAGACCACTACCACCCTGGACCTATGATAGTCTTTGTTCTATCGAGACATATTACTAGAGGCTAACCTCTCTGTGTTCCCAACTCGCAGGTGCTATCGAATCTTCAGAACCTCACAGCCTCTCTACTTGGCGCCGCGGCTGGAATCCTAGGCCTCGAGTCCTACAGCGGCTTCCTATTCTACATCATCTTCACCATCCTCACAACCGGTCTCTTTTACACAATCCGAGTCGCGCCCACATCGCTGAAAGCTGGTCATTCCATGCTTGATACGAGCCGGTACTTTAGATCATCGTACGAGTTCTGGTCTGGGGGGTTAGTGGGAGGGTTGGCGGGGTATATATTGACTTGGACGTTATTCTATGGGTTGGTACGAGCATAATAGCGGGCGAATAAAACTTTGATAACAACTATCTGGTGTTGTGGATATGCTAAAAGTCAAACAATGTTATGAAATCTATAATGCTTCTTTTACTATATCAAAACAAGCGTGGTAAATGGAAACAGTTAGCTTCGCTTGAATCATGCCATCCAAATATTCAACCAACTGCTCATAAGGTAATAAAACATCAACAAATCGCCTCGTAAATGCAACCCATCACATAATCATTCAATGATCTCCATAACTTGTCCTACATAACCGTCCAGCCCCCTCGATTTATCCTTCATGCCCCCTTCAAGCAGCACTACGCGAGCGCCGAGTTCAATCCATTCTCTATTCGACAGCAGCTCTAATGAAACATCGTATTTGGCATTGTATATGCCCACGTCTGTTTCAGACCTTGTCCTCTCAATCTCGATTTGGTCGCTCATGCCGAAAATATCATCGTCATCGTCGTATTGGGTCTTGAACTCTGAAAGGCCAAATGGAGATTTATCCTCTAAGACCTTGGTAACTTTCAAAACCCGGACTGCTGCTCGTATCATGCCTACATATGCGTTGAGAAGGCTGCCGAGAGTGAGCGACTTGATATCAGACGTCATAAAGCGTGCCACGAAGCCGGTCGAAGCCTGGAGAGTCAAGCCAGAGTCGATCATATGCCGGCTTGGCATAGCCAATACCTGGCCCTTGCGAATTTTAGGAGTCGAGTTGTTTCGCTTCACTATTTCACCTTCGGTATCGGGCATTCCTTCGTAAACTCCATCGAGAGCCACTTGGATAGAGCCCGCTTGACCGGCCTCGATGGATTGAACTGGTAGTCGAAGCTCGCGGATGTTGATTATGGTGGCATTTCGCCATTCGCCTTCAATATTGGCGGCTGATAAGCCACCCTTGGCGCTCAAGCGCGCAAACTCCGCTGATAATGGATGAGGGAGAGACAGGCCATATCCCGGAGACGGATGGTCATTTGGTATGAGAGCGTCTACATCCTCCTCTTCCCCCGGGAAAGGACCTATCACTATCTTGTCTCCAATTGACAGTCTCCCGAAACGTAGATACCCGGTTACAACAGGGGCGCTCTCGTTAGTTGTCTGGTCAAGCGTGCTTTGCGCGCGACTGCGAGACAGCTCGAATACCTCATCAATATGAAACAAAGCCACGGGCTGCTCGGGGTTAAGTACTAGACCGGTAAAATCCTGGGCAGTTGGTGGAGGTGGTGATGGTAAGCTTGCTAGTAGCGCATGTGTCATTCCTATGCCGGCCCCCGTAACGGCGCTCGTGAGAACAATTGGGACTACCGCAAGCGAATCGCCCGTCCGAGCGATAACGTCGATGATATCAGCTTGAACCTTTCTTTTGTCTTGGTCCGGCACTTCCGATAGATCTGCGGCCAGGGGTCCGGAGCTTGTCAGCAATTTAGGTGTCCGGCCTGTAGCTTTTACTTTCGTAAGGATATTGTTAAGCTTATCTTTTAGTAAGTTACGTTGTGCTTTTTCCATCTTAGTTAATATGATCGCCAGGGGGATCTCGAGTTTTAGACACAACTCAAGATGTGCCATGGCAAGATCCATTTCCGCAATGCCAATATCCAGAGCGCCATCTGCACCGGTTAAAGAATGTGTCCCAGTGGAAATTGTGGTCTCTTCACTTGCTGCAATACATAAGAGAGTCCAGTGCGGTGCCCATCCGACCAGAGCTCGAAGAGTGGTCCGTTGATACCGAGGGTGCCCAGCCGAGTCTAGCATGAAAACGAGTCGGCCGTCCTGGGCGCGATCATGAATATCAGGCCAAGCTTTGATGTCCATGCACGTATAGTTGAAGATGGTCTGGCCTTCATAGCCGATGAGCTCTTGGGCAACAGAACTGGTTCGTCCAGAAGCGACTTCATGGCGATGCTTCAACAAGTAGCTCCTGCTCCGACCTCGGCCATCATCCAAAGTACCGTTCGCGAGTGTACCTAAGATGGTTGTTTTCCCCGAATTAGTTGGTCCTGTTAATGAGACGCGGAGTTGCTCGGTAGTCGAAGCGCCTCTTCGAAGAGCGCCGTTAGCCGCAAAATTTTCATCATCTGGCGTGTTCCTGCCCTGCCCGTCTAGAATTGGAACGATAAAGGCCTCTGCAACCCAAAGATCCTCATGGTGAAGTCGAGAATCCAGCTGCTCATAATTTTCTAGCCAGTCACACGTGCCAACAGCCTTCATTCGCTGAACTTCCACCCTGCAGCCTAAACTAGCAGCCATCACTTTAAGGGTTGTCATACTTTCGTCCATTTCTCCTTTCGTCAAACCAACGAATGTGCCATCATCAGCAACTCCTATTTCGTATAGAGCCCCATTTGATTCCTCTAGTCCCGGCAGTAGCTGCCCGGGCTCTTGCAAGATAGCGAGTTCATCTTTGTCTTCAGGTAGCACAGGTACCACGAGATCCCCCTTCGACGTTGCATGTTCTGGGGACGATTGCTGTAATCTCCAAAGTAACTGTGTAGTCAGATGATGCAGCCGATTCTGCCTGCCCTGGCTGGAAGATGCAAGTGGTAACGACTGGTTTGATGGCCGGGCTTCTTTCAGCTTCCTTTTTGTCCGAGGTCCAGTCAGTTTGGGAGTAGTGCTCATTGACTTATAAATTCTTCGTGGGCGCAGTAGAAGATGAAGTTTGTACTCGATCGGCCCATCCTGGGGCTCTGCCTCGAGTCTTTCCACATCAGAGTCAGATGTTTGCTCTAGGTCAGCGATGGCACTGGTCGACGCACATCGGAATCGCTTCCCAGGATCCTGACCCGACCTCCAAGGGGAGCTGACCCGCGGCGGCTCATGAGGAAACGTGAAAACTGAGGCCATTGAAAGCTCGAGATTACGCTATAGAGAGTGGTCCAAACGTAGGGATTATTCAGGAATGGATTGCTACGTAGTAAGCCAGGGCCACTCTGCTGGTTTTGCGTGTTACTAAGAATAATTCGGATATATGTGATAAGCCGGGTGCTATGAAGGGTCTGCCTGATCTTATCTGGTTATACGCATTGCTCTTGTTCTAATGAATATTGGACCATAACAAGCCATCTGCAGTGAATATAAAGGGTGATGTCGTATTATCATTTTAGCGCTTTGGTAAGGGGCAATGCGGGCTGGCAGGTGTAAATAGAACGAAAGAGTGCTGCTCTTAATGAGTTGACGATGAGGCCATCATGCGCATTTAGAGTGTCAAGTGCAAGGCTATGAAGACAGCTGAACAATAAAAATAAAGCATGGCTTGAGGGCTGGATACATGTTGCAGTTATGTGTAGGTATCTACTTATTGTTTGGAGGTGGTTATCTGAGGCGGTGGAAGAGTCATACTTACACAGGAGATATCGGGTACCTATTAGTCCCTAGCGCCTGTCAAAGCGGGTGAATCCATTCCAGCCAATCAAGGCTCAAGCCTCTCTACAGCGGCGCTGCACTCATTCCGCGGTCATTAGGTCATCCTCTACCTAGGTAGGTAGTCGATACTTAAGTAAGTAGACTGCCGCTCAGCCGCTGTGGACCAATTAGGTACCTACATATGTACCTCACCTAAGTACCTACCTGCACAGTGATACTCGGATTCTAACATTCTAGGTACTTGTATGGTAACTACAATTACCTATTTTTACGCCTGCTGCCATTACAACGGTTGACTGGCCTCCCTAGAGATACCTAGGTACTGTTTTCACATCGACACTCCCTCCAGCCTACTACGTGCAGTGCTTCATACTACTTCAGGTAGTAAGTACTACCTAGGTAGGCTAGGTAGGAGGTAGCCTCCTGGCATTGGCATGGCTAGTCTAGGGACTAAGTAAGTATTCTCTCGCATTCCTCGACCCAAATAATTGCCTGGTACTGAATCTACAGATACCCCAGTAGGTACTAACGCCGCTACAATACATACCAGAACGCTACCTGAAACACTGCCATCAAGTTTCCGAGGTCTACTTAGCTGAACGCCCCACTGTCAGGCGCAGTGGCTTGGACAACTGACGAGTCGCCCTCGCCGCCCAGGGCCCGCCTATGGAGCCAGCCAGTGAACCCCTCGGCGCTACGCCGCTAGACATCTAGGCCCACCAACTTAAGACACCTTAACCACCTCCTTGTAACGGACAAACTGCCCACCTACAACCAGACCATCAATTATCTACTTACAATCAACACTCGTTACCCTGCCCTGACCAGCACGTTCCGCCTTACGACGACGCCATCTATCCAACATCCAGAAATCGCCAACAATGAAGAAATTCCTAGGCAAGAAGTCTAGCGACCGTGATGACGATCCCAATCGCAGTGCTCTTTTCGGCTCTAAGGGGTCTTCGAAAGGGCCACAGTCCGACAACCCCTACGCGCAGACTGCTTCGGACCAGTACACCGAGGACAACACCAAATTTGCTGGTTGGTTTATCCCTTCTGATACCCTCAGGCGACCGTGTCATCGACTGACTTCAGATCATTAGGCATGTCACGCTATCAGCAAGCTCAGAACGGACAAGGCCTAAATCGTTATGATAGCTCAGCGTCTTCAGCAACGGCTCCTCCTCCCTACTCAAGCCAAGAAGCATCCACTGGTTATGGAAATAATCGCTACGGCGCATCAGGGGGCTATGGCAATAACAAGTACGCGGGGTCTAGCTATTCCAACGCTCCCCGGCGGGGTGGATATGGTGGCCTTGGTCGGACCGACAGCAATGATACTGTAAGAGTTGCATGACGCATGCCGCAGACCGAGCAGCAGTTCGCATGTTAACAAGTGCTAGGACGCCAATCGTGATGCTCTTTTCTCTGGTGCTCGAGACCGGCACCAACAACAAGCGTCTACAGGAAATAGTGGCGCTGAGAGTGGAAACGGAGGCTATGATTCGAATAATGCTGCAAGTGGCAGCAAATATGACGGCTATGGCTCCCAGCGACAAATGACTGAGGTAAATTTGTCCCTCAACAGCAGCCAATCTCGGAGTTCTTAGCCCTGACCAAAATTCCAGGAAGATCGCGAGGCAGAGGAATACCGCAATTTGAAGAACGAAATCCACAAGACCACCCAAGATAGTTTGGCTACCAACCAAAACTCTCTGCGTTATATGAACCAGGCCCTGGAAACTGGCCTTGCAACATACGCAAGACTTGGCGGTGAGTTTAGTCTAATGTCCACGACCTGGAAAGTGAACTAATGATGCGTTAGCACAAAATGAACGTCTACATCACAGTGAGTAACGAACCCATTCACTGTTTCTCGCAATTGAATAAACCATACTGGATTGTCTCTATGAGCCCGCTGTTAGCTTGAAGAGTACATTGGGAAAACTATGATGTTCTGTACTATTACCTATCCCGGGAGCGAAACAGAACTCATAAACATCAATATTGCTAGCCTCAAAAGTACCGTTTACTGACTTTGAGTAGCCGACGAGCTTCTTGACACAGCAACACAAAGTCACCGTCATGCTGAGGCCCAAACTAAGAAATTAAAATCCCTCAAGTTAGCAGACGATCCTTGAAGCTAGAGAAGTCCTCACTGCTGACCCTATCCAGCCGGAGTATGTTTGCGGTACATGTTAGCAATCCGTTTACAGAAAAGAGACGAACTGCAGAAGGTAAAGCTGACCATGCGCGCCTCTTACAAGAAATCTGAGCTAACTCGGTAGCAGAGGAGACAAGGATTGTACAGCAAAATCAAGCCGATCGGGAACTTCGGGAGGCTACCAGAAGAGACAAATGTTAGAAACTCCTGCAGTCCTAAAGCCTTCGGCGTCTTAGGTAATTGGTAAATTGCAAATGCTGACAGTGGTATAGTTGCCCAGCACTCGCGAATGGAGAGAACCTTCGCTGGTTTCGATAACCCTGACGTGCCCGACGCGCTTTCATCATCAAACCGTGGAGATAGAAATAAATACAGTACGTGTTCAAACCCCCGTCTCTCAACTAAGCCAAAATGCAGCTCCCTAATCGCGGAGAATATTTGATCTCCACTAAAGAGAATACACTCTGACTTTCCCGCAGTGCTCGAAGATGACTCCGATGAGGAGAGCAAGGCACAACTGGATGCTGCAAACGACCAGATTGAGAAGGGTAAGTGGACTTACGTGGTTGCCAAACGGCGTTTCCTTAATCCGTCATATATGGGCTAATTGCTAAATTTTTTTTTCCAGATTTGGAACAAATGTCCATTGGTGTAGCGCGTCTCAAGGCTGTTGGCAAGGCCATGGGCGACGAGCTAGACCACGGCAACAAGCTAATTGATAGAATTGGCGCAAAGGTATGCAACCCGAGCTAAGAATGACAGTGTTTCAGCCTAACCTTGGATATAGACGGATCCTCTCGACGATCAGATTAGAGTGACGAACGCCAGAATGAACCGTATTCGCTAAGGGATCACCCCGGCATCGCGTGGATCTTACGCTGCCCAGCTGAATGAACTAACACAGTCAGGAGGCGAGATTTTACCTGTTAACTGTGACAGGACAATCTTGGCTGCAGGATGAACATGGTTGTCTTGAATGGATAGATTATATAATAATATCACTTCTGTTTAGCGCACTTTTATTCTTTTTACTTATTCTCTTGTATGAAGTAATTATCGGAATACTAATTGTAATAAGTGCCTAGGTCGGAGAAGATATATAATTCTGAGAATGCTTTAAGTTGGTCTGCTTATAGGCAATGTCATGTTGCTAATAGTGTAATTTACTGACTGATACATGCCTACAGCAAGCCTCTTAATCTCTACTACGTACATAATACATTAAATCTTCATTATGCCTCCTGAAACGAATCAAATATGATTCTCCAGAAGATAGATTCTAGCCAGATAGCGTTGCCGAGAGATGTTGTTCGAGCACTGTTGCAGGGGATGTAGTACAGTAGGTGATAATACAGTGGGAATCGTGCATCGAAGAATAGCGGATACTGTACTCCAGCCAACTTGGAGAGTCGAATGGTGTGAATCCACCATTCCGCCAGGGCAGTTTTTCGTAATATACCTACGTCACACATACAATGAGAGCATCGTCGAGATTATTAGCTACGGCGGCATCAACAGGAAATGGCCTTAAGCCTGCTCCTTTAGCTATCCTCCCGCCTATACCGCTATACCGGCGGCTACTCAGGGCGCATCGAAAACATTTACCGGCACAGATGCGCCTGCTCGGTGACGAGTATATCAAATCTGAATTCCGACTTCATAGGAATATCGACAACCCTGCACACCTAGTATGGCCTCGTCTCATTCATATTATCTAATCTATTTAAATTCATTATGTCGCATTGCCAGTCATTTTGCGAGTAAATCACTGACAAGATGTGCTCTAGATCGGGTTCCTTACCGAGTGGCAGTTGTATGCCCAGAAGATAGAAGGCGACTCCTGGAAGGGTGAAAAGCTTGACCCTGCCAAAGTCGAAAAGATGAGCGGTACGTCCTTCGTTATTTAGCTTTTCTATCTAGTGATCATCACACATTGATTTGCTACTGGAACTCAAGATTAACATTGCTATAGACCAACAAATTGGACAAATGTACGAACTTATGCAGGCTATCAAGAAGAGCCGGGAAGAAGGAGACGGTGACTCATAGAGTGACTAGTTTTCCAGCTAATACGAACTACACGAACACTCCCAACAGGTGGACATGTATTAGATAGTCATTAGCGAACTGTCTCATAACTACGACATTATTTGTTGTCTGCGACCTTTTGGTAGATAGACACAGACCAACTTTTCGAAGCATACATACTCGAGATACAACTTAACATTGCTAAGAATACCGCAGTAGATATATGCGGTATGTATTTCATGAGTACCGTATGCCTCGCATATCTTACTTCGGTGACATAAGATTTAGAGTTGATTGATCCCTTACACAATGGTCAGTCTCATGAGCTAGCTCAAGATTGCTTTATCGCATTCAGAGTCATTGATAGGAACTAAACTCTCTCTATTTTCCCTTCTTCTCTAATTTGGATCCTTTTTAGTTTATTGACAAGTTTCATTCATATGATTTAAATTTTTCATTGCTCATATTGTTGTCGCCAGCTTCAAGTATTGCCTGGTAGACATCAAGGTTTGCGACACTGTGCAGCACGTGATCCTTGCCAACACATAGACTGATGACACAGTGCAGATTCTTCCACTTTTTTTTTCCATTCCTAGGTATCTTCATACTACACCCATATTCATCACAAAATGGATCAACACAGAACTAAACGGCGAAAGACCAAAGCAAATGATTCCTCTGTTGTCAAAATAGGTGACAAGACCATATCTCTGAGCGGATTCCTTGAACTCCCTCCAGCAAACACTGAAGAACAACCATCATCGGCACCTGAAGAAAATGGCTTCACTACGGATAATGACAAAAGGGAGCTGCAAAAGACTGCGGGTGAAATATGCGAACCGGTATCGAAGAAACAGCCTCAGGTAGGCAGTATTGGGCCGACCTCAAAGGCAACGAAGGAGCGGGACACGCCCATGCTAAAGGCGAGAAAAGCATTGCCAATATGGGCGTACCGTGACGAGATCAAGACGAGTCTACGCGGCGACAATGACATTCTTCTTGTTGTCGGTGAAACTGGTTCAGGCAAAAGTACACAGACCCCGCAGTTTCTCTGCGAAGAGTCCTGGTGCCGTAGGAAGAAAGTGCGTGTGAAGTCGGACATTGTTGGAGTTGGTGGGGTGATCGCAATCACTCAACCACGCCGAGTCGCCGCGACGACACTAGCTGGCAGAGTAGCACGAGAAATGGGTACACCTTTGGGTGCTGCAAATGAGGGATCGGTTGGTTACTCGGTGCGATTCGATCATAAGGTCCCTAAGGGTACCAAGATCAAGTTTCTTACTGAGGGTATGCTTTTACAAGAGCTTCTACGGGATCCGAATCTGCGACAATATAGCGCCATCATTGTTGATGAGATTCACGAGAGAAGCGTTGATGTGGACTTGATCACCGGCTTTCTGAAACAGATCTTGGCGAGTGATAAAGCCGGACGCGGAGGGATACCGTTGAAAGTCATCATCATGAGTGCAACAGCAGATGTTGAAAAGATACAGGATTTCTTCAGACCGGATGGTACGCCATCCTCGACCCCCTTAAAGCTTCTGAAAATTAAAGGACGGCAGTACCCAGTGGAAATCAAACACACAGAAAAGCCTGTCCCAGACATTCAAGAAGCATTAGTGAAGAAGGTCTTTGATATTCACCAACATGAGCCATTACCCGGCGACATTTTGGCATTTTTCACTGGTCAGGAGGAAATTGAGGCTGCCCAGCGTCTTATTGAGGAGCACTGCGCCACATTAGCTTCGAATGTGCCCAAGCTGCTCGTGTGCCCTCTTTACGGGCAACTCTCAATCCAAGCGCAACAAGATGCTTTTCAGCCCGCGAAGACCAAGTACACCCGAAAGGTGGTTTTAGCTACCAATATCGCAGAGACATCGGTCACTGTCCCCGGCGTCCGCTACGTCATTGACTGCGGCAAGGCAAAGGTGAAACAATTCCGCGCGCGGCTCGGGATGGAGTCCCTCCTAGCCAAGGCAATATCCAAATCATCAGCAATTCAACGAACGGGACGAGCAGGTCGTGAAGGGCCGGGGAAATGCTTTAGGCTATACACGTCCGAAACATACGACGAGCTACAAGATGCAGATCTGCCTGAGATTCTCCGCAACGACGTCCTAGGTGCTGTGCTGACTATGAAGGCACGCGGCATTAACGACATTCTTTCGTTCCCGCTGATGGACTTCCCTGATATCGAGGCCGTCGAGAAGGCGCTGATACAATTGTATGGCCTGGGCGCTCTTGCTAACGACGGCAGTATAACCAATATCGGGCGCAAGTTAGCTCTGTTCCCCGTATCTGCCCCCTACGGCCGCGTGCTTCTCGCCGCCGCCACTCCCGAGTTCGACTGCCTCCTCGAAGTCATCGACGTGATTGCAGTGATAACCTCGGGTGAGACCATCTTCCACCAGATTCAAACGGAAGAGGATAGTGAACGTGACGCGATCGAGGAAACGCGCAAAGAGCTACAGCGTCGCGAGGGCGACATCCTGACCTTCCTGACGACGATGCAGCGATACGCCGCCGAAAACGCGGACCGCATAGCGTGGTGCCGCGCCCGCCGCATCAGCGTACGTAATATGCGTCAGGCCCTCAACATCCGTCGCCAGCTGCGCGGCATCTGCGTCAAAGAGAAGTTGCTGTCGGAGCCGCCGCTGCCAGACCCTCAGCCCTTCGTGCCGCTTTCCCCTGAGCGCGCCGATGCGCTGCTGCGGTGCTTCATGCGTGGGTTCGCGACCAAGACGGCGCTGCTTGCGCCCGACTCGAGTTATGTTACTGTCCAGGGCAAGCACGTCGTCGCCATCCACCCGTCGAGCGTGCTGCACGGCCAGAAGAAGGAGGCCATCATGTTCCTCGAGCACGTCTTCACGCAGAAGAACTATGCCAAGAAGGTCAGTGCTATCCGCGCCGACTGGATCGTTGAGGCCATGGGCGGCAAACCCACATAATGCATATGTTGCGCGTCCTTTAACTAAGTCTAATGTTGGTGTGGTGGGATCTCTATATAGGTTAGATATTACACTTTGCTGACTTAATCAGCCCTTCCTCAAAGCAGAAAGGTAGAATAAACTTATAAGTATCAACGACTATGTAGTAAACGAAAAGAGATAAGACAAGGTACTATTGAGCCCTGCTTTTACAGACGTGGTCAATCGGTACCAGTTAAGTTACTCTTTTCCACGCCCGTCCCTTCACTGCTCATGTCAACGAATATCCCCGTGATTGTGCTCAGGGGAATCGAGGTTCATGCATATCAGTTACTGATTTTTCCACAAGAGATGTGTATGTATCTATTTATCTACGTGCCTAGCATTTACCGCACTACCTGCTATCATGAAGAGACTTGTTATCTATACTACATCACTCAAGGAATCATGTAGTCCCAATACCTCATTACGGCAGTTGGAAGTGAGCACAATCCCTGCACACACCTTTATAGCCATTCGTTCCTGTAATTGGTGGTTTCACATGCCGGTAGGCATTGGGCACCACCGATGACCTCGAGGACTGTGATAGAGATACGCGTAGGTAGTGGTACCTAAGCTTGAATTCTATATTAGAACTTGTCTACCCTTTTGAGAATCTATTTCTCAAGCTTCCTAATTCCCCAAATGTAGAAGAGAAACGCCATACCAAGTCTGTTACGGACCTTGCCATGCGGCCTAGTTTAAGCCATAGTCCATTTATACCGACGGATATCAATGCTCGCTTCTCGGCTAACCCTAGTAGTATTACCTTATTTCCTAAAGTATACGATATTGTATTGCTTTTCAACCGTGCTGTGCCGGTACCTGGATTGGCTATAGTTGAGGGATTCTCGGGTTCAATCCAGACTGAGTTATCACGCTGTGGGTGACAACTCGATGAGTTGCGCGGTTCAGTGATTATCATTGTATCTGCTGAATGGCTGGAAGAAGCAACTAACCTAGGTTATCTGTCTGAATATTGCAGACTAATTGTAAATGATCGGAGACATTGTATAATTCCATATGAGCCCGTCGAAGAATTACATGGGTATGTTTGATAGAAGTCAGAGCAACTTTCAAGGTGCCAGGAAGAGCAGCTCCGGCATCTAAAGCTTTAGAGGCCATTTTCCATGAGAAAGTGGATTCCACTAAAAGTCTAGATACTTCTTCTAGAGAGATGAAGCTATCATGTAGAAGATCAGGAACATCTTCTAGATCATAGCCGTCACTGTCTGTAGAACCAGCAACAGGGCTAGCAAGATCTTCCAAAGTGCTTGTATTCGGTTGGGCTGCGACAAGGTTCTGATTTTCTGAGCTTTGCGTATCGGAATGATTTGTATTTGTATTTGTATTGGGAAAAAGTGCTTTATAAGCATCTTCGACCAAACAAATATTTCGACGGAATAATATAGGGTTCTGACGTTCTGAGGTCTGCGTGCTCAAGCCTTCAGGTGGCATGACGATATTATATCCTGAAGCGCTAGGTTCAAGGGATGGACGACGATGGGTCGCATCTTCGACTGAGCTTGGATGAGCCAACAATGCTCCAGACATTTCTTGACCCCCACAATCCTTGAGCCACCAGGTTGGGACTTTTTTTGATGCATTTTTTCCCCACATCTCCTCCCGAATGGCGATGTTATCAAATGCTTCGAGGCCATCTTTGGCTATTTGGCGCAGGCGATCCCGGCCATCTTCCCATTCTGCAAATGTCATAACCGTCATAAGGAGCCCCTCATCCTTGCCGTCCTGATTCAATGACATTTTCGATTTGTCATTGACTTGTGCTTCTCGAAGAGAAACATCATTTGTCGCCTTTTCCTCTGCCTCTGCATTTTCATTGTCACCTTCCCCCTGAGATTCGGGGGTAGGCAGATCAAATCTATATTTCTTGGCCGCAGTATCTTCAGGGGAGTGTTCGTGCTTCCTCTTTTCCGGGCTTTGCTGGCTGGTGGGAGATTTCATTGTTGTCATAGCCATGTCATCAGTCTTTCCCTCCCCTAACAAAAGATTTGAGAGATCTGTAGGATCCGTAAGATCTGTAAGCTCTAACCCAGAACTCATTTCGTTGCTGGTATCTCCTTTCTTGGGAGGATTACTATACTCATCAAGGAGGGGTTCGAGTTTTTTAGTGTTTTTTTTTTTTTGAATCTCCAGAAGTGTTTGCGCAGTACGTCGTAGTCGTCGGCGCGAGTCCCATCGATACAGTCTCTCGAGCCCGGCTGATTGATTGTTGCGTTTGCCAAGGGGGTTGCTCTCGCCTTTCCAAGCTCTCTCGGTTTCGCAGGATTATCTTCTCAGCAACGATAAGGACTTGTCGGTCGAGATATTCTGCCGGTTGAATCAACTTGGCCGTCTTCGCCGTTAAGTTACGCCGTACTTTGGTGGAGAAGGGCTTCTAAGTTTGGGCTGAAGGTGTACTTGTGCTTTGTCTTTCTTTCGTTCCGTAAGACTACGCGTGTCGCTATCCAAGAAATGTGGCATCGGTGAGAATGAAGCGGTTGTTATTTGGCGAGCACAAGGATCATAACCTGTACTAGTAGGGGTAGCCACAATAGTGCGGAATATCTCTGCCACTTTAACTTCGATGTCCGGGCTTTCCCTGAAGTGACTGACAGTGGTTGGGATCGAGCGCAGTGCGCATCAGAACGAGAAGGAGCCTACCTAGGGTGAAGGATACAAGAGTATGGGAAATTAAAGAGGGAGGCGCCTTGAATCAAGGACGATGGCACGGTAAGAACGCAGGACCTGAGTCGTTGTTGTTATTATTATTATTATTCTTCTTCTTGTTGTTGTTCTTGTTGTTCTTGTCATTGTTGGTGGTGGTGGTGGTGGTGGTGGTGGTGGTGGTAAAAAAGCAGCGACAAGCCGCCTGTGGGGTACTAGGTACCTAATTAAACCGTGCGGGGCTTCTCCAGGTATCTACAGGCAGCTACTTACCTAAGTAAGGTACCTAGGTACCTAAGGCTAGGTAATTACAAGCTACGGTAGGTGCCGCTGTTCACCAACCATCCCCGTGGACCTCGGCATGACGGCCAAGGGAACCCTGCTCGTGCGAGGAGCAGTTCCGAGGGTAGGTATGTAAGTAAAATAATCAAATTGCGTGAGAACAGCGAATCGTCACATCTGTGCTGAAATACCTGTGCTCATTGTGCTGTGGCTTCAATTTACTTTACTGTCTTTGAAATACCTTATATCCAACAATGAGCGGTCCCGGCGTTGGCTTTGAATACCCCCCCATCCAAGTGTCGTGGCTGAAGCGCGATGCATTGCTCTTCGCCAATTCGATAGGGTGCACTCCCGATGAACTTCACTTCCTTTACGTACGTGCTTCTTGATTCACTTCATTGGCCCACCGCCGCTCACAGCCTGGCTAGGAGCTTGATCCCAACTTTGCCGTCTTTCCTACCTATCCAGTCATATTGCGTAAGTAATCACGCGAGCAGCGCCCTCTCGCCACACAGCCGTTGACAATTCGTAGCTTTCAAGCAAAACCATGCCGACGTCATTGATTTCTACGCCGCTCAGAAGGCCGTCAAGATCCCTGGCGTACCGGAATTCGATGCACGACGAACTGTTGACGGCCAGCGACTGATCCAACTCTTCAAGCCCCTCCCCACCACCTCCGAGGGCAAGAAATTCGAGATCCGCACCAAGGTCCTTGGTGTTTACGACAAGGGCCGCCCGGGAACTGTCGTCGAGACCCAGACTGACCTAGTCGATGCCGGTACTGGCGATATTTACACCCGTGCTATCGGCAGCGGCTTCTATGTCGGGCAGGGTAATTGGGGAGGACCCAAAGGCCCCCCGACTGAGAACTTCCCTCCTCCAAAGGGCAAAACCCCTGACGTTGAGTTTGAGAACCAGACGACAACGCAGACACCCATCCTCTACCGCCTCAATGGCGACTATAATCCCTTGCACATCCACCCCGAGCCGGGCAAGAAGATGGGCTTCGGTGGCGTCATCATCCACGGCCTATATTCATGGAACTGGGCTGCTCACGGCCTGTTGCAAAAGCTTGGTGGCAGCAACCCTGCCAACATGAAGGAGTTCCAAGCTCGTTTTGCGAGCCCAGTGAAGCCCGGGGACAAGTTGGTGGCCTCGGTGTGGAGGACCGGCGAGATGAAAGGCGAGTGGGAAGAGATTCGCTTCATCGTCAAAGTCGCTGGTGGCAAGGTTGTGCTAAGCAACGGCCGCGCGCTGATGAAGGTTGTAGGAGAAGCCAAGAGTAAACTGTGAACATGACTATGAGGCCAACATATGGAGCGACAACACTTTAGGCCATTTCGCCCGATAGGTATATCAGCATATAGCATGTCAATTTAAGCGAGTGTTGCTTCAGTGCATCAATTTCAGAAATATATCTCAGCAGCCAAAAACATATTGTGGTAACAAAGTCTTCTGTAGTCTTGTATTATGACAAGAAAATAAGGAAAGAAAAGGGGTGTTGATGGGCACCACTTTGCTGGTTGCCTAGTCGCAGTGTCCAACCCAGTAATCTTTTCAGATGGGTACATTTGCCAAGGGGGAAAAGAGAGACAAACCCAGATCCATTGCACGCCGACGCCAAGTCAAGCACGTATACGTCAATGAATTGGAAAGTAATGATATGGTAACCATGTCTGCAATTCCCCATGTAGGAGATCGTCTGTCGTTTGATGGGGCAACGTGCACTGTCCGATACTTGGGCGAAGTTGCCGGTACTTCAGGTTCTTGGCTTGGCGTGGAATGGGATGATGCCGCCCGAGGCAAACACGACGGCTCTCATAAAGGAGTGAGATATTTCAAATGTAAGTATCATCCCTCATATCGAAATATATATAATTTTCAATGATCCTACTCCCATTCGTTCGGCAGTGGAGAAGTCGTGGGCTAAGTGCTGAGGCCAGGTCGCTCGCGCTCTGCAACCCCCGCGTCCTTTGTACGGCCGACAAGGCCTGCCGCAACACCGGTCAGCTTCATCACTGCTTTGCAAGACAAATACACCGCCGAGTTGGAGAACACGGTTGCCATCCAATTCTCGGGAAAGATAGCGGAGGAAGTTGGCTTTGAGAAGACCCGCAGTAAACAGGCTCAGCTCTCAGAACTTCGGTACGCTGTTCTTGATGGCACATGCATCGCTACTGCTTACAAGGATGGCGACCCGTCTATTTCTGAGACATGTCCAAAGGTGATTGAGCTGGACCTTAGTCGGAATCTCTTCAAGAGGGCTGGAACCGTTGTGGAAATTTGCGCCGAGTTGCCACGGCTTCGAGAGTTACGATTAAAGTGAGCCGAAACATGGTCTTTCTCTTCTCTTGTGGTTCATAAGCTAATAAGCCACTACAGTGGAAACCGCTTCCAGGATGTACTCAACGATGAAGGGCTTCATGGGGTACAGCAAAGTCTTCAGGGCGTTCAGGAGCTGGCACTTGAAGAAACTCTAATGAGTTGGGAAGAACTTGGACATATTGCAACCAGATTCGAGTCTCTGGCTTCACTCTCTGCGGGTACAAACCAGCTGTCTAGTTTGCCAGTGATACCACTCTCGTCCCTCGAGTCAACGCTCACTTCTCTGAATCTCGAATTCAATGATTTCACCACCATTGCCCAATTGGGCAGCCTTACAGCGTTGACGGTTCTCCGCCAGCTACACCTCAAGGGAAACAACATATCAGCGATTCAATTAGCTGACTCGGATAAGCCATCGCCAACTTTCTCCATCAACTTACAGTATCTTGACGTCTCGTACAACCAAATCTCATCATGGGCATTCGTAGATGATCTACCAGCTTGTTTCCCAGGCTTAACAGCTCTACGCTTCGCCCACAATCCTATCTACGATCACCCTGATCCCGAGCTTTCCACAAACCCCAAGAACTTGACAGAGGAAGCGTACATGTTTACTGTCGGGAGGCTTGCAAACCTGAAGACTTTGAACTTCGGCACTATCTCTGCCACAGATCGGCAGGACGCTGAAATGTTCTATCTAGCCCACATCGGGAAGCATCTCGCAACCGTGCCCGAGACGCAGACAGCCAAGATTCTCCAGCACCACAAACGTTATGCAGAGCTATGTGAATTATACGGTGCACCGACAGTGAGCCGGAGGAAAGAGGTCAACCCAGCCTTTTTAGAGGCCAGGCTGGTGAGGGTCCAATTCATGTTTTACTCCAAGGAACAGGGTATCATCCAGAAAGCTACAAAGATTCCCAAGAGCTTTGACATATACGCTGTGAAGGGTATAGCAGGAAGGCTTTTCGGAGTGAAGCCGCTATCTGTACGACTGATATGGGAAACTGGAGAGTGGGACCCCGTTGCAGGGTTTGATGATGAAGTGGAAGACAGTAGTGACGACGAAGAGGTGCAGGAGGAAAAGATGACTTCGTCGGGTGATAACGTACCCACAGGAGAGGAGCCAGGTAAATGGGTTAAACGCGAGGTTGAGCTGCCAGACGGGTCCAGGCAGCTGGGTTTCTGTGTTGACGGTTTGGAGGCGAGAATCAGGGTTGAGATGCGGTGAAAAGGCATATCGCCTGTGCTTGAGCCCTGGTCCAGGTATGCTATGGTTGTTAGCTAGACCACTACCAGCGGGGGGATTTTTGGTTCAAGGCTCAAATTTACAAAGCATTACCGAAAAAAGTGGCAGTTTCGTAGGTTTTGGCCAGATTTCACACTAAGATGTCGATGTATCACTTCTCGCTTCCTCATCCTGCCGTCGACCACGCTTCCTCCGTATTATATCGAGCGTCTAGTGGCATTCTACACATCTCTTCTGGCAATTTTGAGAAGCAGGGGACTAGAACACCTAATGATATCTATCGACTAGTTACCTGCATGAATTAATGCGGTTGAAGTCCCTCGTGAGCTGAGAAGTGAAAAGACATCGGGCCTGATCCAGCCTAGGTGTCATCCTGAAGGACAGCTTATGCATCACGTCGGCTCCTTCTCACGATTTAGACAATGTGGGCTCTCGGATAAATGCGAATGCCGAGTCATTCATCAGCCAGAGTGATTTTTAAGTTCGAGAAATCTATCATCATCGGGGGTTGTGCTGGTGGACGGATGGAAACGGACACTGCTGATACTAATGATGCCCGAAGTCACATTGGAGTTCGTCAGCTGGCAAGTCTTGATTCCCGTTCTTTCCTGTCGTGGGCTTGTTATTATGACCAAACTGACCCTTTTATACCTTTTGTACTTTAACATCTTAGGCCCTCTCCGACATTGGAGGCGATGAGAGGGACAGTGATGAAGAGAAAGCCAGGACCAGCCCACAAGACAGGTTAAATTGTCAATTCAAATAAAGATTATTGCCGATGTTAACACTCGGAAAGGGCGATTTTGGTAAGTCGTGCAAGCACCGCTACTATATAAAACATCCCTTTTATGTCAACTGGGTGGGCGAATCAGAAATGGATGTCAGGCATTCCCACGTACGAACTCTGCCGTCTTCAGATTATTACGTTTGATAACATTGTCTGAACCGTTTAGCCAACTTTAGGGTAAAGAGTTAGGGATTCAGGAAACCACAATGAGAAGGAGAAAACGCTGTAAAATTGTGATGGAGACCTCAGATTTGGGTGCGAACAGCATGAATATCACTTGGATTCGCGATTGTGCTTTCGATTCTTGTTTAAATAGTGAAAAGCATAAAACTCCAACCATGCTCGGAAGATAGGAACACGGCTAAGACTACCAAGGATTCCACTCCGAATAGATTCCCTTCCAAAAGCGGGCGTAACTTCATGCTGTTGGAGGAACTTTGTACAAGGGTTGGTTTACTCCTCCAGCCAACCATCCCACTTTTTCAATTGACGTCTGTTCCAGTCGCCATATTTTCGGCCACCCTCAAGCGCCAGACTATTATAGCCCGAGCAAGAACCTTTTCTCCCTTTTTGTTCTCTTCATTTAAAACGCCATCTCTTTCTTGATCTCTCCAATTGCCAGACCGGGATTTAGGCCCTTAGGGCAGGTTCGGGTGCAGTTGAGGATGGTGTGGCATCGGTACAAGCTCATGGAGTTATCTAGTGCTGCCTTTCGAGCTTCGGTCTTCTCATCACGGGAATCGATAATCCAGCGGTAGGACTGTAGCAAAATAGCGGGCCCAAGGTATTCCTCGGCGTTCCACCAGTAAGAGGGGCACGAGGTTGAGCAGCAGGCGCAAAGAATACACTCGTACAAGCCATCTAGCTTTCTCCGGTCGGCCTTGCTCTGTCGGTACTCTCTTCCCTAGAAGCAATGCATTAGCACGCAAGTCAAGAATCAATGATGGAGATTGCAAGGGTCATTCATACATCAGGGGCCGGTGTATCTCTCTGGAGGTAGGGCTTGATAGACTTATATTGTTTGTAAAAGTGTGTCAAGTCCGGTACCAAATCCTTAACGACATATGTGTGAGGGAGCGGGTAGATCTTTAGGTCAGCGCTCGTATCAGTGGGGATACGACCTAGAAGGGCATTGTTATTAGACTTAGAGCATCATATGATATAGGCGCATCTAGGAACTTACACAAGCACGCGAGGGTGTTCGTTCCGTTAATGTTCATGGCACAGCTGCCGCAGATACCTTCTCTGCAACTCCGACGGAAGGTCAATGTAGGGTCAACCTCGTTCTTAATCCTCACCAGCGCATCGAGCACCATGGGGCCAGTCTTGTTAAGGTCCAGGGTATAGGACTGCATCTTGGGCTTCTCTTCTGGCTGTTCGGGATTCCACCGGTAGATCTGGAAGGTCTTGTTTCGCGCGGCGGATGAGCTCTTGGGGTTGGCATTGACTGTCGCGTCACCAACAGTGGCCATTGATCGCACGAGCATAGAGGGACCAGCCGACGAGCGCGTGGCGGCGGCTAGGAGCCGGGACGAGGTAGAGCGGAGAGCTGCCATTGTAGGCGAGGAACGGTTGCGATCTCGCTTCGATTGAGCTACTGGTATAGAGACGAGGGAAAGAGAAGTCCAACCCCGAATACTCGACAGCAGGAAGCGAGAGATACACCTTAGTCAAGGCTAGTCTGTGTGGCGATGGGTTGAGAATGTCTTCATCATCGAAGTTTCGAAGACTAGCCAGGCAGAGCCCAGTTCACAAGACCAAGTTCCAACCCGATTTGCTCCCTCGGCTATCGGCTGGAACTGCTGCAACCAATGAGAGGCATTCAATTATTCACTCATCGCCGGATGGGATCCTCCACCGATTTGGCTCTTAGCGTCCCATCGAGCTTGGTCCAAGCGTTTCTACAAGCAGCCTCGAGCCCCTCCCGCTGTGTGGCTGAGGGCAATACGAACACCTCTGTCGAGCCTGTCTCCCCAGACCTGTTTTCAGCCACTTTAGCCACAGTGCCAAAATGGTGGGTAACTGCCTATAACAAGCCTATAACAGCCGAGCTCAGTCGTCATCACGCAGCGCCGAGAGAATCCCAACATTTATTTTTGGGGATCCGGCTGGCATGGTCAGGTCTGGTCAGGCTAGGTACCTACAGGGACGTTGCATTGGTGATCAAAGTTAGGTTTTATCGTTGTTGTAACACGACAAAGTCCCATGTTAGAACCTTTGCGGAGCGGACGAGGGGGCGATGTCCGTCTTCGACTTGTTTTCCTCGCAGATTTTAGGCTTGAATGAATAACTAGATGTCAAAGTCTAACTGCCTTGACCTGTCCAGGATCATCTTGTCCTTGCTTGTCCCCCAACCTTGTACCGTAGTCTCCGCAGGCGAATTTAGACCTCGCGATTCTTCCCGCTCCGGTATTACCCGCGTCTTGTGAACGTGCGTGAGGGATGGCAACGCCGACACCACGACTAGTGGTCAACTTAGGAAGACTCTGCTATTCGAGTGAGAGAAACCATGGCTTCGGTCGCGTGTCGTAGGGTTCCGCTATCATCTAACTCGCCATTCATAATAGCCGGCGTGCGGTCTCACCTGGCGACCCCACGACTTCGAATGCCCCTACAGCTATCGCGAACCAACCAAACAGACGCCTGCTCTACCCAACCAACTGTTCACGACCAGGGAGCGCAGCCTACACGGAAATTCGGTTATCATGCTGCTGCCTCTTTTTCCGCTAAATTCAAGAAATTCGACCCTCTCACGAACGTCTTTCACTTCAACCCATACAACCGAATCCAAACCGAGAAGAAGCGGCCCAAGTCGAAGCGACCCGCGAGCGGCCAGGATGCCTTTTTCATAAGTCGAATTGGTGATACCAATGCTGTCGCACTAGGTGTGGCAGATGGTGTGGGGGGCTGGGAGGAGAGCGGTGTTGATCCGGCCGACTTCGCACATAGCTTTTGCGATTACATGGCATCTGCCGCGTATGAACACAAGCCTAATGGCGGCGAGACTCCATTGGCACCCAGGGCGCTCATGCAGCGCGGCTATGACGATGTTGTGAAAGATAGGTCCATACACGCTGGTGGCAGTACGGCAACCGTGGCTGTCGCAACCGAGGATGGCAAGCTAGAGGTAGCGAACCTGGGCGACTCTGGCTTCGTTCACTTGCGACTGAACGCCGTTCACACTTATTCCGAGCCACAAACGCACGCTTTCAACACGCCCTACCAGCTCTCGATCGTGCCCGCGAGTATGTTAGCACGTGCAGCCGCTTTCGGCGGGGCACAACTCTGCGACTACCCAAAGGATGCGGACGTGACGCAACACACTCTCAAACATGGTGACATTCTAGTGTTCGCAAGTGATGGTGTATGGGACAACCTGTTCAACCAAGACATACTAGGCATTGTGAGTCGGACAATGATGAGCATCGGGGCCTGGAAGACGAGCGACGGCGGTACCCGGGTGGTGGACAATTTGCGACGTTTCACCCAGCCCGAAGACTCTACCCAGCGACTCGTCACATTACAGAGCGCACTTGCAATCGAGATTGCGGCAAGAGCTAAGACAGCCAGCACAAATCAACGACTCGATGGGCCGTTCGCCAAGGAGGTCCAGAAGTACTACCCTCAAGAGAACTGGCATGGGGGCAAAGTCGACGATATCTGCGTCGTTGTACTTGTGGTGTCTGACAGCAATAAAATGCCCGAAGTGCAAAGCAAGCTATAAAACGCTGCAGTCTATACCAAAGAGTCGTATAGGGAGAAGGCGAGAAGGTAATAGAAAGAAGAGAATCTACATACCGGCCCATCCATCTGTGTATCCCTCATGCATTATTCGGCGTTTCTTGGGCAGGGGCGGAAAGTGTGCGCGCTTCCATTTTACAGACTAAAGGGGGCTTTGGGCAACGGGCAAAACCGAAGCAAGAGACAAGCTGCGTGACAGCTGAGAGGTCATCGCATACAAAACTTTGCTATAAACCTTGTCGACATATCAGGGCACATGGGCGCCGGTGACTATATAGATGATAGATATATATGTACATATCTGCTATTATAATTTAATAGGTAGGGAAAATATGCTCGCGCTCTCTACCTGTAAAATACAACCATCAGGGCTATAATACTTCATGCAAGCAGTGATGTCTGATACCATCGTTCTGTTACAAATTGCACGCCAGTATTGACTGGTAGCTATTCTCAATCCGACGGTACTTAGTTTCATATACATGTACATACATCTATACGTACACTCTACATACAACATACATACGCAAAATACGTCGAGGCAGAAACACAAACACAAACACGAGCACACGCACAAGCACAAGCACAAGCACGACATATGAAGTCCCACAAACCCATGCAGAGACCAGCCTTTACAAAAGAGATAAATCATATGGACTCTCAATTGGATACAAACCTCGTCTAGGGGCATAACAATCCCGTCCCGAGAGAAAGGCACTTCAACCCGACTATTCCTTAAGAGCGCTTATCCTACCAATGACGGGAACTAGAAAATATGAGAATTCACCGTCTGTCTCACGATCGGGTCAACGAACCGAAGCGCCGCAAAACGGGAAGCCAATAGGAACTTTGAAAGTGAATCTTGTGACTGGGTCAATGTTTTCCGCGCGGGTTCCCAGCCTGGTGGGATCCGCGGATTGGTGATACTGCTTGTGTCAATCTGCAAAGATCCGACGTTGCAGCTAGGTATGTCACATGCACCACACCGAGGTACTTTCACCAAAGCACGGCAGATGCAACATTCGCGCACGGAGATAGGTTCACGAAAAAATGACAACAGATCGCACGTATACTTCCCAATCAATTTCATTGTCTTGTAGAATGCATCACGACAGGAATAACAGGCCTACATAGGTCGTATACCCCCGTCGGCCGTGAACCCATCCCTCAGATCTCTTCTGCCCGTGAAGTCATCTTCTACATACAATCACGAGGCCCTATTAGGGTATAGAAATTACAAAGCTATTATCAGTATACATATAGAAGAGGTATCTATGCAGCGAAAATCAGAGTCGCAAAGCTCACTCTATCCTTAGATAAGAGCAGCTCCAAGGAGAGCCAGAATGCCGGGGATGAGAGGAGCGGCCATGCTCTGGGCATCGTTGCTGTTGGGGATGGTCGAATCGGGAGCATCAGACTCAGTTGCGGAGGGTTCAGAAGCTTTAATCATGTCAGTTTCAAGTCTTCTCATAAAGCAGATGCCGTGAGATGGAGAGATCATACTAGTTGTGCGAGTGACACTGCTTGAGGAGGCAGTAGTCGTGGTAGACTCTGAAGAAGTTGTAGCAGATGAAGACTCGGAGCTGGTCGTAGACTCTGAGGAAGAAGTCTCGGTGGAAGTAGCCTCTGTTGAGGTAGACTCCTCGCTAGTAGTGGTGGTTGATTCACTAGACGAAGTTGACGAGGCAGTAGTGGATGTCCTCGTTATAGTGACTGTAGAGCTGGCCGTAGAGCTAGGCGCATCGGTTCCGGCAACAGGGAACATCTGCGAATAGTTGACGTCGACGCCATCGGTGATCTCAATGGCGTAGTCACCGGAAACGAGATCAGAGTCAACACTCCACACGTAGCTGCTACCAGAAGCACCGGCTGGAAACTTGTCAGTCGAGCTACACCTAAGCTACACCTAAAGGCAGTCTTGATGGATTGTGCACTTACACGTAATGGTCTCGACGGTTTGGAGATTGTCCTCGGACCCGTTCTTCAGGGTCAAGGTAACAGGACCCTCAGCATCGTCCCAGGTGATCTCGAAAGTCGACCCAGCCTCGATGTCATCAAAGTTGCTGTTGGTCAGCTCAACTTTGGCATTGGCGAACCCGAGAAGGGCAGCAAGGACGACGGAAGAAATGACGGCCTTCATCTTGGATCGTGTAGAAAAAGAGTGTTATGAGAATGCTACGGCGAGATGGAATTAGTAAACCAACTTGTAAGGTTAGGCGATGTTCGCAGACTCGAGTAGGTGGTAGGTGTAAGCAATAGGTAAGAGTGTAAGGTAAGGTGATCGCGGAGGACAATGCGAGATAATTCTGTCGAACCGCCGGCTCCTCTCCCAGCAAGTGAATGGTCAAACCGAGCACAGACAGTGACGCGCCTCGAAATGGAGCACGGCGGCAGCGGAGGCAAATAGACACCGAGAGCAAATAAGGTTGAGGTGATTGCTACTTACAAGTTCAAGGGAACCGCGTATTACAAAAAGTGTATATAGATTAAAGAGCGAGACAGACACGACCGTGATGGTATGCTGGGTTTTAGTAGGCAGACTCTGGCAGACGAACAAGAGAGAGGAAGAGAATGAAGGTGGCGAACGGGAGTGGAAATTGAGGGCTTCTGAGGAAATTGCTCTATGATCTCAGTCGCAACTGATCGAAGAGCTAATCCCATTTCGAAGCCCAGAGGATTTTGCTTATACTTACTCCAGGTTAGGTAGCCGAGTAGCTCTATTGGCATGGCGATACCCAGTCTGTAGGTACCTTTCACTTCCGCCTGCCTACGCTCAGAGTTTCCCGCCATACACTACCGACTAATAACTCAAGTTGCTAATACTATGTACAAGGACCAAGCTGACTAGCGCAATGCACACACATGCACATGGGCCAGGAACATACTTACATCTGTAGGTAGATAGGTACTTACATAAAGTGCCTATTCTGAAGATTGAGAATATGACGGACAGCCTTCATTAACGCTGCGCATACACATACTTACATACGTATATGCAGCTTAAGTATCTGTTAAGTGATAGGTACCTTGATCTCCTCGAGATACAAGAATGGAGATTCCGATCTGACCGTCCGACTCTTGGTTCGACCTAAGGTAAGGAGCTGGACGCCCCGATAGGCATGGTCTGGACAGGGTCTGGGCATGCCGCGCAGTAGCAGAGCGTTACATACTACATACTTATACCTAGGTAGACTGAAAAGGCATCGTTAGCGATCATCTCCAATGTAATGACCATTCGCCATTGGAACTCACCCCCACAAAGTCATCACTGGATCTGACTGGATTCTGCGCATTCCTTGCGCTAACACTACCTAAAGGGTCTCGCGCCGGTCGGGTCTGGGGCTAGTTCGCGCCGCTAGGCAACAACCCAGGGGCAAAGAATGCGATTTGCCCCTTTTCACGCTTACTTACTTACACCATGCAGAACCATGACTGGCGATGTGATGTATTCAATGGTATCTCAACGAGCGCCCTCGCGATCTGCTTCTTAATCTAGATGAAGCTCAGCTCGTCTGGATGATCTCGACCAGTCTCAGGTTCGATCATCCCTCTTGAAAAAAACTAGGCTAGGAGGTCAGAGATCTGGTCAGAGGACCTCGAGAGGCTACACGGCAGGCTCAGCACGGGACTAGTTTAGGGCAGAGTGGCGCATGAATCATTGGCGCGCCAAAATGGGATGCCTCATCTGCGCCCCCTGTGCGCTACTGATACCTCAACTGCATCAGTTGCTCCATCCATACATAGTACATTGGGGTAGTAGGTAATGGTAAAGGAATGCTTCCTCTACAAATATATTAATGCCTACTCTTACTTACTTAGGCACCGTAAGTGTCCACCCCAGGATTGCGCAGAGTTGCGCACACTACGGTACATAGGAAGTAGGTACGTGTACACATGTACATGTGCTATGATACCGGTACCTATTGTTGCAATGCGAACATTGATCTGTTTTATCACATACCATGTCCAGTACTGTACTAGCAGGTCAAGTTCTGCCAAGATTATAAGTAAGAGCTCAGGAATGTGTATAGACAGACACTCACATCACTTCTGAGGCCTTTCCTTAACTACCGGTACATACATCCCTTTGTTGTGTACACTACCGTAGGTATGCACGTGGGCTGTGGGCCTCTAGGTAGGTATCCAATGAACAAAAGAGAACAGAACTGCGCCAGAATGCATGCGACAGCACCGAGGGCGAGGCGCTGCCAACTGCAGTACCTAGGCGAGAGGATATCCATGCCTCGCCATGCCTCCTGATCTGCTGTCTTCCATGCCGCCTCGGCCACGGAATGTTTCATTACGACGCGACCACAAGTTCCTTGTGTCCGTTGTCAGGAAGCAGGTCTAAGCAAGCTTACTTCATCTAGGCAGTGACGCAATGAGGTTCCGGTTTGGGCACGTTGAGAGGGCAGAAGAGAGCTAAGCCTCGTTACAGAGAATGCTGGACCAGCTGGATTGAGGGCTACGTATGTAGAGCGGATCGCGATTTGCGTGGCAAGTACATGTGCTACTACCCTGTAGTGTCTTGATTACTAGGATAGGAAGGTGCAGAGGAAGGTGCAATGATTCGCAATTGCGGCGTAGATCGGTACAATCAGTTGAGACATTCGAGACATTGCAGAGTCGTCAAGCCGTCCCGATCCCGCTTGAACGCACGTCATTTCAGGTCCGAGGGTGCACGAAGTGATTGATTGGTCGCTTCAACGTGTAAACACACCTACAATATGGCGTTAAAGTGTATACACTTGATGTAAGTAGGTAGGTATGGCTAAGACGTTACATGTAGGTATGGAGTGTCCTGATAAAGGCGATCATAACTTCAGCCGAGAGCTCTTGCCGTTGATATAAAGTACATGGCACAAACATGCCTTAGAGTTCGCTCATTTGCCATCTCCGAGCTCGTCGTTAAATCCCGAGAAAATCTTTCCGATCGCGCGACAGGTTTCACAACCAAGACGAGACCTTGTCTCTCTTGCCATCGTGATGTTTATGTTTATTTGGCGAGCTGGAAGGAAAATGACCCGAGAATTAATTCACCTAGGTTGATCGGTAAATTCTAGTGACGCGGTGTTTCCGTCAAGAGCTTGGTGGATGTACAGGTGTATGAATTTGGCAGCGCATTCTGTTGACCGTGAATCATGGTAGAAATCACATCGTAGCACCCGCTAAGCAAGCTGGCATGATTACCGGGCACATCGTGCTATCGATCATTGATAGGATGAAAAGTGTCCTTGACTTGCCATATCAAGAGCTGGATGTGGCCAAGCAAGACACCAAACGAGCCGATGTGAAAATCCCATCATCCCAATCACCTAGGCAGGGGATCCTTGATAGCAGGTCCCTCATATTCCTGCTTAGGGTAGGATGCAGCGAACAACACCTCTTCGAACGCCCTCTGTTTCTTCCCGTAATTGCTCAACAACAGTCCCTCGCTCCCGGGCTTGAACAACGAAGTCGTCCAGGGAACCACCTACGCCGAAGTAAAGTCTTTTCGCCCCAACGAGGACTTGAGCCACGCGGCCGTGCGCTTTCTCGTCCTGCAGGAGAGTGAGGATGGTCTGAAGAAAAGAATTCAAAGCGAACGGCGAGTAGATTGTCTCCGCGCCCATAATCACTGTGGCATTTTCTGTACCTGAACTACCAGTAGGGTTCGGAGCGTCGTTAAGTAGAGTGACAAATTCAGGAGACCATGCGCCGGAGAAGAAGAGTAGGGAGATGTCACGGGTTACGAGGAATTCTTGGAACGCTTCCAAGATCTCCAGAGTCAAATCAAGCTCGCCTTCTGCAGAAAACGCTTCACTCAATATTGGCAGTCCTTCGCGGTGGTGGATAGCCCAGGCTAATATAAAGTTAGGCAATGTAACCAGCTGTAGAACAGTCGGGTTGTAGTCGGCAAGGATATAAGAAACCGAAGAAATTGTCGAAGACATAGCCCATTGGAAAAGTGCTAAGGAGGGCAAGGCGGTGCCACACCCCAGCTATGAATCGCAAGTTAGGATCTACCATGTATCACTGTGTACCATGTAACAACAGGTAGATACGATTCCGACATACCTCGACAATCTTTGATAGCTTGTTTGCGCCTGGCGCAAATGGCTGCGAGGATGCGAGGACTTTAACAAGATCCACGCTACTCTCCCAGGATTTGAAGCCCCCTTCATAGACACCAGTCTTGACATCATGGTTTCCCAGAACCTCCTCCGTTTCACCCTCGTCCTCTTCCGCCATGAGCTGGACACGGACGTCCCACAGTTCACGACGAGGTAGCTGTATGTTTCCCCTGCCGTCAAGGTCAACATCCAGAAGGCTGAAGGCGATCTTGGACGGCAGCTTAAGGAGCATTTCCCTCACATCGTGACTCGTTGCAGGGAGGAGAGGTTTTCCAGCCACAGGAAATGCACTTGTCGACGCTGATGGCTCCGGGCCAGGGTGGTCATCAACCTTGGTGTCGATTTGGTCATCAGCTTCTATGTCTTCGCCGGAGAATGAGAATGAGAATTGACCAGCCATGGCAGACAGGAACAGCAAGTGGCAATCAGCCGCAGAGAGCTCCGTCACTAGAATTTAGACCGATTCCACAGTAAGTCGCTTTTTTTTTTGGTCACTGTCCCAGTGTCTTGATACTTTTGTCCTATAAGTGCTTGGCTATAAGCATGTGATTGTCAGTCGGCACCAATTTTCTTGGTGTACCTGGGTATTTTGACATTTTAGTATAGAACCCCTACCCCACCTAAAACTCTGCAGCAACTATGTTCACTTAATGCTCGCAGGTACCTGTTTGTTAGGTGTTGATAGGCTTGACTTAGAAGTACCTCCCCGAGTAATTCCATGTACCTTATTAGTACTTACGAAGTACTGTAGGCCATACACCAAGTCAGAACATCACAACATGACCATGACTGCACAAACCCGTATCATTATCCCTAGATACTGCTTAAGCCCTACGACATCAAAGCCGCCTATACCTAGTCGTTGAAGCAGTACGGTTTAGGAAACTGTTGGCAGGTACGGTGGGCGTGGCTATATTACCCCTCACAGTGGATTCCTTTAGTGACTAGAACTTCTACTCAAACAACATCAATACAATCCATTGCCAATACATTGCCAATCCCTTCGTTCAACAGAAACCAAAATAATGTACACCAATCCCTTTGGTCTGTTTCTATATTTGTTCCCATTTATTTATATACTTATCATTGGCTGGACACCGAGTACCGCCTGGGCACGAGTACTTAGGGACTTTTCTTTCGGTCCCCTGCACATGGCTAACAGGGAGCAACAGATCTGCGGCGGGTTTCTTGTTTTTATTGCTAACTTGAGTACCGGTAGCAGTATGTTTGTACAGATCTGTCAAGTTTGTACATAGAGAATGCACGGATAAAGCCGGGGCGGGCGGGGGCTTGTGTCCGCCGAGCCCACTGGCGCTTCATACCGCCTCCTGATTCCTTGGATCCCATAAGAATCGGCGTGTCGTGTATCCCTCCCACGATACACAAGAACCTGCAGCCAGGCCTGAGCTCGGCTTGAACCAGCCCGGCCTCCTGGTACCTCGTAGTCGACCAAGGTCGTTCATTAACCCGTACCAACGGCATGCCAACAGCCCTGCGCTCCAGCATGACGTAAATCCTTCCTCGATCCTCCGTCTATTTTATAGTATATATCATCTACACAGTATGTACGCCATCCCTATTTAAAGTCCAACATGCGATGTAGCATGCGCATGCGCGCTGCTTATTAACAACAGTATTCATACACCCATCTCACACTAGGCGTACGAGGGATTCACATTGCTAGTGTAGACGCGAGCACCGTCTCCCAACGCTAGGCAGTGTACATAGCAGAGGCAACCTTGTAGATACATCCTTCAACAAACGGCTCGCGTTCGCTATACTTTTACGGGGCGTCGGGCCCTGTGGTTGGACCATTTACGACTTCAAAGCTCAACCCCATCCCCGTCTCCATCAGACGTACAAACTAAACAGATATCATGCACGCAACCATTGGCCCCCAACCGGAAGGGATAGCTCGGGATGGCTCCTGGCCTCTGTTTTTTTTGTTTTTTCTTCCATCCTCTATTCAGCTGTCCAGCCATGAGTTTGGCCGTCCAGGGGTCGTATCGTAGCCCGTGCAAGGATTCCCAAATCAACAAAATGACCCGCAATACCGCGCCCGCCGGTGACAGCCGCAGTCGTGTTGACACAGATGCGACGGCGTTCCGGGGTATTGATCCTCGTAGTTACTGTGTTATATGTTCAAGGTGGTAGGTTCATATACGCAGCCATATCCTTTGTTCATTGTGAACCTGACTGCCACCTTAACTCTGGTTGGCTCTCGTGTTTGGTGGTTCTCAGCTGAGTTATCAATCCGCCCTCGACTGTGCTCATCGTCTTTGTATGTCCTGAGTTACCAATTAATTGGAACCACTTATAAAAACGAGAGAGTACAAGCATAATCTCAAAATGACCCAAACAACAAGCGTAGAAGGTTAGGTCTCTCAATTCCCAGAACAACCACAGAATCATGACGCGCCGCAAGGTTACGCCAGTCGCATCGAACCACAACCTTATACGGCCCAGAGTCACTAATACAAAGCTAAATAACACAGAACGGGAGCCATACTCGGTATTGGAGCGACCTCTAGGTACCGCTAAACATGTCCGAATCGTGGGCATCGGGGCTGGTGCCAGCGGCCTCAACATGATTCGCACCCTTGGCAGAAACTTGAAAAACTTCGAACATGTCGTTTACGAGAAGAACAGCAAAGTCGGGGGAACTTGGTTCGAGAACCGGTACCCCGGCTGCAAATGCGATGTGCCGAGCCACAATTATCAGTTCTCATGGCGGCCGAATCCCGAGTGGTCAAATTTCTTCTCACCCGCTCAAGAGATAGAGCAGTACCTAGACCGCATTTGCGAGGAAGAGCAAATGATGGATAAGATCAAGACTCAGCACAAAGTAATCGGGGCATGGTGGGACGAATATCGAGGTCTCTGGGATTTAAGCATACAGAATTTAGAAAGCGGTGAGGAATTCCGTGACCATGCTCACTTTATCATCGATGCCTCGGGCATTCTCAAGTAAGGAGCAAGCAAGATCAGAAAACGTTCTTCACATGAGTTTATTAGTGCTAACTGAATTTTAGTAACTGGAAGTGGCCTGAAATTCCGAATATAAACAGCTTTGAGGGTGAATTGATTCACACCGCAAACTGGCCAAAAGACTTTGACTACGCAAATAAGACAGTGGCCGTAATTGGCAATGGCTCATCCGGTGTACAGGTCGTACCGGCAATACATCCAGGTTAGACGCCATGGCATTCTTATTACTGCAACCAATATCCTGACTGATTTTCTACTCTAGCTGTCAAGAAGCTCTATCATTTTGTCCGCACGCCCACGTGGGTTTTGCCCCCGCGAATACTAGCTATGATGATGATGGATAGCCCAGCCAAATCCGTTTTGGGTCAGCTTGAGTTAGACAAGAAAGAAAACTTTAGCGACGCCCAAATTGAAAAATTCAAGACGGACCCAGAGTTGTATAAAAAGTTTGTTAAGACAATTGAGAGGGATATCAATGGTGCATTTGCGATTGTGAGTACCCTATGCTCGTCCCAATCCAGTTCTCAGGATAAATGACTGACCGTTTCCTTAGCTTCTTAACGGCGGTCCTATTCAACAATTTGCCACGAACAAGGTTATAGAATGGATGACAGCGTGTCTAGGTGGTGACGAAGGCCTGTGCAAAACGCTGATTCCTACATACCCCTTGGGCTGTCGACGGATGACACCAGCTCCAGGCTATCTTGAGGCCCTACGGTCACCTAGCACCGTTGTAATCACGGAACGCATTGCAGGTATCGTTAAGGAAGGTATTCAGCTAGAATCTGGGGATATCATTAAGCTCGATGCCATCATCTGTGCGACGGGCTTCGATACTTCGTTCACCCCACGATTCCCACTCGTGGGTCGACATGGCAATGTCCAGGACATATTTCGAAAGGAGGTGCCACGTGGCTACATGTCGTGTGCGCTTCCCGGGGTACCGAATTACTTCAGTAAGTAACCATATATAGCCCAAGTTCTAGGTTTACATAAGCCGCGATCATCGTGTATGCTAACCTAATTTCTTGCTTGTTAGCCGTCATGGGACCAAATGCCCCTATTGGCCATGGTAGCGTGTTCACGCTGACTGAACACATTGCTCGGTATATAACACGCGCGATTCAGAAATGCCAGGTAGAAGGTATCAAAGCTATGTGTCCCTCAGATGCGGCAGTGGCCGACTATAGTGAGCACATTGCCAACTTCATGCCCCGCACGTCCTGGGCAGCCTCATGCTCATCGTGGTTCAAGGGTGGCAAGGTTGACGGGCCGGTTACCGCTCTCCATCCAGGAAGTCGCATTCACTTTTTCCATATGCTCGAGCAGTTTCGTGGTGAGGACTGGGAATACATTTATGACCACCCTTCGGCCAATCGTTTTGGCTACCTTGGCAATGGTTTCTCGACAAAGGAACTCGATGCAAACTTTGATTCTACTTGGTACTTGGATGCGAATGCTGACGCGTCTCTACCGTGAGCAGAATTCAACGATGCTGTTGACGTGTCTCGTTATGCGTACATGGCCTGCGCAAGAATATCTTTGTTTTTTTATAAGTACACTTAGCGGATGTAGGCATACAATTACTTAGCCACATCATTATGTATATACTGCACATATTCCCATACCCCGGACTCCGGATACGGGTTTTACATATGTACTAGATCAAGTGGTGAACTGGCCGTACCATCAGTAAACGGCGCCTTTGCAATAGATAGCATACACACCATACTTTAATCTAACCTGGAACTTGCTTGACGAATACCTAACGCGTTCTTACCTGTGGTTCAGCCCTTGATAGGTGAAACTTCCTATGACTAGCATATAACATGGTTAATCCTGTTGCAAATATCGCAAGACCGCGCCGACATCACCTCATTGTCGCTGCAGTTGACGTCGCCTAATGCAGTTCCGTGCTCCAGCTCCTTCCAAGAGAAAATCAAAGGTTGGAACCTTGTTTCTCGCCCACCCAAACACAATCTCCGTCCCCGCCACCTCTTCGCAACGCATTCTCCTCTTCAGTTTCGACATTGCACGAGAACTCTTATCGTAAATATCAATGTTATATTGGTCTCGCCTTTAAACTCCATCGCTTTGTCGAACTTGCCCTTATCACTGGTTAAGATGGCGGCGAAAACTGAAGATGGAATATCAGACAGCTATCGTAACAGCTTGTCGGATGACGAAGACCCTGCTAGGTACGAGACACCAGAGAGCTATCAAAGAGACATACCACAAACAGCCATAGGCTAAAGAGGCAATAGCAAAGATCCTGCGAAGGATAAGATGGCAAAAATCCCACCCAAGGGAATCTTGAAACAACCGAAAGCAAAAGGCAAAGCTCGTCTTCAACCACCACATTTGATTGCTTATGATGAGGACGAGGCCCCACTGCCCAAGCCTTTTGATATCGACCCTAAAGGATTATTCAATGACGGTTTTGAAGAGGGATCGCGAGTAAAGAATTTCTTCGGCGAATATTCTGACATCCAGGCGGGCTTTGCCGAATTGTTTGGAAGTGTCCCGGTGTTCAAACCGAAACCGAGACCCAAGGCATCAGCGTCCGGGTGGGGTAGACTATTTCGTTACGATCCTTTCTTATCCCTCCTGTTCAGTATGATTCAGGAAGCTGGGATCAATTTCCCTCCGCCGGATGGGTTTTTGGATGAGTGTATAGGCTACGAAGTGGATTATATTCGATTGGCATATACACCGTATCAACAACCTCGCCCATTTGGCAAGACATTGGGACTAAGACCTCATCCAGCCCCCGTAAGAAAGGGTGCCCGCGGGAGCTATTGGTATGGCATCCCAGCGAAAGAAGAGGAAAAGGAGTTTCCAAAGAAGCCCGAAAGATGGGATAGTTTTTGGAGCGAAGCCTCCAAGTTTCTGTTCGATGCAAAGACCCCTAAGCGTTCGCATAGCAATATGTCTAAAGATACAAAGTCGAGCGGAGGGGAAGGCGAATCATCGAGGCGCAGTCCCAAGGTTTCATTCGTAGATCTACCAGACGACAGTTCTATGGACTGGGATACTAGTACTATTGGCAACGACGAGAGAAGCGACCAAATCGATAACACCCAGCAACAGGCCACAGCTGAGGACGCCACAGCTCAGTGCCTAGATCCTGATCTTCCTTTTTACGGCCCTCTGAATTTTGAGGAACATTTGCAGGCATACCTGGCGCGCCGGAGGTAAGTTTCTACCGTCCTATCGTGCTCACGTGAGCGGAACTCATATATCAGCTGACTCTCCATCCACAGGGAGCAGGATGAGGCCCGTGAGCAGGCGGCCCGCGACAGCATACAGCTCAGAGGTCCCGGTCGTCACCCGAACATGATCACAATAGAACAAATGATCCGAGAAGTGAAAAGAGAGTAAGCTACTCATCCTCTTAATCTGGCTTATTTCACGGTGGCTGAATATGGTTCTTTCAAAACACGGGCTCAGTTTTCACTAACACGTCGTCCAGGAAGAAATTGTACTGGCGCGCATACCAGAAGACACGCAAGATATTGAGAATGATATGGGAGAGACTAAAATAGTACATGTTCCTTATTCAGGTTGTCCTGTTCCCAGAAATCTTGCTCTCTGCTCGAGTTGATCGCTATTCCTTCTTGTCTTAATACCTTCTAGGTCATTTGGGACCATGGTTGGCCGCAAACTAGACGTATTCGCTGCAGTCAGCTAGTCGTCTAGAAAGGAGCTGATACGTCCCCGCAACATTTCTACTACTCTTCATTTCTGTTTCTTGCATGATTTTTCATCTCCCTCCTACCTCAACAACTTGATGCCCGTGAGCCTGTTTGTTCAGGCTTCCACGTCAATGAGCCATGGTAGAATCTTATCCAATAGCGTGGATATAATATCACTCGAAAGCCTTTGTTAATATACATCTTGTTATTAAAATTGCCGTTCTCTTGCTGCTAGCTTTCTGAGTGTCATTGTGAGAGTCCAGCTCTCACAATCTTTTAGATCAGGAGGTAGGGAAAGGGAGGATCCAGACATCGTCGGCGGGAAGGGTTACTAAACCATCTCCTAGCCAATGCGAAGCGAGACAAATCCTTGCGGACTGGGGCTTAGAGTATGGGGATTCTGTATGGGGTTGAGTTCTTAATCCCCACTAGCTATACTTACCCCAATTTATCTCCATCCCCAACTTTGCAATGGATAGGTGCGGGATGGAGACGGAACAAAATCGACCGAAACCATAAGAGCTTTCGAACCTCAGCTCTTTTCTTTTTGGTCTTCCTCTTGTTTCATGTTTTCGTTTTCTCTGTCATGAGATTCGGTGTATACGTTCCTTGTAGTTGTTTCTTTGACTTGCTTGGAAAATTCAACCTGTAAGTCTCGAATTCGATCCCAGGGCGGTGAATTGGCCAACTAGCTCCGTTGTCGGGGACAGTGAGACAAAATGGCGGACAAACTTATCAGTACTGCTGAAGGTAAGTAGAAACAAACACAGAATCCCCATGGACGTTGTTTTGTTCAATTATTCAACTATGATGGGTCACTGATAAATTGAGCTAGTTGCGAAGCACACCACGGCAGAGAGCTGCTGGGTGACGCTATACGGCAAAGTCTACGATATAACAGAATTCCTGCCATCACATCCCGGCGGCTCCAGGGTCATTCTCCAGCTCGCGGGTCATGATGCCACCGAAGAGGTTAGCTCTCTGCAGTCATTTGTCCTCACCTTAGGCAGGTTTCGGGACTCATTGCTCCTGCATACTCCCGGGTCATGAGCTGAACCCCTTCCCTATCTGGCATTTACTGACTCCAGCGTGTGAGATATAATAGTACGACCCCATCCATCCGCCAGGGACGTTGGAAGAGAATCTGAAACCCGAGGCCTTGCTCGGGTCAATCGACCCGGCGACCATTGAGGAAGCACCCAAAAAGGAGAACACGAAGTCTAAGTTGGAAGACGAGGGCCCGCCACCAATGGGGACGTTGCTGAACCTCGATGAGATTGAGCAGGTGGCCAAGAAGCAGATCTCGGAAAAGGCATGGGCGTACTACTGGTCCGCAAGCGACGACCTGTGGTCCAAATCGAATAATAACTCGGTGTACCGGGATATTCTACTGCGCCCTCGTGTCTTCGTTGACTGCACGGCGTGCGACATCACGACGACGCTGCTAGGCGAGCACAAGGTGGGCTTACCGATCTTCGTCTGTCCCGCCGCCATGGCGCGTCTCGCACACCCGGACGGCGAGCAGGGCATTGCGCGGGCGTGCTCGCGCTTCGGCGTCATGCAGATCATCTCAAACAACGCGTCAATGACACCTGAGCAGATCGTGGCAGACGCGAAACCGGGGCAAACGTTCGGGTGGCAGCTGTACGTGCAAAACGACCGTGCCAAAAGCGAGGCCATGCTCGCCCGTATCAACAAGATGTCCGAGCACTACAAGTTCATTTGCTTAACGCTGGACGCCCCTGTGCCGGGCAAGCGCGAGCTTGACGAGCGGCAAGGCTTCAAGAACGCATCGCGCGTCTCCGTCGCCGCCAAAGGCAAGAACGAGCCTGAGAGACCCGGTGGTGGCGGCGTCGGCCAGCAGCTCTTCTGGGGCACGGCGGCCGATCTCACGTGGAAGATCACGCTGCCCTGGCTCGCGAAGCACACAAAACTGCCCATCGTCCTCAAAGGCATCCAGACGCACGAGGACGCATATCTAGCTGCTAAGTACGCCCCCCAAGTCAAGGGCATAATCTTGTCGAACCACGGAGGACGCGCGTTAGATACGGCGCCGCCGGCGTTGCACACTTTGCTCGAGATCCGGAAGTACTGCCCCGAGGTCTTCAGCTACATCGACGTATGGGTCGACGGGGGCATCAAGCGCGGCACGGATGTCGTCAAGGCGCTTGCGCTTGGGGCCAAGGCCGTGGGTGTTGGACGGGCGGCGTTATTTGGCCTCGGCGCTGGTGGCCAGGCGGGTGTTGAACGAACATTCGAGAGTACGTCTGCTCCGCTCGGCATTTTCGTTCAGCTTTTTTTTTGGTTATTTTTTTCGATCGGCATATTCCGCCTCTTCTTTTTTTTTTTTTTCTCCTTCTGCGCCAATTGAAGTAACCCTGCTTGGAGTACTATACTAACTCGTACCTCAACGCATTAGTCCTCGAAGCTGAAACTGCAACCTGTATGAAGTTGCTCGGTGTAAAAAACCTTGAAGAGCTGGGCCCGAAACACGTGAGTGTAGCAACCGTCGATGATTCTAATTGGAATCAATTGGTCTCAGTTATACTAACGCTACTTTTTATTCTTGCAGATGAACACCCGGAAAGTCGAGCAGGATATATTCGACGGTGATGCGAACCTAGACAAGGTTGGTATGTGGGAGAAGGTCAGGTCGAAGTTGTAAGCTTTACTATATCTATAATGAGAGGCTTTCGAGCCCTGGTGTATTGAGCCTTGCAGTTCATGTATATGGGAGCCTGGATATAAGACAAACTACTAAAACACCTATGCAATTATTTGTGTTGCGTGCCTACATCAATGCCTTTGGCTTGTATCCGATCGCACTAGTAGTGAAATGAGCAATGCCTGATTGTGTGTTATTTATCATCCGACGCTAACTACGCATAGTTCAGTATGCGCAGTTTAGCTGTGTGCTTTCTGGCGTATTATACTCCCAGACAATGTATAATATAACTCCACGCGAGTAATCCCAAAACGTCTCATTGGCCGTCTTGAAAACACAGATATGAACGTGGACGGGGTTCTTTCTATCAAACATACAATCCTGTAAGATCAGCCTAGAATGTGTTGATGGGCGGCAATGGATGGAGATGGAAAGACGACGATGTCGATAGTCAAGCGACAAGCTGATAGATTGGGCTATATACCGACTGCTAAAGAGCCTTTGATTCCCAGTCCCGACCATATAAGATATTCCAGGCTTTCGAAGGCTTGATATATCCCTACGGACGTTCTAGATCAACTCAACTTTAGGATTCAACCTTGATTGCCTGTGCTGAGAGCATTGAATTCGACGAAAAGAATGAGGGCCTCTCCAGTACATGAGAGGCGTTCAAATTGGCAATGTTGGCTCATATCCTTAAATCGATCCAACAACCAATTGCCACTCCTGATTAGGTCGTAGCAGCGTATCTCCCTCGAGTTTATCCTTCAAAGTCTGTGCAAGTATAGCTGCGTCATTCACAAGCTCTGTCGGCTCGAGAGGGGCCGTCGCAGATTCAAGAATAGCCTAGAAAATAGCGACTATTTTCATTCGAAACTGCGGACAACGACGTTTTCCAAGTCACGTATGGGGCGAAAAAACTTGATACTAGTCAAGCCGAATCAGCCTCTGCCACAGTGTCTTGCGACTACCGCCCGTTCCCGTGGCTAAGGTACCTTGAAACGCGCATTGATTCGAATACTAAGAATTGTATGTGTAGGCACAATCCTTTAGCTCTCCGGCCTTTTTGCCGTGATTCAAGTCTCGGCATTCTCAGCTTTGGGCTCGCCTTCCGCATCAAAGCCTAAAGCCTCTAGCTCTCGAATGAGCTCATTGATTTTAATGACTTTGGCAATCTGCTCAGGAAGCAGAGACTCCCCGCCCTCCTTCTTGTTTTTTAAGTCTTTGGCCTGTTTCAGCTTCTTTTTGAGATTCCGTGCTTTCTTTTCTCTTTCGGCTGCTGGGTCGACTTCGTCGGCCTGTGTCTCCGTAGAAGGCGGTGCCTTATCTGCCGCAGCTTCTTGAGACTCATTAGCTGACTTAGCCTTCTTTCTGGCTTCCCTGCGCTTGGCGTTTTTATTGGTCGCGGCAGACGGTGTTTCTTGTTTCTTGTCGTTCAGGCCTTCGGCACCTGGTATGCCACCCTTGCCACGGTTGCGAAAGTCTTCGGCAACACGATTTTTGTAAATCTCGACGTCCTCGGGCGGCCGATAACCAGGCCTAATCTTAATGGCCTTCCTTGTCGTGCCATCGGCTCGCATAGACTCGGGAATATGGCGCTCGCCACTATTTTCGTCAGTGACGATGCCTGACCTAGATGGTTCGGAAGGCATGGGGCGACAGTCAGAAAAGCTATCCTCTCGGTTGGTCAGAAAAGTGTATACGAGCCCTCCCTAGTCGATGACGCCTGAGAATGATCTCGCCGAAGTTCGGCGGCGGTGCCTTTGGTTGCGGTAGCTTGAATTTAGAATGAGGGCGCCCTGAAGAGGGACAAATTAGAGCAGGGCTAGGTACCTAGGTTAGAGAAGTGGGCCGGAAGTAAGGAACGCAGGCTCAGGTCGGGTACCTTACTGTAGTAGGAAATAGTAGTAGAACGAGAAGTACCTCCCTGTGCTACGGCTGGGCGGGGCGGTGTGGGACTACGGGCAGAAGCTTGGGCCAATCGGGTGCGACTGTTTTCCAAAATCTTGGAACTGTTCACCTGCGGCGGGATTGTCGAGGTATCTGTAGCCTCAAAACCATCTGTCACTTCTACCTACCTTGCCCAGCCCAAACACAGTCCAATTGCACTTGCAAGACCGTGAACTCGTCTATCCACACCATTGATCTTGTTTATCCGCCCCAGGTCATCATCACCATGGTATGTCGTCCCCTCGCAGCCCAGCTCTTCGATGCATTACTTCGAGCTAACTAATCGCGCACTACTCAGTCCGCCCTCTACAAGCAAGTCCATTCGACTCCCTCCGATCGACATTAGGTCACTAACCACGATCCGTGCAGCGCCCTCTTCCGCCGAAACTACCAGATGCTTGGCGTGGTCTTCGCCGGGGCTTTCGTATTCGAGATGTATGTTCTGTCGTGAGCCGAGGAGGGATGTCATGACTGATGGGAATCCAGGGCATACGACACCGGCATGAACAAAATCTGGGACAACATGAACAGGGGCGTAAGTTACATACATATTATATTGGTTACCAAGGAGATGGTGCTGACGCCTATCAACACAGCGACAATGGAAGGACATTCGACACAGATACGTCGATGAGGAATAAGCTTTGGCAACAGGAACTGACCGGACTGATGGAAAGAACTTGACCACCCAAGAGCCATATTTGGAGGGACGTGGAGATGCTACGAAGCGCATGAATTTTAGAATTGTACAACACGGTATCAACAAAGCGGAGTGGGCAGACTGTGCCGCGCCGATAGCCCGCTATTCCTTTTGTACATATGCTCCGGATTCGATCAAATGTGTCACCATTGAAATTACTTGTTGATGCTCGCGCATCACCCCATCATCGCTGTTGAAGATGATTCAGCACCTGAGGCATGAATGACTTCAAGAATAAAGTGCATCTACTCTGAACTGGCTTGAGGTGGAGGGTACCTGTTTGGGTAGACCGCGGCTAATGCACCCACACTCGGCTGCAACGCTTGCCAGGAAATGGCTTGGACTAAGGCTCGATAGTAGGTAACAATTGGAACATAACAACAAATCCAGTTGTGCATTTAACATTTCACAAGTGCAGCAAGCACACAATGCTTACCCCGTGGACAATACGTACTACTACCAATGTGAATCGCAGCTAGGACGCGATTACTCTCTCGAGTAAGTACGTACCTGCTGCCCTGCATATAAACGCTGCGAGTCTGTGACGCACTTCTTATCACCGATAAGGACTGCCAATGCTGGGGGGTATAATATCGTCAATGGCATTCAACCCTCTCCTTGACACAATCAGAGCTGTTTGGCCGATGTCCAAATCCTAATTCTATCTTCTCTTGTAGATTCCCATCGCCTTTCCCTACGATACCTTGATTCAGCTGGCTTTGTACCACCGTAGAACTCTCCGCCTTGTTTACATACGCATCGCCCGATAACGTTCGCCTCGCCCCGCCTCCCATCCACCTTATACCGCTCCTTGCCACCACAGACAGTTGATTATTGCAATCTCCAGTGCCTATATACGCGGTTTCCCTTCGATACAAGCATGTTCGAATAGCCTATTTCACCATGGACAACGCACTGTCTACTCAAGAACAGCAGCTTTGCGAGCATTTGAGGGAGCTACCCAGACACCATGGGTATCGATATGACGATGCGGCCTGCCGCGATCTCCTCTACAACCTGTTCTGGTCCATGGCTGGGGGACGACCGGAATACTTGCGGTTATTCTTTCCTGATGGAAGGCTCACACAGCGAGGTCCCCTAAAGTTGCGGGATGCCCAGGGCGCCTTGGAGGGTGCCGAATATACCGAGGCGGCTCGAGGCAAAGCATGTGGCCACATCTTCAGAGTGGGCGAGGCTACATACGGCTGCAAGACCTGCAGCACCGACGACACATGCTGTCTGTGCAGCAAGTGCTTCCATGCTACAGATCATACAGGGCACATGGTACGCATTTCCATATCTCCTGGTAATAGTGGATGCTGCGACTGCGGAGACCCTGAGGCTTGGAAGTTGCCTATGTTTTGTACCATCCACAGCGAGCATGACAAAGACCGTTCCAAAGGGAAAGGAAAAGAGGCCGCTCTGCTACCCGAAGATCTTGTAACCAACATCCGTATGACCGTTTCTCGAGTCCTCGACTTCATCTGCGATGTTATCTCTTGTGCTCCGGAACAACTGCGACAGGCCAAGACCAAGGAATCTATTGAACGCGACGAGAAAATGTCTCGCTTAGCTTCCACTTACAACGGCGGTGATGTTGATTCACCCGAAGAATTTGCACTGCTGCTGTGGAATGACGAAAAGCATACCGTCACCGAGGTTCAAGATCAGGTGGCTCGGGCTTGCAGTACCACACTAGATGAAGGTTATATCAAGGCAATCGAAACCGACTCAATCGGTAGAAGCATTCTAAAGTACGACACGGACATTCAAAAGCTCCTCAACTGTGCAACTATTCTTGAGCATATCAAAATAACCGTCACGATCCGGTCGTCCCGAGATACCTTTCGGGAACAAATGTGTGGAACTATGATTGAGTGGTTAAATGATATTGCTGGCTGCTCTGTGGGCAACGACCACAACATCTTGAGGGCTGTTGTTTGCGAAGAACTTCTCAATCCCTGGCGCAAGGGTAGCCCCGGAAGCCACGCCATCCCTGGCAAGAATGGCCTTGAAGATGAAGAAAAATTAGAAAACGACCCTCACTCTGTTCATACTCATACTACCACGATTCTCATTCAGCGGGCTAGGTTTCTCGCGGCAGGTCCACGACCCCCTCTCTTAGACTCAGATGGTGACGATGAAGATGAAGACGAAGATGACGATATGGATGATGGAAATCGAACCCCTTCTAGCGGAGAAGAAGAAGATGATGATGAGGACGATGCTGATGACGACGACGACGACGATGATGACGATGACGACGTGTTGATGGTAGACGCTCGCCCAGCAAGGGCAGGGGATGTAAATCCCATTACTGACTGGATCGGGCCAACTGTAGCCTCCTTAGAGGAAGAAGAAGCGACAATAGCAGGCTATCCACCACCTCCGCCACCTCCGCCCGTACCAAGGCGTGCCACACGAGACAGGGATCTCACACCATCAGACTCAGACACGGCTGAGCCTCTCATTGCGCCAACGGTCTATGCCAAAGCAAACCTGGAAGTTCCAAAGACACCCGGCCTTGCCAAAGCAGACGAAAGCAGGCCACCCAAGCCGGGGCGATACTGGGTTGAGACACCGCCTGCCTACACAGAGCGTGACAATTTGCATCCGTACGAGGATGTTTTCCAGCGCGTACGTTTGGATTGGCTTGTTCTTTTTGATCTCAGAATGTGGAAGAAAGTTCGCAACGACCTTCGCGCGCTCTATATTTCTACTGTGGTTACTATACCTGAATTCAAGAGGATTCTAGGTCTTCGGTTCGCCGCACTATATACCACTTTAGCACAGCTATATCTCATAGGGGATCGCGAGCCGGACCATTCAATCATCAACATCTCGCTCCAGATGTTGACAACGCCATCCATTACTGCCGAAGTAGTGGAAAGAGGGAACTTTTTAACAACCCTCATGGCAATCCTTTATACTTTTCTAACCACGAGACAAGTCGGCCATCCTTTCGAAGTTGCATCCAATGCAATACTTGGTTTCGATACAGGCTCTGTGACCAACAGACGCATGTACCACTTCTATGTAGATCTCAAGTACCTCCTCAGTTCTCCGCATGTACAAGAGCGTATGCGAACTGAGGAACGATATCTGCTGCAATTCCTTGATCTTGTCAAATTACATCAAGGCATTTGCCCAAATGTTCGTGCCGTAGGCGACCACGTCGAATATGAGACGGATAGCTGGATCGGGGCGTCTTTGATGACACGAGAAATAAACAGGCTTTGCCGGCTTCTCTCGGGTTCGTTCCGACATCTCGCCGAGCAAGATTCTTTATATCTCTCTAGAGCTATCCGCCTCACGGCTAAACTTGTCATTCTAAACTCAATTGGAGCCGAACGTGCTCGATTTACTCAGTCCGAAATCAAAGATGAAACTCGCTTCAAAACACTTACCGACTTTGAATTCGCCGGGGAAAGCACTAAGTACGATGTCGTCAAATTTGTTGTAGAAGAGCAGCCAATAAGCTTTCATCACGCATTGCATTCGACGCTTTCATGGCTAATCGAATGTGCAAAGCATATGCCACCACAACAGCTCAAATCAGTGCTGAGTTTCACAGCCCAGGAGCTTAAAATGAGGCCAAAATCCATGGGACGCAAATCGCTTCCAAAGAGGGACTATGCACCAGAGGACTACTTGATGGCTGCTTTTGACTTTCCCCTGCGTGTATGTACATGGCTTGCCCAGATCAAGGCCGGCATGTGGGTACGTAACGGGATCAGCCTTCGACACCAGGCGATGACCTATCGCAATATTGTTACTAGAGACGTAACTCATGCGCGGGATATTTTCCTCCTACAGACAGCAATGGTTGTTTGCGATCCTGCGCGAGTTCTCGCTTCCATTGTCGACCGTTTTGGCATGGAAAAATGGGTGAAAGGTTTTTACGAAATGACGACTGCAATGCAGGATGCAACTCAACATCTAGACGTTGTTGAGGATATGATTCATCTTCTGATTGTATTGCTGAGTGACCGCACCTCCCTCATACCCACTACGGATGAGCAACAGACGCATCTCATGGCATTACATCGCGATATTACCCATATACTGTGCTTCCGGCCCCTATCATTCAACGAAATCTCCAACAAGCTACCAGAAAAGTTCCACGAGCATGAGGACTTCCACAGAGTTCTTGATGAGGTTGCCACGTTCAAACCTCCTGAGGGTGTTTCAGATGTTGGAACATTTGAACTTAAGCCGGAGTTTATCGAAAATATCGACCCATACGTAGCGCACTATAATAAGAATCAAAGAGAAGAATCGGAGGCTGCCTATCGAAAATGGATGGGCAAAAAAACAGGAAAACCAGCTGAAGATATCGTCTATGAGCCTAGACTGAGACCGATCGAGACTGGTGCCTTCGTAGGGCTTGCTGAATTCACCTCAACGGGCTTGTTTGGGCAGATTATCTACTATGCTCTTTTGTATGCCCTTGTCGCGGCAAAATTCACACCGAAAGTGCCATTCACACGAGTAGAGACATTTTTGCAGGTTGTTCTACACTTGATACTCATTGCTATTCATGAAGACAAGTCAACAGATAGCGGATTGTTTGGCTCAAATTCCTTTATTCATGTTGCATTAACAACGCAAGCCCGCAGCAATTTCTTGGCGGAATCACCAGGGGCGAAAACAATCGTTTCTCTTTTGAACCTCCTTTCCACGAAGGAGGAATTCAAAGCCTGTCACCCTAAGATAAGTCTCATACTGAAGAGGATGAGACAGAGATATCCACAACACTTCGACAATGCCTATGCGCGACTAGGAATTTCGTTGGACCGCATTGATACCGCATCTCCAGCAAACACGCATAACACCGACGAGGAGCGAGAAAGAAAGAAGAGAGCTGCCTTGGACCGCCAGGCTAAAGTAATGGCTCAGTTCCAAGAGCAACAAAAGAGTTTCATACAGATGCAAGGTGACATAGATTGGGGAGACGAAGAGCTTGAAGATATCGAAGCCACAGAGCCAGAAGAGCGAAAGAATTTTTGGAAGTATCCCAGAGGTACATGTATTCTGTGCCAAGAGGAGACCGACGATGGACGTCTCTATGGAACCTTTGCTTTCTTCACCGAGAGTCTCATTTTACGGCAGACCGACCTTCAAAATCCTGACTACGTTAGGGAAGCAGCAAATACGCCCGTTAACCTTGATCGATCTGCTGAGGAGATTCGGCCATTTGGCCTAGCTCATGAAAATAGGACGGTAGTTGAGAAAGTCAATTCAAGTGGGCAAAGTTTCATGGCTGAGAAACAGGGCATTGGGAAGGGCTTTCCAGCTAACCTCTGTCGATCGGGGCCTGTGTCAGTTGGCTGTGGTCATATCATGCACTTCAGTTGCTTCGATACATACATGGAAGCCACTGTTCGGCGACACGGGCATCAGATTGCTCGCCACCATCCTGAGAACCTTGAGCGATTAGAATTTGTTTGCCCGCTATGCAAGGCACTCGGCAATGCATTCTTACCCATCACTTGGGACGGAAAAGAAGAATCGTACCCCGGTATATTGCAAAGTAACAGCGACTTCAACTCATTCATTGACCAGCGTCTCAATGGCTACAACATCCCAAATATGTGGTGGTCGCGTTCGCACTCCAAAACTATTTTCTCGGATTATTTACGTACAAAAATGCCAGAGGCTCTTACTGATATCACGAGGGAGCATGCTTGGGAGTGTAATACTAGTCACTCGACGCCGTTAAGCACTCCATTTGGCGAAGCATTCTCTATTGCAACGCCAGGCTCTAGTGTTCGATCTCATTCGCCCTCAGAAACACGAACTACTACTTCAGAACTCGCACTTGTCTACCAACGACTCTGGGATACCCTACGAAAGAACAAACTAGCTACTAGCCTTGAAGCTGAAGATAGTGATGACGATTTCCCTAGTGGCAATATATTAGCACGGTCTGTTGGGTACTCCATTTCCGCCACCGAAATACAACAGCGTGGGGTTGAAGCTCAGTATGGAATGACCCTGATTGAAAAGATACCGGAGCAATCATTGATTCAGCTTCGAATCCTGTCTGAAACAGTGTCATCATATATATCTGCGGGTGGCCTCAGAAATAACGGAGAGAATCAAATCGAAATAGATTTCCGACGAGAGAGCGAGCGTCAGCACTGCCAGCTCTTTGTGCCGAAATCTTTTGACATGAGCCAACATCCAGCCCTTCTCGATGAGGACCCCTTCATATTCATGTCCGAAGCCACATTTGGGCTGTTGGTTGCAGAGGGTATAGATCCCATGCATCTTGTTCGCTTGTGTTATCTTGCCGAGATCGTCAAGGTAATCTATCAGGTGTCCAGGAACATCCCGCTGTCAAAGTGGCTAGAGAACCTCAGTGACTCAAAAAAGAACGATGACCCCATCATGAACAATTTTGCCACTTTTTTTCACAGCATCATTATGAGCGGCATGAGAGCTAGCGCCGAAATGGGGGAGACATCCAATGATCTTTTGAATGCCGGGTTTAACCAGCCGGCAGTGGAGGGCTTAGCAAACCTTCATTCCTTTGTCAAAAAGTATGCTCTCGTTTTCCTTCGGAAAACCGCAATCCTTCTCCATGTTCATCATGGTGTGGACTTCAATAGTTATATTTCCCTGGACACGGAAGCTGACGAGCTCACTCGACTTACTGCTGCGTTGCGGCTGCCCTCATTTGATGACATGTGCACTGCGTTGACGCCCCTTCGGAATGAGGTTGGTTGGTCGCCGCACATAGCAGACCTCGTAACTGGTTGGATTAGCCATTATACTTGGAGAGCGACCTCTATGGCCCCGGGCCATGAAGGACGTGTTTTGCCTATATCTGCACAGATCAGCCACCCAGGGATCTTTGAACTTGTCGGATTACCTAAGAACTATGATACACTTATTGAGGAATGCTCAAAGCAGCGTTGTCCTAAGACAGGAAAAGACCTTGCTGATGCCATTATGTGTCTCACGTGTGGCGAGATCTTCTGTGGTCAGACTATGTGCTGTCTTATGGAATACCGAGAGCCGGGTCCTGGTAGACCTATGATCCGAATTGGGGGAGCTCAACAACATATGCGTTTCAAGTGAGTCCAAAAATTGTCGGCGAGTTTAGACAACAGTTCATTAACATGGTTCTTTCTCTTAGATGTCAGGGTAATATAGGGCTCTTTATCAACATCCGCAAATGTGCTATCTTTTACTTGCACCGAGGGTCTGGAAGCTTTAGCAATGCGCCCTACATCGATAAGTACGGCGAGGTAGACGTTGGGCTTCGCCACGGCCGCCAGCTATATCTGAGCCAGAAGAGATATGATTCGATGCTCCGAAACTTGTGGCTTAGTCACGGCATTCCGAGCTATATCAGCCGCAAACTTGAAGCTGACATCAACAACGGAGGCTGGGAGACCATCTGATGGATCGTCCAATACGCGACAACATTGCACAAGATTCATGCATAGCTAGAAAGGGCAATAGGTCATGGTTTACGATAGGGGGTTTGAAAGTACAACGGGAAATCTGGCGTTAAAGATCTACATATATTTTTTGCAACACTGACAAACGAAACTGTACGCAGCAGTTTGTGAGTCGTTTTGCTTTGTGCTTTAGAGCTTGAGCATCCTGTGATTTTGCGCTTTGGCTCGCCATAGGAATACGCAGCTATACCCAACTCAGTATTTCACTTTCCCTGGGCTAACCACATTTTGCCATCTGTAGTTGCATAGTAATCATATGAACGCTGGACAAACTCTTAGGTTAAGTTTCTGTCTAGCTGGGGCATTTATACGGTAATAAAAAAAAAAGGTTTGCGTAGGTACCCAGCAACAACAAAGGCACGCAGTTTACCCGGCTGGAATCCAACCAGTTACCATTTAAATCGTAGCATGTGGCAAAAATTCACTTGAGCGTTGCTCTCTACCAAAGAGAAAACTAAAGCAATCTTATGAGATTCAAGTGGAATCTGTAGACTTGACTGATGTCAGGTATCGTAAAATTGTCACAATTTCTAAAATGTTTGCAGACTCTGTATCGTTAAGTATACTGCATTTGTCGACACTAAGTAATAGACTGAATACATGCACGATCTGATGGAGATAGAAAAGGGCAGGTAAGCTCGGTTTACTTATTAAAATCGCCGTTCTGCTATCCTTTGAGCAGGAATGTGAGACCTCTATGTAAAACCGGATCTCCTTCCTCTCTTCATGTCTCCTGTTTGATATCTTCGTCTTGGAGAGGAGGATCGGTGACTGCAAGGTCACCCAAGGCCTCATTTACGCTTGCCATGCCGTTGATTTTCTTTGCAGCCTTCGGGCTTTGGTGCTTGTAAACTCTGATCCTGCCGTCCTGACCAGCACTCGCCATGATATCCTTGTATACATCTACCCAAAAACAGACACCCGTATGGCCGTTTATCCGCTGGACGACCTCCTTGTTCTTAACGTCCCATAATACGATTTCTCCATCTTCACTAGGGGCCGCGATGAAGGGCTCTCCATCGACTGACCCGAAACAACCCCCTATGCTGAACCCCTCGTTCTTGTGACCAGAGTATGTCTTCTTGACTGTTCCAGAAACATAGTCCCAAAGACGAAGACAGGAGTCCATGCTGAACGCCAAGACGTATCTACCGTTAGGTGCAAAACATACGGATGTGATCGGAGGATTGTCCTCGTGCACGAGCGTGCGTAAGCATTGCCCAGTTGATGTATCCCATATTCGCCTGAGAAATAAGCCAGGTTAGGATTCTAATCATCTTGCGTGTTCGAAGAATGAGGTAGATAGACTTACGTTAACCCATCTGTGCTACAACTCACAACTAACGTGCCGTCCTGGCAAAAGTCTATCCCACTCACAGGGTCACTATGCGCCGGCAAACTCCTCATTAACCGACCAGCTCTGACATCCCATAAGAAGACAGCCTCATCGTAGCTCCCACTGGCGAGGATATTGCCTTTAGGCGAGAACGCAAGGCAGTATACATAACTGTGATGGCCAAGGAGAGGCTTCGGCTTCATCGGCCGCCCAGTGACCCGATCCCATAGTCGAATGGCTTTGTCGTCGGAGCCGGAGGCAATGGTCTTGGAATCTGGCGACCACGCAACTGCTGATACGCCGGCCATGTGACCAACAAGAGTATCCATATGCCTCCCTGTGCTCGCCTCCCATATCCGTATCGTGGCATCTGCGGATGACGACGCTATCCACCGGCCGTCGGGTGATATGCGGACTTGTGATATGGGTTTCTGGTGGCCTGCTAATAGCAGGCGGGGGACGTAATGAGGTCTTACAGGTTCGCGCGCGGAAGGCGTAGAATCTTGATCGTGATGGCCATCGCGTGGTAGAGGGTCTCGAGGAGAGCGAGAGACGGAATCGCGATCGTCTCGGGATGCCGACCTTGAACCCAGCCTTGATCTGGCTGATGAACTATCCGACCGCGACCGTGACGCAGATTGTGATCTCGACCGCGTTCTTGATCGCGAGGTGGATGGTGAGCGGCTGTGCTGTGAGCGATCGCTAGAGTAATATTCTTCGTCTCGTTTCCGGTCGCGGCTTGGGCTTGGGCTTGGGCTCAAGCTCCCGGGTCGGCTTTGTGGTGATTTCTCGCGTATTGAAACGCTCAGCGTGTTCTTCTCGTCATGTTGGCTATCTTGTGGCTCGAGGCTTTGATAGCGCGGTGTAGAGTCGCGGCAGTCGTCTTGCACTTTCCGCCGCTTGGAAGGAGGACCAGCGTTGACAGGGGCTTCAAGTTCGGCCATGGGTGAGTTGTGAGCTCGCCAGATATATTCCACCCACCCCCGCCTCTATGCGATGGTTGTGACAAGGCGCTGCGTGCAAAGGGAGAAGAGGGCAGAAGCTAATGATGAAACCAGGCTGATGATCTGCGATTGGCTGAAGCGTGTTTGATCTGCACTGCCGGTAGTGCACACTCTCTCGACTCTGTACACACCATCTAGCCTCGTGGGGGTAGATGGGGGGTTATGCTGAAAAGATGCGGCGAGGCTTTGAACGCCGATCAGGATCACCATGTCATGTGAAAGCTCTGTCTTCAACCGTCTTCAATTCCTACAACACTACACACATCTCTCTGTACACACTACATAGTACCTGTATACTACATACTACCTAGGTAAGTATGCCGCTAGTTAGTGTACATGTGCAGCTATCTCTAGGTTGCCTTGGGCCCGCCTTAGGGCACTCTTACAATATTATACCTATGTGCTTACTTAAGTATACATATGTACCTTACTGTGTACATGTACATGTATTAGGTAAGTACTACCGGTATAAGTTAGTATTGGTAGGACAGAGCCTGCCTGGTGTCGCCCGGTAGTTGCCGGTCCTAGCCGCCACGAGTCAAATCTCTAAGGTCGTGATAGGTATCTGGTTTGCTCCCTTGCAACCGTTTACCAGCGAGCAGAAGCGAGCAATAAACGATACAACGTACTATGTATATCATTCGGAGTGGGAAGTGGTGTGCACTCCCTTGAGTTCTCCTGATACCTATAAGTACTGTACATCTACACTAGGCAGAGTCTGGCAGAGGTCTAGGCGCCACCTGGACCTACCGGGCTGACCGGGGTAGTAGTGTGGACAGCACTACTGACCCGCACCTTCCGGCCCAATCAGCCTCCCTGGGTAGGTTGCAATCCCCATCAGCTCTCGCTGCCCCCTTGTCGAAATATCATTTGCTTCTCCATCCCTCGCCATCCTCCATCCTATCCCCTCTCGCTCTCCTCTGCAATCTTAAAAACGTCGCATTGCATGTGCCGTCACATCAGAAATGCAATCCTGTATATGTAGGTATTACACACATACCTAGCAGTCCTCGCTGACCGGGCGTCTATTGCCCTCTGGCTCTGTGCCGCCTGCGAGCCCGACAGGCGCTCGTTTCTTGGGGCTGCTCATTGGCCTCAACTGTCCACCTGTCCACCTGTCAAGATACAAGCTCGCACACGGGCAAGTTCAAGAGGGTGGCATGGCAGGGATAAGAAGAATGGTAGGATTACCTCCCCATTCAAGCCCATGGCCTCATGGCATGGTGTGTGTAAGTATGCAGTCTTAATTTGCGATGCCGACGCTAGCTCTTGTACAAAGTAGGAGCCACATCAATCTGAGAATGCAACATTCGCGTTACATGTCGGTATCACTCATGATGCTCATGATGATGGGTAAAGCTGGGAATCCTTCGAGGCAGAAGGCAACCAATACCAATAGAAATCCTTGAGACTCAGCCCGACTCCTTGCATCATGCGATTCGGTCTTGTGTGCGATTGCTGCCGACAAAGACACCACATTCTGGCCTCCTTGATAGGTGCTATGCGCCCATTTATTGTCTGCTGTCTGCTGGCTCCACCAGCGAGGACCCTAGATCTTCTTAATACAACCTCATATACACCGACTACACCGCATCAGTAGCAACTGCTCGCTGCTTACTTAGTAGAGCGGGAGTCCCATACCCTAATTGGAGTAGTATTGTGTACTTCATTTTGTTGCTAGGGTTATTGTGTCTCGTTCATTAAATTTGCACCAATGCTTGCCGAACCCCGATTCCCAGACTTGCACGCGAACTTGATAGTAATCCTCAACGTCGAGCGTGCCATTGTGTGAACCCGTTCGTCCCCCAAATCGACAACATGGATGAGCTACCGATCGAACTCAATGTCATTACTCTGAATTGCTGGGGGCGTAAACACACTAGCTCTTATCGAGAAGATCGTATGGGAGCCATAGGACGATACTTGGCAACGACTGATCCCGTGCCACACATTGTCGCCTTACAAGAGTGTTTTGAGTACGCCGACTACTTGAACATCAGACAAGAAACACGTTTTGCCCTACCTTTCGGCAAATTCTATCATAGCGGCGCCTTTAGCTGTGGCCTAGCTATACTATCACGATGGCCTATCGAAGAAAGCAATAGTATGCAAACTACGCTTATTATCTCCCCCGAGCTGAGCCATTGCCAGGTGCGCGCAGTACTCTGGTCAAGGGCTCGCCTCTCACCTACTTAGATCGTCGTGTCCAGCCGCAGTGCGTAGCACTCGTATGTAACAAATCACTGACCTCAAGTGCTGTAGTGGTTCCATTCTCGTTCTGTGGACGCCCGTCCGGGTTGTTCAGAGGTGACTTGCTCGTGGGATCACAAGGCGTGGCGTGCGCACGTATTCGCTATGGGGAGGGTGAAGAGGATGTCGTCGAAGTATTCAATACAAATGTATTTTCACTCAGACTAATATGCTGTTATCGATGAAGTCTCTCAAAAGAGCTAACCAAGTGACAGACGAATTCTAGCTACGGCGATCATTCCCGGAATGATAGGTACATCATTCATCGTCTGTCGCAAGCATGGGAAATAGCAAAGCTTGTGCGAAACGCCGCTGAGCGTGGCCATCTCGCTGTCGTGCTTGCAGACCTCAATGCCACACCCTTCTCGCTCCCATACCGCTTATTAACATCGCATGCTGCCATCCGGGATGCCTGGCGCGTATTGCATCCTGACAGCTCACTAGGCCCGGTATCAAATGAGCTAGAGCGCGCCCGCGGTAGTCCTGTCCCCACGGCCGCCTTCAACATAACCGAAAATGGCGTAACGAGAAACAGTGCGTACAACACGTGGGCATGGCCGAGCTCCGAGCAGAGGGCTTTGCGCTCAGGCAAACGGCCAATGCTAGTTTCACCCGACAGGCCTGATGAGGACGGACAGCGTGTAAACTATATCTTCTTCTCACGAGGTGGCGATCCGCACGCCTCTCCTACTGACCTAAGTGAGATTCTCAGCGCACATAACACATACACAGACGACGGCACTGGAATGGCGTCTTCACCACCTGGCTGGGTCGTCAAAGATGTTGGAGTAGGTCTCATGGCACGCCATCCAGATCTGGGGTGTAGTCTCAGCGATCATTTCTCAGTCGAAGCAACACTCATTCTCCATACCCCATCACCAATCCGTCACCGTCATCGACGCCGGTCAAGTTCAAGATCAAAGTCGAGATCTAGATCCAATTCACGCGCAATATCCCTAACACTAGCAGACGAAGCGCTTATGTCTGCAAAGAAGTCAGGCAGCGGATCTCAGAGCCAGACTCCCCGGGGATTACCCTCCACTCCGATTAATCTCATTACTCGCTCAAGTAGTAGAGCAAAGGAGAAAGAAAAACCAAGAGGAAGGCCTGCCACGCCGCACAGCTTCACATCTACAGATGCAGGTGCGCATATCGCAGCAATGGAACAAGGGACGTACCTCCAATCTCCCACAGCGTCGTCCTACCGCCTAGGGTCCCGAGACCGCACGGCATGGGACCTACAACTTTCTAATTTGGACCTAGGGACTCCACCTCGTCTACCTGTCGCCGCATACAACGAGATCATCAATCTGATAGACGCCCACGCCTCACGCACACATTGGTACCGTTTACTCGGAATCGCACACTTCGCGTTTTGGGTTGTCATCGTCGTAGGCAGTTTCGTCGGGATCTGGTTCCTTCCCAGCGGCAAGGGCGCGTTTGGCTTGCTAGCCGCGAGTAGTCTTGGACTAGCTGCCGGCGTCGTGACCTTGTTACTCGCGTTGTTCTTCTACGCCACCGAGCTCAACAGGCTGAACGAGTTCGAGTGGGAGATCCGCAACGCGAAGGCCGTTATTAGCGGCATGAGCCCGGATGCGCTCGCCCATCAGGGAAGCGAAGAAGAGAAGGCCTGGTGATGGGGAGGGGGGAGCAATCATTGAATCAACGCCTTATGAACTTCACAAAAAAACCGCTTGTACGGTTTTAAAAAGGAGCTTAATATTTTTCGGTTCAGTTTTAAATCTTTTGAATTCAGGGGTGGTATAACGGCCCGATGTCCTCATACGATGGACCGAAAACAAATAGGTTGTGGGTTTAAGGAAGCGGACACGTCTACCACTGGTCTAGCGAGTCTGGAGATACCCTTTTTCTTTTTTTCTTTTTTTCTTCGCAGGGCAAAAAGGACAAGGCCTGATCGTTCATGTTTCTAGGTGTCTGTGTGCTTGTGTTTCTGGGTGTAGGTTAGTAGGCATGTGTAAGGAACTAACAATACCGGGTAATGCAATACAAATTCCGATTTGAACCTCCCGAATAATGATACAATTCTAGTATTATTTTTTGGCTTTCTCTCTCTCCTTTTTTCGCATTCACAACTCCGCCGTCAAATGAGCCCCAACTCCTCTACTGAAGCCAGTCTCCAATAGCTAATTTTTGGCCTCTTTCACTTCTCTGAGATGCCGTGATGCGTGGTGTGGTGATGAATTATCGTCAGGTTGCGATCTAGAGTCTTTACCAGCGTATGCGCACCATTCCAGAGTCCTGAGGCAGAGCAGAGTATGCTGCCCCATGAACAAATCCAACGCCTACAGCAGTATCCGCGACAGCACTCGCCCGTTCAAACCCAACTCCTCCGCGCATTGCCACACGCATCCCAACTACTTCTTGGCCTCTACACCCAGGACCACTCCCAACGCCGACGCCAGGGTGTAGATACATCCTCGGACTCGGCATCTTCTCGACTCCATCCAATGTCGACGGAACCAATACTATATTGTTATCAATGTTAGCATCCAGGGTATTGCCATTTCCATTATTGACAACAACACTGTTACAACTGCGATGCTGAGGAACACCATCCCCGTCGTCGTCGTCATCAGCGCCATCCATAACACGACGATACGTGTACCCCAGGAACGCCGTCTGCTTGCGGACTTTGAGCACCGTGGCCTTCGTCTTGCGGTCGCGGAGGAGGCGGTCCCGCGGCCTCTTGCGCTCGCGCCGGCCAAATGTGCGGATGAACGCCTTCATTTGGTCGCCGAGCTCGACTTCTTGGAATTGCACTTGTTGCTGCGGCTGTGCTTGCGCCATCGGAGGGGCGTTATTGTTGTTAGAGGGAGCAGAGGCGGTGGCCGTCAAGGCGTTGATTTCTCGGTCCATACGCTTCAGACGCGTCGTGTCGTACGGGGTGGCGACGAATTGTGCTAGCAAACCTTGTAGGTGGCGCGGAAAGGTGGCTAGCTTGGCTTGCATGGCCACCGTCTTGCGCGGGTTGCGGCGGATCGCCGTCGAGGGGTGAACATTGTGGACAATGCCGGCTGGTCCCGGAATAGGCGGCGCAAAAGGGCTCATGCCCATCATGTCCGGCGTGGGGGCAGTGATCCCCACGGCGTTAATTGCAAGCGGGTTGGCCTCGAGAGGTGGGTGTGGCGCTGCTCCTGAACCTTCTGAGCCTGTGTCGTCATCGTCATCTTCGCTGTCCGAATCTGACCAATCCGAGATGGGCTCCTCCTCGTCAAAGTAATGCGTGTCGTCGACGCCGGCGATGCGCGGCACGAATGGCGGCGTGATAAAGCACAACTGGTCCCAGGGGATATCGCGGAACCACTTGTGCGCCTTGATGTCTTCCGCATCGTGCGGATACACTGAGCGGCCCCTACCATCTCTGTCCTTCGGGCGCGCACGGGAGCGGGCTGGGGAGGACATGAATGGATGTTGGTGCTGCTCGAATCCTGCGTCTCGGGCTTGGTAGCGTTTAGACGAGAGACGATTTTCCCGCGCACATACCAGATTTGCGATAAGATCCATACATCGTCTTGAAACGACGGGACGTGGGGGGAACGCGAAAGTCTGCTCATGGTTCACGATGTTCCGTTTGGTTTGTTGCCGCCCGCCCTCCTCTGAAAGAAAGGGGGTGTGGCCGTAAAGGCACTCATACAGGATTACGCCGAGGCTCTACTAATCGCATCTTGCATCGTAGTCGCCCTCACGGATGACTTCAGGTGCCATGTATTGGCTTGTGCCCACGCAGGACCGGGCGGCGCTGCGGTTGCCACATCGATTACGCCAGTTGAGTAGCGGCTCGTCGCGAACGGCCGACGTCGCGTTTGGCGGTGCTGGTTGAGGCGCATGTTTCTGCATGGCCTGCGTTACCCCCTGCGCCCATTTCATCGTGCCTTGCAGACCCTCTGCCCGGTCGGTCGCGTCGCCTTCCACGGCGAGTCCCAGCTTGTGCAACAGACTGTACCGCTGGGTATGATAGTAACTAGTGTCGTGGGACCAATGGCCGTCAAAAGCTAGCCCAAAGTCAGATATCTTCAGGTGGCCCGTAGAGGAAATCAAGAAATTATCCGGCTTGATGTCACGGTGGATGCAGCGTAACGAGTGTGCCTCCTCAATGCAAAGGATCATCTCGGCGATGTAGAACTTGGCAACTGGTTCGCTCAGGATGTTCTCACGGATGAGGAGGCCGAGGAAGTCTCCGCCGGGCATGTAATCCATGACGAGATAGAGGTTCCCAGCGTCTTGAAAACTCGCAATAAGCGGGACAATCCTGCATTGGTCTTACATCAGTATTTGCTCCAGATAGAATCGCTGGTCCGCCATCTCACCATCTAGAGCCCTCAGAAGCAACGAGGAAATCCCTCTCGGCCCGCAGGTGCCCTTCTTGACTCGTCTTCAGCATTGCTGATTTACGAATCACCTTCATAGCGTAGACTCTATTGTTCCGTGGATGGCTGTCTCTTCCTGGTTTCTCACGTACAAGTCTGACGACGCCGAAGCTTCCCTTGCCAAGTATCTTGAGAACCTCGTAATTATCGGCTAGCTCGCCGTGCTCACATCTTATAGCACCGAGACTTCTGGCTGCTAGGACTCGGGTTTCGCGAAGATGGTTCGTCTCCTGCTGGCAAAAGAGAGCCCGTCTCATATCTTTCTCGGCTTGGCTTAGACCCGGGCCATGGTAAAGCTCACTTTCTAGGTACCTTCGGCGAAGGGAGCGTGGAGAGGGCCTACTAAGCTTGTCATTAAAGTATGTCTCGAGGTATATTTTGGCAGCCGCTGTCCTCTCGACAGTCAATATGGTAGGCGGCGGGGGGTCTATTGGCTTTTCTTGAATCGTAGTCAGACCAGGGTCTACCATGGTCGGGCTCGCGTCAGGATCTCTGTGGTGTACAATGCTAGCCGATCTCTGCTGTACTGGATCGCTATCTTTACCAGATAGCTTCGACTCGATTGAAGTTGCCACTGTCGTACCGGTACCGTTGGTAGGGCCAGAGGATTTACCGCTTGAATTTGTAGTGCTATTTGTATCTGATACTGACAAGATGGCGGGAGCGCTCACTGGCAATAGCTTATCTGCTGCTCTCTCTATTGAACGGACGGAGGGCCTTGATTTCTTTTTGACACGGTGAATCACGGTAACAGTTCCTCCAAATTGGCCTCTAAGGAAAGGAAGGGACATCTTCTTGAAGAGGCGATGCCGCTCGGGCGACTTTTCGCTTGATGGAGGTGATAGCCATCCCGAACCCCCGATAGAATGACTCGAAGCTGCAGGTATCACGTAAGTCGACAAAGTCACACAAAACCAAGCATCCGGTGCATGGAGAGAACGCACCGCTATGTGTTAGCGTCCGTATAATCGACATGATCGACCCTTGGTGGTTGGGTTTTCGAGGTCGTTCAAATCCGTCCAATATTGATGTTGCAGATGTTGGCGACGAAGTGGTTGCTGACGATATCTCGTCGTCTATCAGTAATGCTGGCATGATACCGGCACTAGCAGGACAACGGTCGATGATGGGGGACAGTCATCAGCGTTGCCGAATATGTTGCAATTATATCATAATAACCAAAAATAATAAGCCTAGCTAATCAGACCTCTTCCAAAGCATATCCTTGAGCAATGGGCGCCACTTGATGTTCTGTGACACTGCTTGGACAGGCAATGGTCCGAGGCTGTGAGTTCAACGTCTCAACAGGCGGTCAGAAGAAAGCCAGTGGGTTATACGTAGACGCCTAGGAAGTTAAATAAGTCTAAGGGTTCTTTTCACTGACGGGGATCATTATCAAGCCTCGAACCAGCTCTTTCTCTGGCAGACTACCTATTGCAGCTTCCCTGTGGCCGGAGCCGTGGCCATCAGAAAGAACAATGAGCAGTATGATGTGGGTAGATCCTTCTAGTACGCGGGCACGGACGAAACAGGAGAACCGCAAACAGGAGCGTCTTGGAGAAGTCAGGATTCATCTAAAGGTGTCATAGCTATGTACCTGAAAAATTAACAATGAGACCCACCATCGCATGAGATTGTCCTCCGAAATCAACTTTTGATAACGCCGTTGATGCAATGTAGACCTCGTCATCCCTTATAACAACATCTGCTTCCCGTGTCTAGGGGAGACCGGATCCTCGCAGACTCGCGCAGGTCAGAGACCCCAAAGCGCAAGATTACAAACCATCCATAAAGATATTCGTTCAGGAGATATTCTACCCCAGTCAAAACGGAGATAGACCACAGCCTGCATAATAAATACACCTGACTGGCATCCACAAACCAGTCATAGCTAAGGTGAAAAATGCACACCAAGGGAATTCTGTACCACGCGCCGAACCAAGGGTATTAGTGCATTTTGTCTGCTTATTTGATACCGAGCAATTTGATATCGAAGATTAGCTGGCTGTTCGCTGGAATGCCAGGCTGGGCTTTGCTGCCGTAGGCAAGGTTTGCGGGAATGGTGAGACGTCGTTCTCCACCGACCGACATGCCTTGAACACCAATATCCCATCCCTTGATCACATCCCCAGTCCCGGCCTTGAAGCTAAAGGGCTTTCCCTTCTTGTTTGCTGTACGACCATATTAGCCACTGAAAATGGAATCCGGCGAACATGACTACTTACAGTCGAACACTTTGCCGTCGGTAAGCTTACCGATATACCGAACTTCGACCCGGTTGCCCTTCTTGACGACGCGACCAGAGCCGAGCTTGCGATCATCAATTGTGACGCCTTGCACAACCTTGACGCCTAAGGTAGCACCCTTCTCGGCAGCGGCAGGACCGGTAGGGCCTTGCTCAAGGTTCTTAGCAAACTGTACCTTCTTATCGCTCTTGGTCGAAGTCTCCTTGGGCGCCTCGGCCTTGGCACCCTCTTTAGCGACGGCTTCACCCTTGTTGTTCTTCAACTTCTTCTGCTGCTTCTTGCTGAGTTTTCCCTCCTCGGTAGCGTTTGCCTTTGCGATCATATCGTCCAAGCTCTCGGCTTCCTCTTCGGCGGGTCGCTTCTTGCCCTTCTTAGAGTCGACTAGTTTGGGGGCCTCCTCTTCATCCTCTGAATCAACCTCGGCGATCCGCGGGTCTTGGATATCATCGAGTTCATCTACTTCTGAATCGGACTCGTAGTCATCCATACCCTCGATGCCCTCAGGCAGATCATAGTCATCATCCTCATCATCGTCTTCAGAGTCAGAGACGTCGTCCGTATCAACGATGTAGTTACCAGTGAGGTGAATAGTGTGTGTTCCTTTAACGATGAAGAAAACTTGCTCTTCAGGGCTGATAGTAATATCCAATGGTTGTTGGTAGTTCTACAGTGTCGTTAGTGTGTAAGAAAAAAAAATAGGCAACAATGTTAGGACATGGACTTACACGCTCCGTGTCTAGTGTGCAAAGGACAAGCTCCTCAATCTCGACATCGTCGGATGACATGCTCTCATCGTCGTCATCGTCACTGGAGGTTGCGGGCTCCTTGCCTTTCTTGTTCACTTTGCCATTAGGTTTGGCATCGCCATCATCCATGTCCTCGTCAGAGTCCTCGGCATTGGCAGCGGCGATGAGCTTCTTAAGCGCCTCTGCCTTGGCCTTCTTGGACTTGGCCTTATCGCTGGGACCGCCATTGGGCTCATCGTCATCTTCATCGTCGTCAGAATCCTCGTCAGAATCCCCGGCCATCAACTTGCTCAGGTAGTCGTCATCAAGATCGTCATCGAGAGAAACACGCTTGCGGATGAGCTTCAAGGTAGCGCGAGGGACATTAGGAAGGTTCCCGTCCGCATCGGGCTCGGGAGGCTCAGTTGGGTCAAGGGCGGCCATGGTAATACGGAACTAAGAACAAGATGATTAGCAGTGGGATCGCTTTACGAACTGTACGAACTGGCCGTTGACGGCCATAGCAATGGCGGTAATGCGACAACAGAGAGAGAGTCTCGTCAAGGACATCGTATAACTGCACAGAGCTCGGCAAAACAAATGGCTAACTCACGCAAGCGTCTGGTATACTATCTTCCTGCATAGCAGGAACCATGATGCCCAAGGGCGGGACCTCGAGCCCATAGAGCGCGACGGGTGTCATCGACATGGCTGCAACGAATCTTTGCTGTAACCGTTGGAGGTAGGTATGATATCCTCGTAGCTTGTATACACGGAGAATGAATCGGGTGTATTGGGGGGGAGACCTCTATACAATTGTCGAGCTGGTCAAGTGGAGGGTGGGAGAGATAACTCGCAACTCGGATCAGTTTGGAGATGTAGAAAGTGGAAGAGTTTGTTGACAGCAGCTCGACCTCAGAACTTTTTTTTTCCCCTACCAGGTGGAAAAAAAAAAATATAACCTAGGCGGCCATTGTCTACAGGTTGCACCCCACTTTCCCCAAAACGATGCCACCGCTTCTGCAGGGAAAACCCACTGAGGAACCACGGAGAGACCACTGAGGGGCCTCTGAAGAACCACCGGGCACCCACCCAGGCTCGCCAGGGACCCCCCAACGATCACCGCTAATGCACCACACACTCCGCTACCCGTTGCGCCGCAACCTTCAGCTTCAAGGCTACCTTGCGCGCGCGAAAAGCCTCTGCGCGACAAATGTAGGGAGGAAGCACATTGTTTCGTGGACCTCAGGATCACGATGATTGGCACGGGCGTACAAGTAGGTATGTCGTGCTACACAATTGAGTCAGCCTTGTATAAGTGGCTAGTCAGATTTCCAGATCGAAAGAGAGATCCCACGTACTGCACCTAGTCCTACAATCGGCATGTATGAATCAGGTAGGTATCTCTGCTAACGGTTTGAAGTAATGACTGATCACTTACCGCGTTCGTTAGATCTTTCTAGCGAGTCCAATTGAGTTGATCTAACTTATCTATCGGTGTTCTGTCTAGAAGCCTACAGTATGATGATGTACGTATCACTTAAAGCTAGAGCTTAGCTTTTATGATCCTTGCTTAATCGAGGACTTTGTCATCTTTCTACGAAACTCGTAAACAACAACCAACTAACGAAGCGTACTTCACCCCTCCCCAAAGGGCAAGTAAGTGTTCATGTAGGTAGGTAAGAGTGATTCCTTGCCCGAGAGCAAGCGTCCGTATAATTTCTCATTTTAAATTATCTGTTTGAGTACCCCAACGTAATAGCAAGGCTTACGTTATTTTACAGTAGTTTCCGAATCACCCGCTTACTTGACCAGCAGCTGCCAACAACTCTCCAACATATTTCTCCATGCCTGGCTCTTCATTCGAAACGATGTCAGTACGTGTAGATCGCGAGAGATTTGAAGAGAAGAACAAGGGGAGAGCATAGTGAGGGAGATAGTGGCTGGGTATTTCAGTCTACTCACCTCTGTTATATTCCTGGGGTTTATCCCCAACCTCGAGTTCCTCACAGACGAGCTCGACGAGCGGGCGAGGCCAAAGCTCCGCGTGGGCACGGCAATACGCCGCTACAAGTTCATTCCCGCTGGTCACAGCACCTATCATATCCCTCATCAGCGCACGAAACTCGCTTCCGTCGTGAATGGACAGGTGGGTAAGACCATCAGGAGAAGACAAACGCATCAAATCATCGGGGTGGAGAGGATCGCACACATAAAGTGTGCAGATATAGGGGTAGCACGTTCAACTCACCACACGACCAGAAGTTGCCGTCCTGTATCCACCTGAGCTCCGAACCTCTCAAGCTCTTCTGCCCGAAATTCTTCGCCTTGATCCGGTCCTGCATCGATCTCGGCCCGCAGATGCTCTTCCCCTTCAGGAGTCCGGCAGCGCCACACGTAAAGATCCCCGTGCACACACTCAAGATATCGACACCCTCCGTCGCGCCTTGCCTGGCCAGCCAATCGGAGGCGCCCTCGGGGAACGCGGTATCAGGGTCAGTTCCGGGTACGTAGATGACTGCAACACGTCAGTGATCACGGACAACATAGGTAAAGCTACCGCTATGGATCCAATATGCCCGGGCCCATCCAGACCCAGAGAGTGGATTATGTAAAGTCGACGCCGGGGGGACCACCCACTGTTGAGTTTTCCAGGCGCAACCTCAGGCTCGCTATAATGATGCGACGCAACAACGGACTGATTACTCGTCAACGGGATCCGCTCGCCCGCGGCCACGCTGCCGACATACAGGATCTGGACCGAAGGCGCGCTATCGATGACGACCTGCGGCAGCATGTGGCTCAGCAGGGAGAAGTACTCGTAACTCAGAGACCCGAAGATGTCGACGCCCGCCGTGTCCAGCACCTGCGCGTCCGTGGGGATGAAGACGCCGATGCGGACCACGGGACGGTTGTCCGGTGCCTTCGACACCTTGTTGACGTCTGTGAAGATAGTAGACATGATCCTTTTGCGAGAAAAACTTTATTCGGTAATTGTATATCGTCTGAGGTGGGAAAAGAGCCGATTTTGATGAAGATGTCACAGCTCTATCGAAACGAGACTGGGTTAAGTAGGTAGATGGCTAAATCTCACTAGATTTGACAACGTACTGCTTCACTCTTGCTAGAGCTCAAGTCGGCATTGGCTAATATTTATAACTGCTATTTATAACTGCTAACCCCTTCCACAGGCTGTGCAGTGTATTCTCCGAGCCTGGCCGGCGTTATGTATGTCGTTGACGGCAAGGCGTAGAGTCGCCGTGGAAAGCTCATGTTACGTGATTGGTCTATCCAGCAAGTATTAACTCCGGCCACAGCCGGACCTTGACCAAGTACATAATAAACAACGTTCGCTTCTACTTAGATATAAAATCGGTCTAGCATACATACACCGAGTTTCTTACCGGTACAGCTATTCAGTATTGAAGTGAACACGAATCAATTGGTGGGTTGAGTCACGTATTGTTGTATCCTAGACTCTTGAGCATTTATGATGAAACGAATTCGATATAACTCTCCCCTATTAACCTCTTCGCAGGTTGCTCCCATCTTTTCTGTCTAGCTACCGGCATATCCGCTGGCAAATGTCTAGTATGAAGCTGACTCGGCCTATTCTTGGGGGGAAAGGGGGGGAGCAGGCACTAAAATCTTCATCAAGTTCAACTACTCTATAGAGATATAGCTGACCAAATCACTCATAAGAACAATCCAAGAACTTAACGTCCCTTTGAAGGCTATACGATTTTGTCTTGGAAGATGTGACATGTCTTGTGGCAATACGCGTTCATATTGATGGTTGTAAGCTTGTAATGCCTGGCAACTACTATAGACCTCTGGCTCTTCTCTCAGCCGGGTCCTGAAGCGCTGCTTGATCCTATATACATCGTAATTAGGTATTATCGGGCTAGGTTTTGCTCATTAGCTGGGCTGCAGTGTTGTCGCGAGCCCCCTTGTCCTAGCTGGGCTAGCCCGCTCCCAATCGGACTGAAAGTTTTCTTCGCATTCGCGAAATCGATGCCCAGGGCGAAGCTCGTCCTCCTCTCACCCTTCCTTGCCGTATAAACGAATGCCGAGAGGAACAATCCCTGATTCATGCGCTGTTCTCCTAGAACTCCGAGAGCCCAGAAAGTAATACCATATCTAGAATGCCAATGCCGATGCCATACGTTTCATATCAAGTCCTCTATTTACACACTCGCTACCGAAAGCTTCTGTTCATAATGCCAAATGTTCGAGCTCTGAAAGTCTTAATGTAGCTTGCGAATCGAAAGAAGAAACTCATATGGGACTGGCCTAATATCGTGTACAAGCCGAACCATACAAGGAAGATAAATTCAAAATTAAAAATGACAACCCAACAACTATGAGAGAACTTCTGCGATAAAGGATTTGGCTCTTTGCCGCGTCACTTTCTTGCTCACAGTATAGACTAGGTCGTTGGTAAAGAAGTGCATCAGCTGAGCTTGGGCTGATGGAATGGATCCGTAAAGAGCTCCAACAAGCGGGAATACAAGATAATCGACAAAATTCGACTTCGCGCTGCGGTGTGAGAAGCACATGCCCTTAGCCAAGCCAGCTTCTTGCATCTCTTTTTCGCGGGTAGTGGCACCAATCTTGTGGAATCGCTCGTACAAGAAGAGTAGAAACGCACACTCCAAAAGGCCAACAGTTCGAAGGACTTTACAAATTGCGAAGATCCAACCGACATTGTGGGGGTCTGGGCCACCTTCGGTGACGGTCATATATAGAGTCGAGGTGACAATCATGATAGTCGTATGGAGAGGGAGAAAATGAGCTTCGAAGAGTCGGTGAGCAAGAAGGAACGTTCGCTGCCAGTCAGGTTCTTTGATTGTCTCAGTAGTAACTTCGGAGTAGATTCCACTTTCCAGGGGTTGCTCAGGGTCCGCATCAAAATGATTCTTAATGTAGGAATCATTCGGGTGTTTTAATGCAAGGTGAAGTGGACGAAAAGCCCTGGTTGTGTGCTTGCGTTCCTGCCAGAGCTCGACAAATTTCCTGATTGCATAGCCGACATCCAATGCACCCCACATATGTCGAAGGGCCTGCTTATACCGCGCATCCATGTCGTTATAGACTCGCTTAACACCCTCGCCACCATCACCCTTCACATTGCTTTGGCTGACCGGGCTATGAATTGTCCTAACTGTCAAGTTCCCGTTCAAGGCAAAGAAGCATTTGAGATACATGTGTAGATCCTCGCCAATAGCTTCAGAGTCGCAGTCCCAGCCACCAACTCGATCAACTAGCTGTAGGGGTAGCGAATAGACTGAGGTCGGGGGAGCGATAGAGGAGCCACGGTAAAGACCAGACATGCCAGCAGCACCCCACAGAATGTCGGCAACTCGTACAATAGCTGGGACTTCGTGGGCATTGCGATCAAAGATGATAGGAGCGGCATATAATGTAGTAGTTGCAGTTTCAGGATGTGCATTATGCATACTTGTAAGCAAAGCAAAATAATTCGAGGAGAGATGGCTATCAGCTATAAATGAAATAATGTTAATGACCTTTTGTCAATGATTCTACACCATGAATGAGGTAATAGGGACAGTTAACGTACCATCAATTCCGGTAATGATTACGTCCTTTCTGACACTGAGAGGGTATTTCTCACTCAGCTTTCGTCCAGCCCAAGCCATGTTGCTACCTTTTCCAGGCGCTTCTCCGGGAATATCGGGTGGGTGTAGAGTAAAGTCGATTGACCGAAACTTCTTAACAAACTCGTTGATTATAGCCAATGCTTTCGCTTCGACATTCGGTTCACGCGCCTCCATTGCTAAGTAGACCTTTGTGCTTCGTTAGCTTCAGAAGTGTCAAGGAACAGCCTGTGAGCGAGAGCAAGAATTATCCAAGATCTCAGGTGCCAATATGATCAAAACCGATATACTCACATCGTAGGTATCACGAGCTAGTGGATGTGAGGCTATGACATCTAGCGTCTCTCGAAGGGTGTCCATCTCTTCCTTGTAGTTCGGAATGATGATTGCATGGATAACACGGTCGACACCAGTCTCAGATTCGGGAACAAATTCTGTCTCGGTATCACCCGCCTCGCTACTCGCAGTCGAAGATGGCGAAGGTAATTCTTTGGATGAGGTGAGAGTCTCAGAGCTCGAAAGAGAAGTGAAAGAGCCGCGGCGACGATGCGATATCTTATAATCTCTGAGTGATTTGCTGCGGGCGGTTCTCTCGAGACACCGGGAAATATCGAAAATGGACCACATGGAACGTAACGGGAAGGACGAAACCAGAATATGAATAGTTAAACAGTAGTAGGCAAAAATGAGCGTCCAGAAGCCGGCTCCCTCGTACGTCGTGGGAGTTGTGAAGGTAATACGAGCAGGCCGACTCAGCGAATCTGCCTCGTTGTTGCGCGTCAGGGTGAATCCCGACGCGGCTGCTTCGCGAGTTATTACATAGTATGCGAGGATAACGAGGAAGACTATAGATAGTCCTGGCGCGGACCGCGCTACCCACGAGAAGAGCATGGTCGGCTGGCTACTCGATTACAGCCAGAGTTGCTGCTGGCGACTTGGATAAGAGAACGACAAAAGATGGAATTGGAAGAGAAAGGAACGACAAGAAGAGGCAGGCGACCAGAGATAGCAAGGTGAGAAGAGAACAGCGGGGAGTGCGAAGAGGACTCGAGAAGTCAGGGACTCAAGGACTCAGGGACTCAGAACGTAGCGGAAGTCAATGCGCCCTCGAAGCTAGTACACTCTGCCATACACGACTACAGACGAGTTGGGGATAGAGTCGGGCCTGGATGGATTAATGGGATGAAGAGGAAAAGGAAGGGTAGTAGAAAGAAATCTCTAGTACGGGTAGGGGAAAGTGAGCCAGGCTGGGGCGCGCAGAATTACATGGAGTGTAACAACGAGGGTAATGATAATTTGAAAAGGAGAGCCTTGTTTTTTTTTTAGTACGGGGGAGATTGAAATTAAAGAGAAATTAGCAGCCATTTAGGGAGCGGCCAGGTACAGGTACTATGCTAAAAGTAACACAGGGACGGCAAGGCAGCCATTTTACAGGGGAGATGGGGGGAAGAGAGAGATGGGATAAGGTCTACCAGGTAGGTAGTATACCGGTACCTAGGTACTTACTCACATGTACATCCTCCCACGCTACTGCTAGTTTACTTAGTGTAGCGAAGCGCAGCGCAATGCAGTGCAGCGTGGTCGATGTACATACATGTACAGGAGATTGGCAGCAGGCCACATCAACCCGCACACCCAAGGATTCAACGGGCAGTTTCAACTTGAAGCTTCTACTGGTTCCCTATGTACCTACTTACATGTGTAAATACCTCTTTCTTACTTACTTACAGCCTGCTGATGCGCTACCACTACACTCCATTCACGACGTGGTACGCTGGGTAGGCGAGATGGCAGCTTACTTACTTCGTAGTCTTGCTAGACTTGACGAGAGTAGGCTACCTAGGTTAGGCAAGGTATGGATGTAAATGGTTGCCAATGAACGGCTTTCAGACTTCATCGCACGATACGGTGCATCAGATGCGGAGTAGCTAGCTGAGCATACGTCACGGTACATGCTTGAACTAAACTGATGCCAACAACAATAAGAACACCACGATGTAGCGGTTCTACATATCTACCGGTATGTATGGATGTGTGTACATTGTGTTGAAAATGCCTTCATAGTCTATCTGAAACGAGTGTTATCTGCAACTACGTATCTTACACGTAAGGCTATACCATATTTCCAGCCTTTGTTGGGTGAGACTCTGACAGACGCTTGCGGTTTTTGCAGGACGTCCTGAAGCCATTGGGCAATCCTTCCAGCCACTGCCATGCAAATCACCCAATAACTATTGAGTATGCGACTCGGAGTAACCAACTTTCAAGACAATGGACCTACCTATAGCTAGATCGTCGATTAGGATTCATGGTCTTTTCGCTGACGCAGACTAAGCACCATAAAATCCTGGGGTTGAAGTAAGTGTCATGGGGAAGGCTAGGTACGTATTGTTCTATAATTATACAGTTGCCAATATAGCGTGGAATACCTACCAACAGTCAGTACCTAGGTAGGTAGTCGAGGTAGTCAGAGTAGATAATATCATTCCTACTTTCCAACTTATCTGGTAAGGCTGATTTTGACCTATGAAACTGCCGCTTCTTCCTGCTTACCAGTCTACTGCGGTTGCTAAGTTAGGTCTGCCACCCATGGCACAGCCCCTCTCCACGTCTCCAAGCTATCTAAGTACATACATGAGCTACTAATAGTACGAGTAAGAATGTCCGAAGCCCAGCTCTATGATGAGGGGCACTTTGAGGATGGGTTCGTTGGACTTCGGGTGCTTTTCTGGCTCTTTTCTGATGTCGTCGTTCGATATGCCCCAATTACCGACCTAGAGATCGTCCCGTGACAGCATTGACCGCTAAGTATGCCTGTCTATAGTAGTAGCAAAACGGTAGGTCAGAAAGCAAAAACGGTCTATTGCATCCTTATCAGGAGATGTTATCTTCGGGTTGCATAGTAGAGGAGAATCGAGGCATAGGTGGCGTAGCATTGCATGGCCTCAATCAGATGTTCTACACATAAGAAGCAAAGTGTCTGCACTAACAGACGTCCTCCACCCATTCCATCCATCCATCGCCATAGCGGGGCTCGTCGAGCTCACTTGCGTTGCGTTGCTGCTATCCTCAATTTCGTCATTTGCCAAGTCTTGTAAACTACCTACCGACTACCTAGGTTAGCTACCTACCTTCGATACTCCAATAGAGAGGTGTTGTAGAGTCGTGCAGAGGTTGCTTACTTGAGGACACTGCACACAATTGGTACGGCTCTTGGAAGAAAGAATTACACCTGTCTCCATATGTGTTCCCGAGGCTGAGAGGACGCAAAACAAGTTGATGGATACTTACCTACATAGATACTACCTACTGAGTAGGTAGGTGCTTAGTAGGTATAGGTACTGCTTCCTCTACTTATGTGGAGGGGTTGTGTTACACGCCCATGCATCTCCCACTTAAGTAGGACCGCATATGCTAGGTAGGTACCTTACACTAAGTATGCGGTAGGTACAGTACAGTACCCGTTGCGTATGTATATAGAGTACCTAGCAACTACCTACCAGGTATGTACTTAGTCTACTGCGTACTTACTGCACATGCAGTATGTGTATACCGCAGAGTATGGTTGGTTGTATGGCTCAGCCGATAGCCGATAACTGGTAGCTGCCGTAATTGTATCTGCTTCCCCCGAAAAGGTCATATATCGGGTCAATCCAGTTTGCAGTTTTTAGTGTGTATAGATGTCTTGAAAATATTCTTCTTGATCAAGTTACCCTCGGCAAGGCGAAAAATAAGACTAGAGAGCAAACATATACTTAGGTACCGAAGTAGCTGGCCTCGGCTCGCCTAGCTTAGTGGTAGGTAGGTACTTCAAGCCGACAGCTACCTAGGTCAGACTAGGTACAGTGCAGTGGTCAATGCGTTTACGCTAGCAACATAGATGGTATTTACAGTAGTACTGTGCGATACAGTAGTGGCACAGCCCGATTTTGACTCAGCTTTTAGGAAGCACCAAGAGTTCCTCGAGCGTCTCGTCTGATATTGCCTCTTCCATGTATTCGCATTGGATGATCTGGACCAACCCAGCACCAGCGGGGCTACTTTGAGCGAATTCCCATCCTCATAGTGTATGATGCGGTATTTGCCATAACGCGATGTGCGCGCATTTCCAGGCGTTCGCCGGTCCAAATATCTCTCCTTTGCTGAGAGCAGACTGGGAGCAACAGTTCATGTGACAAACTAGACAGCCAGAACAGTGGATATGCAATTTCCAGATGGCCAATCATAGGTGTCTGAGCAATCGACCCACGGGGATGCCCAAGTCCTCTGTCCGGAATATCTACCATACTGTGTGTATCGTTGTTAATACCCATTGAAAGGATTGGAAGTCCCCAACTGTTTATCTTAGTATTCGTTTCTACACTACGTCTACGGAGTATTGACTTCATGCACATCTACAGGGCAGATACAGGGCATTGGCTTGCTAGAACGAACCGACACTCGCCTTATTCCTTAGTTATTCTTTGATGCTAAGATAGCCGACCACTGGAATACCGGACTCCTTTGCCTACCTATACCGAGCCCGCCTATACCTACATCGGTAGTACAAGAGTCGGCCGACGGCAGTAACCATTCAAAACGTCGGGCGGAAAACGGGTGAAAAAAGAATTATAGGTGGCCAATTAAAATCTCGCAAAATTGTACAACTTCTCCATAAACAACCTAGTCAGCATATACCTATGTACTTTATCTAGAGACTGGTAGGCAGGAAAAAAGTAGGTAGGTAGATGTAACATCTAGCTCCCTGCAAGTCAGCAAGCAAGCCTAGGTCCGTTTGCATTGGGCGGCCTCCGAAACATTCTCTCAACGCAGTAAGTAGGTATTCCTTAAGCCTGACTCTGGCCTCAGAACCAATTAGAATAGAATATACAATGCGATTGCAGAAAAACAGCTGCCTATAACAATGTCTTGGCGTTGCGAGGCCAAAGCCGTGGCTTGAAGGGATGATGGAAAGTCAGAGCACAACACCCACACCGCAGCATATTGCAGTAGGTACACTACATTCAGCTTAGATGTATGGCGTTATGAATACATCTCTTAGCGCCCGCTTTTCTTTTCATCCCATATTACCTAGTAAATAGCCTTAAATGTGTCACGACCTACTTAGCATGTTTGCCACGAGTGTTGAAGACCGACAGATGCAAAGACGCAGACTACCTCATTGATTACTTGGTCAGATGCTGTGCAATTCTCGGAGACAGAGGGGCTCGCCAATCTCCGGGCTTCCGACTGAGTTCCTTCATCTCCGCCTCCGATGTAACACAGCAGAAGGGGGCGGGGCGGGGGCCTTGATGCTTCAACTAAATTTGTAATGCGGTAGGTTATGGGATCTACTGGTAACACAAGCAGCAGACAGCATTACTTAACAGTCGCGTGAAAATCAAATGTCCCTTTACTCGACAAAATGCAGATGCGATTACATTTATGTAAAGATGTTCAGACTTGTGCCTATCAAGCTATGTTTCAGTTCGCTGGCACACATGCATTTGCACAAATGACAAATGGTGTATTTTCGAGATGCGCTTCCAATCATGAAGTGAGCTTGGCCGAACTTTTGACCAAGTATCAGGTCTTACTTATACGACTGATAACATTGGCGGTGGTGGGCATGTCGCGTTTCCTTCTCTCTGTTCTTCTCATTATACATCGACTTGATGGACTCTAATATCTCTGCTCTCCACTCTTGAAGCCGAGTAGAATATAGTACGCAAGTCTTGTACACAGGTTAGCTGGTGCCTGGGTAGAATTTGGTGTTAACAAGGCAGCAGCATCCTATCAAAAGTGAAACATCATGATAAGCACTTTCTATTACGTGAGAATCCAACTAAGGCTGAGCAATGCCGATCGACAGACCACAAGTAGCATGGCCTCCATGACGTATATTGTATGTGTTCAACAGCCAACCTCTAACCTAGGATACGTTTTAGCAATCGGCTTGGGTTGTGTTAGAAGCGTTGCCCTAAAAGATCTTATAAGACTTGCTTGGGTTCCATCCTATTGGTCCGCTCATTAGGATCACATGACCGTCAGCTATTCATATCACCTCTCAACTCCTTTCCTAATTGATATGACCATATTGCCTCCATTGGGACTTAGGTATGCCCATATGGTTTTACGCCTTTGTCTTAACGAACTCCAGGTTTGTTAGACAAGACGTCATCTCATTTCTAACTTAGTCCAAGAAGATCATAAACGAAGTATACCATCTTCACGTTGACCTGGGTGTTGTTTCTGTTTATTAACTTGCCACGTACTCGAGCATTTGAAATGTGGAGGAATCGCACCTTTGCTGACAACGTGGGTACTTCGATCCATCGTAAGCTTGCATTTCAGTGCTATGTTGGTAGCCTCCATGCAGTTTAGTATGTAATGATTGGTTAAGAGGTTCATCATTGATCTGAAGATACCTGTTTCTACCAAGACTCAGACATTTTTGTCGAATAGCTTGGTAATTGGTTTTGCAGACTGTTTCATAATGTGAGCAGTGTGAGACATAACACTATCACAAGTAGACTCACATCAATAAACTTCTCAAGTTCTTTATCTAGGTTCGAAAGGTCGTCCTTGCGCCGCTTGTTGTCCGCAATGAGCTTCTGCTTGCGCTTGAGAAGCTCCATTCGTTTTTGTTCCAGGGCTTCTCGCTCGGTCCGCTCGTGCTCAATCCGTGCAACCATCAGGGCATTCTCGTCATCGTCGGCGTGCTCAGGCTTCAGCGCGAGGAACTCCTCTACAGGGATCAGAGGAAGCTGCTGATACGGGTGACTGTTTTTTATTTCTATTAGCTCTTGCGCAAGATCGGTTATTGGATAGCAATAGGAGGCGTGAATCTTGTCCAAAGAGGCAATGCTTGGCGAGTGGGTGAAAGCCAGATCGCTATCGATATTCTTGTTATCTTTATAGGCTTGGTCGGTTGGGGTGATTATGTTTGAGGTGACGAAAGCCGGAACTACTGGCCCGCCCTCTTGTGTCTCTTCTTTGCAAGTTCGCTCAGATGGTGAGTAGGGAGCAGTGGGCACTGACTCAAACGATTCGCAGGCAGCAATCTCGCCTTGCAAGTGCCGCTGTTCGTAATAGAGGTTCTGTAGTTGGAGGTGTAGGCGATCGACCTCTTGACGAGCCTCCGAGGTTTGGGCTTTTGTGTTTCGCGCGGCAAAGTTTGCTGCCCGATGTAGCCCTCGAAGTTGCGCTAGATTCGTAATTAGACGTTTCTGTTGCTTGGACGTCTCGAGGAGGGCGTCGGGGGATGCCGCATCAATTGGACCGGCGGCGGCAATCTGGTCGACGAGGTTGAAGGCTTGGAGGCGCGTGTCGCGCGAGGCCGCAAGCACAGTCACAAGCTCTGGGTCCGTCACGATCTCATTGACCGCCATAACTGCTTCCCTAGAGCGCCAAAATCAAGTTTCTAGAGTATCTGAATAGGTTATCTCGCGAAGCAAATGCGCAATAGTCAAGGAATGGGATGGAGCTTGGTGTTTTCCTCGCCAGCCAATCGTGGTTGCTTGTATGTAACAAGGAACAAGGTGCTGTACTATGTACTTACTATAAGCGGAATCTCAGCTTTCCCAAATTCCCAAATGGAACAGCACTGCTGCATTGGCGGGGCTAGCATGCCGAGCATGCTTCTGATTGGATGGTTACGTACCTTTTGAAAGGGCCCTTGTCTGAGCTGAATGCTCCCTCTATGACCTCCTGGGTACGGTAGGGTAGCCGTCGGGTATGATCTAGATTAGATATCTACTTGGGACTCATGAAGAAACTTCAACAAAAAAACTTAAAAAAAACTTGCCATAGCCAACTTGATTCATATCTACACTACCCACTACCAGGTATCTTGTGATGTGCAGTCTCCAACCTTGGAAAGTGCAATGGCTTACCTACCACATGTCCGAGACAGTTTTAAAAAACCGGCGATGTTACTTACTCAGTGTACCATCTCCATGACTCCTGATTGATCCTACAACTCGCTTTAATAGGAACTCCCGACTTCTCCTTCCCGCCAGAGCCACCTGCATAGCAGCAGGAAGCTGTCTTCTTCAACTTACCATGGTACGAACAAGTGCTGAAAGTACCTGGTGACTTTCAAACAAATCGTTCATTTTAGATTACTTACAATACATAATACCTAGTAGGTAGGTAAGCCTCTCTCTCGATTACGGCTGGGGGCGACCCCAACTCCACCGCCAAATCCTCCCGACTAAGCAGCCAATCTCCGCTCAATCCACTGCATGTGATTGTGCCTCTGGCTCTTTTGTTCCTGGGCATTGGGTCCAACCGTTGCTGATATACCCGATTTGTTTGTTAGTTAGTGGCGACGGCCCTCTTTATTTCTATCGGCAGACAAGCTGTCTCCTTTGATCTCCTAGATTGACCATCACTTTCGCTCAAGCTGGCCCAATTGAGCTTTCTGGCAAGCTGTTGGAACGATTTGTTATGCCACGCACGACGACCATCACTCCTCCCTAAACCCTCACTATTACGACCACGCCCACATGTCCTGCGCTTCGTCGTACGCTCTTGGGCCTATCCAAGATGCCCCAGAGGCTACGAGCTCTGGTGCCACCGTCCACGACCGGCGGATACAGCGGCGTCGCCACTCTTCGTTCGTCCCCTATCGGCGGAAATCTATAGTCAACCATATCATGGACGGAGAGGAGGCGCTCTTACTCAAGGTTGGCTTCCAAAACGTCACCTCTATCCACTCACCGCTATGCTAACCTGGAAAAGGTTGACCTTTTTCTCTCCGACCTCGAACGCCGCCTGGAATCCCTAGAAAGCTACGGCGATCTGATGCACGTTGACGCTAGCATAGCAAAGACATTTGCGACTCTACAAGCAGTGAAGGAAAGATGCTCGCACGTATCCGAAGAGGTGATTGGGGCCGGCCGGCGCCGTCTCCAGATCCTGGTTGAAACACTTGATGCGAGATACCAGGGAGCTCTAGCGAGAGCTGAGTCTATGAATGAGAAGGCTCGTATGGGTATCGAACTTCTAGATAGCATGCTGGATGACTTCGAGTTACGGGCGATCAAGTTACGGGACCAAGGATTCGCAAATGCCGCTGGGGCTGCTGAGAGCCTTATGGGTGGTGGCCGACGAGTGATGGACGAGGGCCTAGAGCGTGCCCGTGGTGTAGTCGACGAGGGCATCGGTCGAGCCAAGCGTGCAGCTGAATCCGTTGAAGAGCATGTTCAGAGCGCCCTAAACCGGGCGCGAGAGCAGGGCTTGCTCAAATACGATGAATTACCCGTCCCATGGAGGATTAATCCTCATATCCTAAAGGGCTATCGATTCTCGGACTCTAAAATAGATTGTGTCCGGTCCATGTTCGGTGTCTCGAACGAGACGGTCAACATTTGGTCTCACGCACTTGGATTCTTCATCCTTCTGGCCGTTGCCTTTTATTTCTACCCAGCATCCGCCAATTTCTCCCTCTATACGAAAACCGATATTTTCATCGCTGCAGTGTTCTTCTTCGCTGCCTGCAAATGCCTGGTTTGCAGTACGATATGGCATACGATGAATTGCGTAGCAGATCAGACTTTAATGGAGCGCTTCGCTTGCGTTGATTACACTGGCATATCATTATTGATTGCTGCGTCCATCATGACCACCGAATACACCGCTTTCTACTGCGAGCCAGTCTCGCGTTGGACATGTGAGTACTCTCCTGACACATTTGTTCTTTACAGTGGCAATTACTAGTGTATATGTGCTCCTTTACAAGTTGAAGTCCGATGGTCAAAGCTTCCCACATTCTTACAGAACATAATTCCAATGGAAGTAGCTGACTTTTACGGCCATAGATATGACGGCTACTGCAATATTAGGTATTGCCGGCACAATCCTCCCGTGGCACCCTACTTTCAACGGTCAAGATATGGCTTGGCTGAGAGTCGGGTTTTTCATTGGGCTGGGGGCAACAGGCTTCATGCCAGTTTTCCAAATTATCCTAACTCGCGGCTCCACCTGGGCTTACGAGTTCTACCTGGACTCTAATCTGGTGAAATCACTTCTGGTATATGTCTTAGGAGCTCTTGTATATGCCAGCAAAGTCCCAGAGAGATGGTTTCCTGGTGCTTTTGATTTTGTCGGTAACGCCCACAATCTTTGGCATGTAGGTGATACTAGTACTTGAACACATCTAAATGCAATATCACTGACGTAAATTAACAGATGGCAGTCCTTGGTGGGATCATCTACCATTACATTGCCATGCTACAATTTTTTGCTGGCGCTTTCGAGCGGGCTAAACTCGGGTGTCCAGCATACTAAGCATTTATTCCCCGAAGGAGAACTATACATGTTTAACCACTTTTTCTTAGGAAGAATATGTCATGTTCTCTCCCAAGAATACGCCCTCCTCCTTTCCACAATCTAGCATTGCCAGCTCATAAAAGGGCCGTCAATGTCCCTGCCACGGCTATCACGAGTATGGAGCCTATCAGAGCTCCTTTCTTCTTGGCAGCCATGGAGATCTGGACATAAGGCGAAATCGACGCATGAGTCTGTGTCGAAGGCGAAGCTGACAGAGTAACCCGATTCAATGTAGATACAGATGCGTTCGCTACTTGTACTACTGCGGTTACTACGGGCGTTTTTGAAGACAGAAGTGTTTCATGGCACGCCGTTCCAATTTGCACGGTGAATTCTGTGACAAATCCCATCTTAGCCTCCTCCAACGGCTCTGTTCCATATTCTTGATCAGAATGCGGCGTACCGACAGAAGTCGGTCCTAAGTTGGCGGTGAGGAACGGTGTGACGGTGAAGGTGCGGCTAACTCGAGCTGGTGTGGCCGCTGTGGGATCGGTATTCGCAACACGATCATTTGCAGCACCACTCGGCAGATCAAAACCAGCTCTCTTAGCGCATGTTGCTAAGTCTTCATCCTGTTCAAGTCTTTAGTAACTTGATTGTTCAAAAAAATTGGGCATTGCAACCTACGTCAAAACAACAATATCCCGCGACGGGTGCACAGTAACTACCTGCGTTACAAAATCCTCCGTCGAGCTTACAGCACGTCTATGGCACTGTTAGATTGAGAAATAGCTCGGGACCGTCGTTTAACCTACTTGTCCAAGCTCTGGGTTGAAGCACCATGTGCTCTCCTCGCCGCCACATGGTAATGAACCGGCGCCGTATGTCTTTTCACATGTCATCACCTGTCGTCTTCGGACTGGCGTAGAAAACTGCGAATCAATTTCTGATGCCTGCGCCAGCAACCCGAACGCCGGTAGGAGGAATAATGATGAGTACAACATTGTGGTACTATGGGTTTGGGGTTCCACGAATACGGCTCGTCGGAACAGCGACAACGACGTTTATGACCGAGCAGCTAGAAAAGATGGTCTCGGAGATGGAATCGCAATGAGACAAGGTAGACGAACCGATCAGGGGGGATTATAATAGACGGCCCCGATGATCTAGAGATTCATAGACTAGACGGGAAAGAAAAATAAGTTCTAGAGATAATGAGATTCAAAAGACCGAGGTGGTGCGATAGAGTTAACGTTTTTCGTTGTCTTGTTAGATAGAGTCCTCGAAGATAGACAGATAGATCCTAGAACAGGAGGCAAAGAGTCTTTAATACATCCATCACTGGCCCTTGTTTCCCTTTGCGATGGGAACAGAGTAACACATATTACTTACATACATACATACAAAGTTTCCTCATCCAGCAATAGTCCTCTTCTGTCTTGACTTGCAGGCATTTCAATTCCATGGTCCTTGAGAAAGTTAGTTGATCTATAGGTCCCTGCATTGCTCGCCTAGGTGATGGAGAGAAGTGATGGAATTTGATATTCGTTATATCTGTTCAAATTCAGCGTTTTACTTTCTCCCTCTCTATTGATCTCCGCATCTACTTATATCCTTACCTAGGTAATTTGATTCACCTCCGTTCCTCTTAAGACTGACTCTCTCAAGATCTGCGCCTATCTTAATCTGGATATGTTTCACCATGTACGTCTACTTCTCGTGCGAATCCGAGATTCGGACCTCGACTACGGACAGGGAATGTGGCTTCGTAGGGAAAAGATTCAACAGCTCAAAAAGATGAATAAATAGATAGGACTAGAATTGGGCGCGTATATGATGTCTTCAATCACTCGCATCGTATATACATTGGAACACGGGGACGATAGTAGCCATGTTGTAAGTACATAGCTAGTCGCGCAAGGGAGTGCAACTGTAGTTCTCCCTAGAAAAGGGTTTGTGTTAGATAAGGCTGCCACATCGTGAACCTTGAACCAGGGGGTTTCGTAATTGACCCTTCATTCATTCATTTGGAACTGGAAGTTATATACTGCATTGTCTAAACGATATACTCGTCATCCATTCTCTGGTACGGTAGACTGACGTCGATACTGTCCTCCCTGCAATAGCTAATCGAAGACGGGACAAAGGGATGGCGCAGGTATATATCGGCACGCTCTAGAATGTCACATTTAGAGCTCACCAATAGACTCTGGAAATGGCATATTAACTTCTTTTGTCACATTGAGCGTCGCCTGAGTCAACCCAAGAAGTGTCTCAAGTGTTTTCCTAACTATAGTTATCTATATTACAATTGCACCAGCCGATTGCTGCGATTGTCATATATCTCGGCCCTATGAGTTATGATCAAAAATATAATAATAATAGTGCAATGCTATGTCATGCCAGGTGCGAGAGATCCCATTTCCCATCGTAACATCGTTCGCAGCGTGGTTTCCGTTGTGTTAATTTATAACACCGCGGCTCTTATATATAATACAAGTCAGTATAAACGCCTTCCTCCTAGTCTCATCAAACGAGACATTTTGATCGTAATGTGGATAATCCATGCCATCGAGAGATGCATTTTAGTAATTAGCCAATACCGCACAGCCTTGGCCAATTTTGGTACCAGATTTTGAGGAGACGCGATTAAGCGAAGTCCTCCCCATCACAAAGCATGGTTAACTATCTCCTCATACACATCGCTGGGTATCATTTTGACAATAGCTAGCGCATGAGCTTTGATTTGGTCAGCATGTAAAGTTGGGAATGACCGCAGGAGTTTATTAGGGCTGTGTTACTCGGTTAGAATTGGCAGTTTCGCTACACAATAAGTACAGATAGCAACTCACCTTGAGGAGCTGAGCAATTCGTTGCGCATCATGATCAGCTGGGCCACGATGCACAGAATATTTAAGTGTGGTCCGTAGGCAAACAAGAAATCCCATAACCGCAACACCTCTGGCAGAGGGGGTGTACAAGCGCAGAGCGTCAGCACTGACGGAAAGGCGTAAATTTCTGCTGAAAGACCCTTCGAGGTGAGATAAAGGCTCAATTTGGTGTCCACGATGCCCAAGACTTTATCTACGAGCGCAAGACCGCGGTGTACGCCATCCATAGCACCTCGAATATAGGCCGGGCATTCCCTGGTCAGGAGTTGATGAAACGCTACAAAGGCCTCGGCTTCGCTACGGGCAGCGTACAAGAAAGGGGCTGCTAGCACGTTCATTCCCTGTACATACGTCCCTGGTTCCGAAGCATTCGAATCCGACCCTTCTGTTGTAAGGGTAAGAGCGCGGGCGCGACTCCTTGCTGCTGGAGACGTCGCATTGATCTGCGACATGTCACTGCGGGCGGGGCTGGCGCTATTGCTAGGAGGGAGCGACTGCCGACTGCTAGCTGGGCGACGTACTTCCTTGGAATCGTGTAACATCCAAGCAACTGCATTAAGCAGTCGGATTAAACTGGCCTCACTGACACGGCGACGGAAGAGTGGATCGGTGGTCAGGGTTCGAAAAGTGTCATTGCGAATTTTGGAATAAGCGGGCGAGGCACCGCGGTGAACAAGCTTGAGATAGTCGCCGGTCGTCAGGACAGGGGCATCAAGCAAAATCAGCCAGATATATATTCTACTAGAAGACTGGGAAAGGAGCCAGGGTGATTAGCTTCAAGAAACCAAACGCAGCTAATTCGTGCAAGCAGTTTTATCCTACCATGCCGTCAATATCACTCTTTATCCCCTGATCTAATACCTTGAATCGCATGTTTATGAGGGCACCACCCACGTCATCATCAGGCGGACCATCTCGTATCAACCTATCTAGGCTCAAGCCGTCGGCGGCTGATGGAGTCCTGTTCAACACATTACGCTTTGCATGTAAGGACGCGGAAGAGCTTGCGATACGAAGATTAGGGGGGTTTCCGCTGCCACTGGCGTCGGAATTGGCCCTGTGGCGTTGTGGCGATCGGTTGAGGGCCTGCCGACGGGTTGGCGAGATGTCTCTCGAGTGTACGTGGCGAAGGGTTTGCTGGGTAAGAGTAGTGGATGAGCTGGTGGCGATCTTGTTGGCGGCGCCGAGATTATGCGCTGATTGAAGCTTGCGTAGTGTCCTCTGTGTGCGTGGAGTGAGAGGAGTCTGAAGGTCTATGCCGAGCGGCGATGGTGAGAAGCACGACGGGATCGCGTCACGCGTCGGACTCGGCATGTCGTCCTCTGGCGTGGCGCGGTCGAATCGATGGCGGTGACTTCAATTGGACGATTGAGTTCGCGAAAGCAAGCGGTTGCTAGTGAGAAACGGGCATTCGCGGGTATTGATCCGAGCGACGTGGATGTCGATTTCTGACGTCGCTCGGCCACCGCTCTCGAAGCGGTGCTGTGACGTGGGTAAATGTGAAAGACGAGGTTGGCGAGGTTGGGTCGAGTGGTGGGACCCCTCACTTGACTTAAATGGGTTAGGTAGATTCTACAATTAAAAAGGACAATTAAGGGTCAAATAAGGAACGCGTTTCTGTCGCGTTAGAGCGTGTCCTACCTACTGTACTTAGGTTATCTAGCAAGGTAGGTACCGTAGGACAGAACCAGAATACCGGTAACTGCCTCATGCATTAGGCCGCTCGGTACCTAGAGATAGGTGGCTAATTAAGCGACACCACCTATCGAATCCATACCTACAGGTAGGTTTGTAGGTAATATTCATCAAGTATTCATTAAGACACCTCCAATGCTTAGGTAGGACAAGACCACGACAGACAACCAACCTTCTGGACTTGCCGCAGTCCAAATTTATAAAGAGACTTCTTCGTCTAGTAACTTAGGCAGATACTTAAGCAGCAAGGTGCAAGTCACGCCGGGGCAGCGTGAAGTCGTAATACCTTGTTGGCATACGATAGGAGTTTTTTATTTTAAAGAATATGTACCATAGTAATGCTTAGGAACCGCCGACAAGGTAGTTTAGGTTATTGTCGCCGATTAACTGAGTGACTACCTACGATGTTGTCATATTTATAGCAATGTCTTAGGTTTTCTGTTTCTTATCATGGAATTATATCTAATTGCGGTGTGGGTATTAGGACTGGCTATATCACACCTACGTAGACTGTAGGTGAATGACAAAATGCCGTTTGCAGAAGACTTTTGAAGCGGGACAGATGAAGGGTTCTAAGGTCTGTAATAGTTGATAAATAATACCCGTCCAGCCAGGTCTCTATTTAACTTGCGAGCATTGATCTTGCACACATGACCTAGGTGAGTGACTTGCCCGCCGCTGAGATCGGCGTCGGCTGTTGCAAATATCCGTGTCCCCGTAGCCAAGGCAAACGGTGCTGCAACTCAACACCACAAGACGTTTGTTCCCGTAACGACCATCTGCATTATCAGATATCCGCGGAGATTGTATCCTGGTTCTACGAGTAACAAACGCGGCACATATCACTATCTAGGACCGTCGAGTACATGATTACTTAAGCACAGCATCCGAAAAGAGATCTGCATTCACATCTTTCTTCACGGTTTAGGGCACTACACCAATAGTGGAAGCCCGGGCAATGGCCAAGATGTCGCGGTTTCCTGTTTCGAAGGGACCGAAGAGGCGTTGCGAGTTTACTGTAACGCTTCTGACTACTATGCAGTCTTGATTGCTGTAGTTGCACATCTTTATTATTATTGTTGTTGTTATTTGGCAAGGCGGCGGTGTGCACAGTCTATTGTCAAAAATTTTGATGGGCTAAAGGAAGGGCGATGAATGTTTTAGGTACCTAGCGTAGAGACAGGAATACAAGGTTTCAGTTACATGTAGGTAAATTGACTATATAAGATAGCCTGCTTAGTTATTAATCTCGATTTCTTTAAATACTATGTAATGCAGAAGGGTCAAGTCATGACGAAGCATATGTATCCATGTATTATCTCGTACATACTAGTAGTAAGTAAGGAGGTAGTTCTGAACTAGTTGACTGCCGATTTCAATGTCGCACACGATATTCCCCCAGGCACGCCGATCCAAGACCTTGGCTTCTTACATGGACCACTTACTGCGTACCTACCTAGTGGGTTTCGCATGCTCGTTCGGATCTAACAGTAAGCTTTTCAACATTGGTCTACTCAGACCCGAGTCAAGAAGCTGGAAAAGTATTTGTCCGCCGAGAAACTATCGCGAGAAAGAACAACTAGCGGTGGATAAGACAACTTGTCCGAAGCGCGGAGACCGGTAGAGTGAAGTTCCGACCAGCGGATTTGTGCTTTGTAAGTGGCCTATCTGTGTCTACCAGGGCAGATGTGGGTGCCGAGGGTGCTAAGCGTGGCAGGGGAGCAATGGCATCAACTTCAGCCTCAATCACACCATCGACGCTTGGACCGAGTTTGCGAGTGGTGCAGGGATACCATTGGCCCGTTTGTGCCATCCGTGGCCCAATATGGAAACGAATCCTCACGCATACATGGCATGTGTATACAGCGGGGATTTTTCTCGACGGAGAGATTGCCAATTCCAATTGCCGACGACCAAGCCCTACTAAGTATGATACCTACGTGTCGAAGCGTGTCTCGAATGAAAGATGTACCGGCGGAAAGCTTGTGTGAGTAAGTAGAGTACCGTAGTACTTGAAGTATGCAAATGGGTAGGTAGGTAGGTTAGGTTAGGTGAGGTGAGGTAAGTATCTAGGTAATGTGCACAAGATGGTTGATGCTGACTGAGGTTTGTTCTTTACTGGCTTCTAGAAGCTTAAAACTTTAGTCCATGAAACAAGCTCTGACGGGTAAGACGTTGATATCACTTGAACCTCACTTGAACCACACCTGACAACAGCGACAAACATAAACATGGTCGTACACCTCGCTCTTTTCCCCATAACATGTCTTTTCACCGCGGTGTACACGTACCGTACAAGTGCAGTACAGCACCACCTACCTACTTACTACCCAAGGTGGGTAGCTTTTCATCAACAAGATCGTGGAGATGGGTGCGCATACCTTTGGCCTTGTACTACACTGAAAGTCAAAGTCCAGTCCTACATGTACAACATCACATGTAGCTACTTTACTGTAGACGGTCAGCGCCATCGCAAGTAGCCCGCTAGACTCCGAACGGCAAAGGGCCAATGGCGCCATAGAGGGTCTCTTCCTACAGACCAATCCGATGCCCCGTCATATGACGACGACGACGGAATTGGAGAGCATAACGCGCCTGACTGGAGTCCAGATTGCATGGCCGGGGAGATCTCCCTTGTGTATCCAGTCCTCCCAACTCCGGGTTTCTTCCCTGAGATATAAACCATCCTGGCCTGGTGCTTCTAGCCTGACCTTGACGACTCTCAAGCTGGTCATCAACGAGCTAAAGGTGCACCCTATCTGTATGAAGGCTGACCAATCTCAGATTTCTTCTCTACTTACCTTACATATAGGGACCTGTGCATATATAGATTGTTACATCTTTGGATCAGCCAGAAATTTCACCGTTTCTGGTATAATTTGCATTATAGACAGCGTTGATTTCTGGGTGTCATTTCATTCTGCAAACGAAAGATTCGAATAACTTTAACTTCAACCCCAAGAGCCTCTAGCGCACATTCTCACACCATTGAAGGCGTCATCTCGGCGAAAACACCGTTCTAAGACTCTATACTCCCGTTGTTTCGTCGTTGATTTGAAGGATCCAAAGTGTGATATTCGAGGCTTGAGCACGTCATTGCCCTGGACCTCTAGCTAGCCAACCAGACGCCAAGACGCCTTCTTGGCGCTCAGGGCTCGTGTTGTGCGTGATCACGTACAGTACACCATACCCTACGAGCGATACAAAGACCCTTGGCTCACCTCATTTGTCGCTCGGCCTTCTCTTCGTTGCATCCATATCGTCAGAACATCGCCATGTCTTCGAGTAGCCGCATCGGCCATGGCTTAGCCAAGGTACTTGGCATCAAGCTCGCCGAGCCTGAGACCGAGAGGGTTACGAGAGGGGAGTCTGTCTTCTCGATCCAAACTGCAGACTCTTTCTTCGAAGAACAGCCAACAGTCAAAGAAGTTCTGGCCAGCATCGTACCTACTAGGAAGGGTGTCTACGAATACATCCTTTCGCTGTTCCCATTTCTATCATGGATCGGCTTTTACAACGTCCAATGGCTTACCGGCGACCTCGTTGCAGGTGAGACTGTCGAAATATCACCAGTGAAAGCCCCGATGCTGATAATCTATGCAGGGATAACTATAGGAGCGGTTGTCGTCCCTCAAGGAATGGCATACGCTAAACTTGCCGAGCTCCCCGTCCAATTTGGTCTTTACTCCTCGTTTGTTGGTGTTATTCTCTACTGGTTCTTTGCAACTTCCAAAGATATCACCATCGGGGTAGGTTGCCCCATCTAAAACATGGCACTTCGATTGTTAACACATGGTATATAGCCCGTCGCCGTGCTTTCCACTGTCACGGGCACCGTGGTAAATAATGTCGTTACCGCACACCCCGAGTACAAAGACACACCATGGGTCATCGCGTCAGCTCTAGCCGTTATATGCGGCGCAATTGTGCTCTTCATTGGCCTGATACGATTTGGCTGGATTGTCGAACTGATCCCGGTGGTATCACTCGCAGCCTTCATGACAGGCTCGGCAATCAACATTGCTGCTGGACAAGTACCCGGTTTACTTGGCATTGAAGGCTTCTCTACCAGAGATTCAACGTATCTGGTCATTATCAACACTCTGAAGGGTCTGCCCAGAACCAACTTGAATGCAGCAATCGGCCTCACTGCCCTGTTCTTGCTCTATGCCATTCGGTTTTCCTGCGGCTGGGCGGCTAGAAAATACCCAAACCGCCAGAAGGTTTTTTTCTTCTTGAACACGTTGAGGTCGGTATTTGCCATCCTTCTGTATACCCTGGTTAGTTGGTTAGTGAATATGCATCGTCGAAAAAACCCAGCCTTCAAGATTCTCGGCACAGTCCCACGAGGTGAGCAAGCCCAGCAGTATTGACATTCTTGAGCAATTACATAGCTAACTGGCCCTGTAGGTTTCACACACGCTGCTGTGCCAACAATCAATACAGATATCATTAGTTCGTTTGCCAGTGAAATCCCCGCCACTGTTATTGTACTTCTTATTGAGCACATCGCCATCTCAAAGTCTTTTGGCCGAGTCAACAATTACAGGATCAACCCATCCCAAGAAATGGTGGCGATCGGGGTTACCAATGTGATTGGCCCTTTCCTAGGTGGATATCCCGCTACTGGTTCCTTCAGTCGGACGGCCATCAAATCGAAAGCTGGTGTCAAGACCCCTTTCGCAGGTGTCATCACAGGTATAATCGTTCTTCTTGCTATATATGCACTGACAGCGGTATTCTTTTACATCCCCAACGCCGCACTTTCGGCCGTCATTATTCATGCTGTCGGTGATCTCATCACGTCGCCTAACACCGTGTATGGATTCTGGCGCGTGTCGCCTTTGGAACCCATTATCTTCTTCATTGGTGTGATTGTTACCATTTTCACTACGATCGAAATAGGTATCTACACGACAATCTCGATATCGTTCGCTATCTTTCTTGTGCGAAATCTCAGAGCCAAAGGTACATTCCTTGGCAGAGTCCAGGTACACTCCGTCGTTGGGGATCACATCATCTCTGGCAACGATAACCGCCCGGTCAACGAGTACGGAACTTTCAAGCCCGACCCTACCCCTAGCGCTCACACCCGCAACGTTTTCCTTCCGATTGACCACCAAGATGGCTCTAATCCCGGTGTAGAGCTGACGAGCCCATATCCTGGCATTTTCATCTACCGTTTCTCTGAGCTGCTGAACTATCCCAGTGTCAGTAGTACAATGGAGTACTTAGTGGAGTATGTCTTCGCCCACACACGACCTACGACCCTGAGAGATAGTAAGAAGGGCGAGAGACCTTGGAATGACCCAGGCCCGAAGAGGCCCGAGGACCTTAATACGAACCTGCCCACCCTCAAGGCTATCATCCTTGACTTCAGCTCCGTTAACAATGTCGATGTGACATCTACGCAGATGCTCATTGACATCCGGAACCAACTTGACCGATACACGGCGCCGGATGTTGTGGACTGGCATATTGCGTGCATCTCCAATCGATGGACGAAGCGTGCACTCCTGTCTGCGGGCTTTGGCTACCCTGCGGTGCGTGCAGACGGGGCGCACTCGCGGTGGAAGTCGATTTTCAGCATCGCCGAAATTGGCGGCAACGACTCAGCCGCTGCGGCCGCGGAGCGTGAGGCAAATGAGAAAGAGCTCGTCCTCATGCAGAGTCGGGCTGAGGACCCTGAGGCCGGACGGTCTGAAGGCATCATTCAGCCCAGTGGCGCTTCTAGCAGCTCGGAATCTGTGGTAAAGTCGAAGAATCCTGACCCCAGGTCGCCTCGTAGGGCTGTGGTACATGGTATTAACCGTCCCCTGTTCCACGTCGACCTGACGAGCGCCCTGCAGAGCGCCATTGCAAACGTCGAGGCCAGAGAGGAGTTCCAGAGGCAGGGTGCCAGCGGGTCAGACAGCGCACCCTGAATCCCGTGAACGCGTTTTATAGAATCATCATCGCGGGCCAGACGGTTTTAGGTCGCTGATGTAATAATTTTTCGTGAATATATTTACATTTATATTGCTACCCCTTAGAGGGTAGGGCAGAATGTTTGGATAACTACCTGCGATGCCTGCACAGCTGGGAAGTGAGGCTATTTCTGGAGAGGTGCGGCCTTGGGGTCACTTTGTTGCTGAAGCACTGGTGATACGCCCCCTCTTTTTTTATTTATATTTCGGTATTTGGCCAAGAGGGTTGCTGGAGAAGCAGTTTTCATATACCCATGTAGCATTTTGTTAGTCAATGCTAAGTAACGACAAGTTAGAGATACCTCCACAAGAGCGATGAGCGAACATTGTAGCATCATGTTTCCTCACGACAATTTGTTCCTACAAGTTCACACGTGACTCCTTCGCATTTATCTAGCTTCACGGTTCGCAACTGCTGAAATGCACAATGAACAGTTTCCACATTCCTTTAAGGGTATGTGGTATTACCCCTCATTTTATCAACGGCCTCTGTCCCATCTCTTCAAGCATCAACGACCCTCGTAAGGCTGGCAAACAGTCTTCGGTGGACGATTGAAGCTATGATATCAGGCCAGACGAATGTCGTAAGTAGATCTCACACACTGCGTTTCCCTTTCAGCTCGGCCAACGGTGGCATGCAACCCAACCTCAATTCCGTCCTACCCACCCATCAAGGGTGTGCCCAGGGGGGGTTAACAAAAAGGCTGCAAACGTCACCAGAAGAAGGGGCATGGATGGATTATACGGCCCGAAAAGAACACTTCTTTAGATGTAGTATCTGTCTGTTTCTCCTCGCCTGTTTCCCGTCATACCCACCAAATTCATACGAGGCGGTTGTGAAAACCTTCGAGAGATGGCTGACGGGACCGATTGACGGGACCGATGCGAATACTACCTAATCCAGTAAAAGAAAGAGAGAGAGAGAGATCACCGTGATGGGCTATGTCAGACTGACTTCGGCATGCGGTATGTTTGGGATAATTATGTGCATGAAAATACATGCATGCATTGCATCGAGCATAGCCGCATCTGGTACCCATAACTTGGTAACATCCTTCTCCTCCCGTCATTAACTTGTCGACATATCACGAACATAAGTCCACGTAAGAATCCATCAATGCTCACTTTTCAGCCATCTAAAATCGCTCGGCCAGTCCTTGATACTACAGCGAGGTGAAGTAAGTAAACGATATTGCCGGGAGACATGTAGAAGTATGCTTGCCCTCAAGCCCCTCTTCAGTATGCCCAAATACCCACGTACCTACTGTCATTGAGACTTTAAATCACTTCTCTAACTGACGGACTTGGCCAATCTAATTTTCGGGAAGGACACGATTTACGAATGGAATCAGGATTAGAAACGACGGGGCGAGGCGAGGCGAACAGGGAAACCCCCATTCTTACATGCCTTGCCCGCAACCACGCATCATGAGTCTGTCTGGCCGGCCTTTTGGTCGTCGTGGCCGGCGGGCTTGTGTGATGCCGAAAAATAAAGTAAACAAACACTTACGTCTGCGGATGTAACCAAATAAATTTTCAGTCTTACTGAGAGTCGAAATAGTAAGTAGAAGGCAAGTAAGCAAAACCCGATCCTAATGCTGTCCGGCCGGCCGGCTATTCAACGATTTCCTCTCCTCCTTTCTTACTACGTTGAACACACACACACACACACACACGCCATCCCCCCAAAAAATAACAAAAAGGACATAGAACTAGCCAGTTAGGTATGTATGTAGCGCTTTCGCGCATGGCGCATGGCGATAGCTGTAGCTCTTTTTCGCCGGCCAGCCTGCTTTACCTTACCTACATATATTCCTAGTAACCTGCCCAATCGGAAGGAAGCTTGCGTAGTCCGATCCGTGTGCCTTGCTCCTGAGGGATGTATAGATGACGGGATTCGCAAGCCTTGTCATTTACGGCTCTCACTTACATATAATACATTCTTAGGCATTCATTACTTTTTTTACATTGGCTCAGAAAATTTTTTCAAATGCCGAAAAGACGAGATGGAAATGTAAGTCAAGATATTTATAGAAGGGAATCATGACACGTTGTGTTTCATTGCTGACCTAAAACTAGTGTTTTGTCTAATGTTTTCTTATCTATAGTATACAAGATGGTTTTAGTCGTGACATATCTGTCGTGTCATCAAGACAACGCAAGAGTGGTGGTAAGAAAAATAGAAATAGGAAGAATGGGGCCAAAAAAAGGAGCAGAAGTGGTTGCGTTGAAGACCATATCCCAGGACAGTATAAGCTTCCGGAGCCCGATTGTCAATTAGTCATCCAACAGAGAGAAAGGTGCCACTTTGTAAAAGAGTGAGGAGAAGGAAACGGGTTTCAACCGGGTGATAGGCGTCAAAGCCAGACACACAGTCTGGCTCATCGCTCACAGTTTCCTCGAAAAGAACCAGCTCGGGAGGAAAATGCTAGAATTTCTAGTGCCCTAATTAAGATAGTCCATATCTGAGCTTCTTGGTAGAACGGAGTAGATTGAAACGCATTGCGTACACATTCATTTGACACGTTTTGGGGGGCGGTCGCCATCATGACTTGTACGCTTCCGAGAGCTCTCCGTAGGTCCGGATTCTACTCTAGATCGCACACTGCGCAAGCGTATGATTATATCCCTGAGTTTATTGCAATAAGACGCGGGAACGTTGGTGTTGGCGAGGACTCGCTCGATTCGATCTAGCTCGGGCAGCAAATGGCTGACAGACTCTTGAAGTTCATCTAAGATATCGAGAATAAAATCGTGGCTTGACTCAACAATGAGTTCTTTGCAGAGGTTGATCTTTCTCGAATTCTCCAGTTGACCTTCGTCAGGATTACCGCGTCTAACTTCATGGTCTTCATTGCGACTGACGACTTGATCCAAGATATAGACTAAAGTACTGGCTGCGGCACGTCGATCGGAGGCGTCGAGATCCCTCTCAGAATAAAGGATAATAGACCTGATTTGCTTCGAGATGTCTTTGAACGTTTTGTAGCACCACTGTGGGTCCTTCGACAGTTCAACCCTCCTTAGATCCGAAGCTTTGATATACTTGTCGAAGGCCTCTAGTGCAGAGTCAGCACGATCGCGGAATCGCCTGAACCGAGGATTAAGTCGCTCGTGATCTCGCATCAATGCTAGGAAGTATGAGAGTAGCGAGTCGCTCTGAAGCAACATGCGGAATATGGTTGCCTCCAGGTCGCCTTCCTTCACTATTGTCTTTTCTTCAGACTCACTTGTGAGGTCTGGCCGATACTGGTCGACGGGGCTTCCAGACAATGTTGCGAGGACCTCGCGGGCTGTCTGAATTCTGTGTGGTCTGGGCCCTGAAGACTCTCCCGCCACGATATCGCAACGAAGACTGTCGGCTAATACGTCGAAATGAAAGTCGGATATGAAGTCGCAAACATTACCGTGTTTCGTGGTATATCCATCTTCTCGCCAGCTGTGAGGGTCACTTTGTAATGGGACTAGCTGACTCAGTATCTGATCGCAAAGCCAAAGCGTATGTCGGCAAGGGTGTTGAAGTCCAACACTCCGCTCATCTTGTCGGCATGTGCAGCTAGGGCCATCATAAGGACCGCCGCCGTAAGGAGCTCTGACATGGTGTTCTATGGTTTCTGAAATGAGGAACACGTAACTCTGGCCCCGAGCCGAGCAGCCACGCAATGAGAGCTTCGATGACGTTTTCAGTGCCTTGGTGACGGCGTTTTTCGACCCTGGTAGAAGTTCGCGTATAGAATATCTATTGCCAAAAGGAAACGTTGCGATACCAGCCGCCTCGTCAAAGTCGATGCTCGTATCCATTTCCGATCTCCAATTGAATCCAGCTGAGTCCACCTCAGGTCGTCGACCTGGGGAGCCACTCGAGCTAGACATGCTTCCAAGGGAAAGCTGACTCATTCGCTCAATAGGAAGGGACATTGAAAAGCGAGCTCTTGGGAAGAAACTCTGATGGGTTGTAGGACTTGTAGGACTTTTTTCTCTTCGACTTACATTTCTAAAACCGGCGATGGAGAATATATAGAACATATGATGTACATGATGAGCAACCAGGCTTCGAGAATGTAGTATTCTACAATATGGTGACTCTACGACGGGACGAGCAAAATCAGCAAGCAGAGAGGCCCGTTATGGCGGCCAGCTGCTTGGCTATGTTAGCGGTCCCAGTCCCGGGTATGTGGTCAGGATGTGGTCATCCCACCGGCGGCCAGCATACCAACGAGGCAGAGAATCCATCAGGGTGATACCTCTGGAATCCCAAGAAGGGCGAAGCACGATCACGTACGTATATGGGGTCAAATCCAGCTGCAAAATGGCGTAGCACCAATTGGGGGTCCATCGCGATGGCACCTTAGCAAGCATGACGATCGGTCCAAAAGGACACGACAGCCAATGCGGGACCTACTCTAGGAGGGTTAGGGCTGGGAAGGCCATCTCGAAGAGGCGGGAAAACAGATCGTCTGAAGTCTTCGCATGAAGGAGTCAGACCTACACTACTACCTACACTCCGGATACCGGTACGCAACAAACAAGTGGGTGGGCGAAGTGTCGGCACGCTGCCTACTTACCTAGGTACTTAGTAAGTATAGTAAGTAGGTATAGTAGCAGGTAGAATTGTCTGTTCTTTGGACTCTTTGGACTCCTTGGATCTTTGGGGCCCTCAGCCACGGATGCAGCGACGGACCGGGGTCATGATTGGTGCGTATGCGGTGAGCTCGAGGTGTTCGGGCGATGGCGTTTCTCGAAATCGATGCGGCAGAAGCACCATGCATACTTCGTAGTCGGGGCCCTCAGTCTTTCTTGTTTCTCGGTGTGTTGGGTCAGACTCGACGCTAGGGTAGCCCGACCGATCCGTTCGCAGGCAGTATAAAGTCGATGGAGCCCCCAATTCCGACATGTGTTGTAACGTTTTGATCCACGGGCCTTGATATCTGGCCGCAAAGCCTCAGACCAGGCCGCTCAAACGGCGGCCACCTCCCAGGCCAACGACCGCTATACCACCGCCATACCCCCGCTACAATTACCGCTAAAATGACCGCTAAAATGACCGCTAAACCACTGCCAACCCGCTGCCAGCACCACTGTCCACCACTGTGCACGGCTGTCCATAGCCTAGGTAATTCAAGCCTAATTCCGCCCAAAGTCCCCAGTTGAAGGGGGCGGCCCGTTTCGGTGGCCCGTTACCAACGAACCCCCCCCTCCCTTATTACCTGACCTCTCTCCCTCCCTTTCCTTGTCCCCTCCTTGCTCACGATGGTTTCCTACAGAGAATTGAGGGCTCCCACGCTGTGTTACCCCACTATGATTCCATCTGTCTTGGGATTCTCGCAGCCGTGCGCATTGGCCCTTCAGCCTTTCCATGTCCACCGTCCCGACAGCGCGGATAGCCGACGCCACGGTGACGGTAGTCCCAATGCGGTCCTATTATTGCACCTGGATAACACAGATGATCGCCTTGTTTCCACACATCATGCCGGATCTTGCCGGATTATACCGCATCATGCTGGATCATTGCTTCGTTCGGCCTTCACCTTGCTTTGCTCCTCACAAGGCATACTCTGCGGTGTCCGCTCAAACATCCCCATCTCTTCTACCACTGTAATGGCGTTATCCCGTCGTCTTGGATCGTTGTCTCGTGAGGTACAGCCTCCGCATCGTGCATCGTAAAATGCGTGCGTCGCGTGCTTGGACATCATCTAGAACAACTTCCACTACATCACTGACTGAGTTACCTCTGTCCGTCCCGGAGCCAGCAAACCGCTAACCAACAGCTACCACGTCTAACGAAGGGGAAATGAATCAAGCGTCACAGCTGATGCCTAAGCTGACTGTGGTGACTCGCACGCACATGCATACGCAACTTAGCTTAACCTCCTATTGAACCTCAGTGCCTGATTGGTACTCTAACCGAACGTTGGTTATGCAGCTATTCTAACAGCCATCTTGTCTTGTGTCCCCGACGCCTTGATCACATGGGTAGGCTTGACTCACCTCGACTCGTGCCTCCAGTTTATACCTTAGAGTCGGCAATTATCAGACCGAGTGAGATTTCAGCACATGTTTCGGGAGCGTGCAGGAGAAACAAGGGGCGAAATCTGCCTTGACGGAGATTGAATTATTCCGAGTCATTGCAGCACAGTTTCTTTAGAATTCGGATAAATCGGACGAGCTTCGTTTCGCAGAGGAAAATCATCTGGTTGGTGTATTAAGCTGAGAACACTGTGCATAGTAGAATATCAAACATCACGATCAGCCTGCATAAAGCCACTATCCTTTTCTGAATTGTTCGCCGTTAGCTCATCGTGTAAGGGGGATTACGGATGATGACTGAACTCTGTCTATCTCGCTAACACCGCCATCTAGGCAGCGGTGGGGAGTTAGCGTTGATATCTATACGATTGACGAGGCGGAGCAGCCTAATGTTGTTGAGTGAGAGTTTGCAGATGGACCTAGTTGCATATTCGTTTCGAGCTATATTCTGTCTGGACAGCTGTGATTGATCACTCTGTACAAGCGTCTCACGTGATAGCTCGCCCTCGCTTTTCTGTATCGATTCAAAAAGGTCGGCTGAGACAATCAGAAGCAGGCTGCGAGATGAGCTAACCAGTGGAAATATACGGCCAATGCTAAACATAGGGAACACCACACGACAGAGATCATTGCCTATTTCAACTCGATGCATCGATATTCGTTGAGGTTTCAATGTATTGGCGTGTGTACGCGGGCATATAAAGTAGAATGATGTCTATCATAATATAGTTCTCTCTGAGGCCATTCTAGACCATTTCTCAAACATGGGTTCGATTGCAGCAAGCTCTGGTGAACATGACTCGATTTATATCGTTCCCTTATTAATTCCGAGGGTACAGTGCCAAGCCAGAAGTACCATGTGCCTTGCGCGAGTTTTTGAATTGACATTATCATGATGTTGATGCATACTGCCTTTGGATGTCCAAAAGAGCCTCCAAAACTTCCACAAGGCGCGGCCTTTTATAGTAGTTGTTGTTCCAGATACCTTGTTCCCGCAGACGACTTCTATCGACCAAAAACTCCTCTGCCCACTTGAGCTCGGCTACCCAATGGGCCGTTGCGGCATCCTGGACTTGCTCAGCGTCATGATCCTCCCCGGTCCGGTGACGCAACAGCAAGTGGCTGCGCTGTCTGATAATAACGCTGCCAAGATTCGGTCGCCTTCCCCGGGTACAGCGGTCGATGAGCTCTCTCAGGGCCGGTGGTGTTCGGTCGTACTCAGGGAATTCCAGGTTAGACTCCCACCGATATGACTGCCATACAGCGGCCTTCTGAGGTCCGCTGACGCCTTCGAATATGCACCAAAGTAGCCGCCCAACCATATAAACTTCGGCCAGTTCTTGCTCCTCGGGGCTAAGGGCGATCCATGATGCATTATAACCATCTTGCGGGTTAGTATATCGGTCTTCCTGCAGAACATCATAGTCTGGTACCAGATCTCGCATGATGCCCTGGTATTTGAGGCTCACTTCGCTCGGGATTCGATCGTCTGCAGCAATTAGTCGTATGTATTCGATCGCATTAACCTCGGGCGCCGCAAACTCGCACCACACCCCTCGCTGTTCGAAATCAACCATGACAATGTCAAAACCCTTGGACAAGACAAGGTTATCGAGGCGAAGATCAGGGTAGTAAGTCGATGAACGGACCCGCAGGTGCTCCAGTGCCCGAATCACTTGAATGGACCACTTGAACTGATCCTCTAGCCGCAGGCGACCGTGAATCCGAAGCTGAGGCAAGAGGTCCCGAAGACTGCCGTGTTGGTGATAAAAGGTGGTGAAGCCCACAATGGCATGCTTACCGCCAAAACTGCATGGTTTCCTGACGAGGTGGATAGGACGCGATATTATATTCGCATGCGGTTCTACAGTGCACAGTGTCTTCAGTTCGTGGTACAGATACTTGGTCTCGCTAACTAGTGCCTTGAAGATGAAGAGCTGTTCCTGGATACGAACAAGACACACGCTGTCATGCAAGACGGAGACGACGTGCACATCGAAGAAATCCACCACTTGAAGAGACTGTAACATGGTTCCCCATAGAGAATTTAGGCTTTGGAGCGATAATAATTGCAGTTCGAGATTGTGGTTAGGACCGAGTCGGACATTGATCTGACGAATGTCCAAGGATAAATTCTCGAAAACCAGACGTGATCCGAACGGTTTTGATTTGTAGAAGCGCTCGAAAGCATGGATATCCTCAAAGGTAGACTCGGTCCAGGCCTGTAGAGTTCTTACAATGTGTTTGGTGATGGCGAGCCTCGACAATCTTACAGCATCCTTGGTATGGAATGCCTTGTGGAGATCGAGCTGTTCTCGGATGTGTGCTGGTTGGTTCTCCGGTATGAAAACGTCCATCCGCATCGGCGGAACATTCGGAAGGCAGATGGGGACGGCATAGTATTGAGTGCCCAGGCCAGTGCACCCGTCGACTCGCCACAGCGGACTGCCGGGGATTTCGAGACTGTCTATTCGATTTTTCGGATTCAGTAGGGAGTTGTTCCATGACGGTTGGGGAGCATTCTCTGAGTACAGCCGGGACGCGCCACCTGATGCCCGAAGAAAAGCTGCAGTAGGGTGGACCACCTCCTCAACCGCCCTCTGGGACAGGTCCATGTCGCAGGTTCACAATGGAGCCGCCGGATAGGTCAGACAAAATGGCAGTGGGGGGCAGTAATAAGATGAAACTACCTAAGATCGACGAGACACAGGGCTAGACCGCGATAATGGTAGTCGCCGAGGAATTCTTTAAATACCTACAGTTAACAGTAGGTCAACGCCCATGCCTTCATTGTGTTTGTGGTGTTGAGATTGGTCCCAGGCGACGGGCTTCAAAATTGTCTATCTACTTGGCGGGAGAGACTCGTCTTTCAATGCGAGCTAATATGTGGCCGTCGGCAGTCACCCGGCGGATACCACGCATTTTTTTGAGGCACATTCGCTAACCCTCGATCTCGCTGGCTGGCTAGTTGTCTGTTGTCCAAAATGATCTGTCCTACATGCTGGCTCGTATTGCAGCACAATCGGGGGTTTTTGAGCATTCTGAAAGCTTGCGGGATTACGCTTCTTTTCCCCTTTTGGTTCGATTTTCTTTTTTCTTCCTTTTCTTGTTTTTCTTCTCTCTACTAGAGGTCTTCAGCCTTGCCTTTTTGCCAGGCACGAATTATCCCATGAGAATGGTCCCCGACTTCAACGCTGCGAGTATCCCGAATTGAGCAATCCTGGGAGACTGACGGTGTGATGTGTATACAGGTACCTACCATCTCATTAATGCAAACAATGTGACCGGTGCGCCACTGTGCAGGGTGACTAGTCATTCGCGAGGTGAGAAGAGCTCCTTCTGACATGATGCGATTGGTTAATCGCCTGATATTCATTGTTCAGCAGAAGGCGCACACATACTCTTGATGCGTAACCGGAACTACCAACAGCGGCCGCCAGATGCTGCACTAGCGTATCTGGTGCTTGCGACAACAACAGCATCAATATCATCATCATCATGATATCGAATCCTTACCGACAATGGTGATCAAGTCAATGTAGGACAAATTTGTGCCTGGTAAAGATGCGATTTGGCCCCATTTCCGATTGCGGCCCTGTTAATTTCCACCAACCTCTTTCAACCAGCTGAGCAGGGCCAGCGCGGCACTCAGCGTAGTGGAAGGGAACGTACGTAAGGGGACTGAGGTCTTGAGGATGATCCCGATTGATGATTCTCATGGACCTAGGGACGCTGGCATCCGCGCAAATGGCAAAAACTGGTTAATGAGATACTGGATAGCCTGACGTTGGAAATGCCTGGAACGGTATGACACGACTGGGCGTTGGTATATCGAGGGAGAAAAGCAAATTCTGTTATCCCTTCCCGCTACACAATATCATTAGCCCATGGGCCGCTAGCCAATCTGTTCTGGCAACACCCCAGGAAGTACATATGCAGAGTCGATCTACTGCGGTATGGGTTGGAAGCGAAGGGTTACTCTATAAATATTCGAATCGATCGTATGGCCAAATCCAAGCTTAACCGAATGGATGGATCCGGACTATTCTCAGTGTAATGTGGGCGGGATATCGGCAATGTTCCGTTAGGACGACAAGCAGGCGTTGTCACCCTCCTCGATGCTCACTGCCGTATGCGACTCTGGTGTCGGTCTCCCTTCTCCCTATCCTATACTACCGTCCGTTGCTACAAGCCTCGCCTCATCGGCTCCGAGAGTGCGCGGAGTATGCATGATTGGTGGGAGACATTATGAAAGGTCCAAAAGTCGACGGGTTGGACTCGTGCCGTGAGAGTGCGGCGGCGTCCTTATGTAGGGAATATATGGGCGACGCAAAGCATGATAGAACTACTCGTTGCGTTCGAAGGGACAAAAGCATATAGATACCCAGGTACGCTACGTTGTAGAATGCGAGGTAGGTACTGGTACATGGAGAAGATTTGCTCCTACATGCCAAGTAGGTATGTAAGTAAGTATGTAGGTAGGTACAGTAGGTACATTTGTAATAGGTACCTACCTACTCCGTACTTACTGTTGATATATGTGATATATGTGTAAGTAGGCATATAGGTACCTAGGTATATATCTTTGATACGCTGTGCTTTAATTAGCAGGTCTCATTGAAGTGTAGCAGCGCGCTTAGTCGGTATTAGCGCTGGCAGCTTGCTTCTTCAGAGTCTTCACCTGGGCAGCTCTTGCGCCTCATCTTGTGTGTCAGAGAAGCTGTGTGCAAACTTATGGCACATATATATACTCCTACATAGTACCTGCTCCGTGCTTCAAGTAGGTTGGTTGCCAGCTCAATACAGATAATATTTTCCGACATGACCAAGTACCTAATTGGAGGTAATGCAATGCTGTGTCGTTGCCCCGTTGCCAACAGTAGGTAGGTACTCTTGCGAAGATGTTGAGAAGGTGTTGAGCAGCTGGCAGTACCCCTACCATTTTGTCCTCAAGTTGTCCACCCAAGTCCCAATACGGCTAATCTCTCCAGCATAGGCTAATCACGTAGCCTGTCGATTTGGGCTCGTGTGGTTGGTGCATAAATCCTTATCGACAGTGGATCTTCTTCTATGTACTTAAGAATTGTCCCTACTACTACTTACGTATGTACTTCGACGCATCACCTTGGCTTTGTTGACTTGGCTAGCTGTCTTGACATGTAGTACTTAGGCATAAGTATGACGGATCATAGCTACCTATCTCGAGAATCAGATAGCATAGCTGAATGCGCTAGCTTAATTTGAAGACCTGGACCGAATCGGTGATGGATCCTACTTATATGTAGGTAGATTTGTCCGAGCTGGGTGATTGATGTATTAAAGGCTATGAGAATGAATATATGTCAGTCCCTAGGTAGACATCAAAGTATACTCTATGTAAGGCTGCTAGTGCCTTTGGTCTATTTCAGCCAGCCCTGGTTGCGGCTACAAAGAAATCGCATCTACTTAATCGTATACTATTAAGTTACCTACCCAGGCAGGGAGTCTAAGTAACTACCTAGGTACCTATGTACATAGGTAAGCTGTAAGTACGTAAGCGCACGACCCACCATACAGGCCCACTAACAATGTTCTCGAATTTGTTCTAGAAGCCTGGAAATGCTTACATACACATACACCTAGCATCTCACTCGTAGGTGCCTAGGTACATAGTAGATTGAGCGCGTGCGATGAGACAATACCTACATGTACCTAGAGAAGCGAGAGGTTAGCTCGACACATCTGCCCGAGATTCGCCGCCAACAAGACTAAGCAGCTACCCATGACATGGCCAGGTACCGGTGGAGTCGGGTGAACGTGGTGCTTAAGTACATGTAGGTACCTACCAAGGTAATCATAGTCTCTGGTATCTCCCTGTATTTTAGGCATCTAGCGCAGTACTCGAGATACTATAAGTAAGTACTCTATAAGACGTACCATATGTATATACTTAATAATATATATAGTATACTTGAGCAGCAGGGACCCGGGGTCCGGGGGATAGCATCCGAGTGAGGCGCTCTTCCGTGTTTCTCCCTCTCGGGGTGCTTCCTTCGGCCTTCGGATACCTACGAAGCAGTCAGGGACAAGTCATCGGCATCCGTGGTGCTGTTGGTTTGTCCCATGCTTGTGTAGTAGCCTTACATATGACATATTCCTTGATCCTCTAAAGGTAGGTATCATGCACTTGGTAGGTCGGTAGGTTGAGGAACTCGCCGCTGGGGTACCTACCTACATATCAACGGTCGGTATTCCAAGGGTTACCGATAGTGCACACGTGGGCGTTAGGTACTCCCCCAGCCGACAGAGCAGAACTTGCACTAGTGTGCCGTACTTAGCGAGCCGTTCCGCTAGTGTACCCACAGTACCCACTTACTTTGTACTGGTAAGACACACCTGCGGTAGGTACTTAGTTTGGTGACGTAGGGGGGCATACCTATGAGTACCACTTGTGAGGTATATACTTAAATAGGTAGGTAGATAAGTACAGGCTACCTAGGTTGGCCGCATATGCACACTACGTTGGCCGTACATCCACTCCATTTGAACTAAAGTAGCTATACTATATAAATAGTATATAATTTATATTATAGGCTAAATCTTAATAATATACTATAGTTTATAAATATATTATAAAATATTAATAATATTTTTATAAAGATAAGGCATTTTACTTTAAATATTATAATATTTATAATTATTAATAATTTATATTATAATAAAGGTATTTTATAATTATATAAATA